CGTAGGTTTCGACTGCTGATAAGTGGTTGAGGAGTTTTCCAACTACTGATTTATAAAGTTCTCTTCCTCTAGTAGTAATTATCCTGGGGATTCAAGATAAAATTTTAAAAGAAGAAAACTGAATAAGAAACTTTAAAAACTTCAAATAGCTCAATTCTTAAATATAAAAGTAAGAAACTTATATTGATATTCGGTTGGCTAACCGTTAGGACTACCAACAAATCTTATTGTCCGATATTTTTGCAATAGATATTTATATTCAGACAACAAACAAACCGACGGATTGATAGTGGTGATATAAAGCTTAAATCTTTCGGACCGTATTATGTAAAGCGTTCAATTTTATAACTGAATACCGATTTTCAGCATAAAACACTAGATGTAGTCTCGACAAATTATTGCAAAGATATTTCGTTACTAACTTCTACCATATTTGAATATTTTCATATCTAAGTGACGGTTATTATTGTGCTGGCAAGGTGGAAAATAGTAGTGTCAAACATATATAAGATATAATATTTTCTATACAAAGAATAATTTGAACATTATTTTGTCTGGAATGTAAAGTATAAGGTTTGTGAACTTACTGTACGAAAGTTATGTTTGTTTTTTTTAAACAAACAATCACCTTCATAGGTCTTTGAAATTTATGTACGCAATTGCCACTACTGGATGTTTTGTTATATAATGATGGAATACCACCAATGCAGTTTTATGAAAATTTAAAGAAATTTTAAAAGAAAATGTGGAAAACGAAAAGCAAAATTTACATGAAAATAATGAAATTGACAAAGACATTGAGAAAAAGATGATGAGCAGCAAGAAAATGAAGATGATAAACGACAAAAACCATACACAGTTCCTGTGAATGACATCAGATATGATAATCTTGGTCATTGGTCTGCTGAAAACTGTGCTTTTTGTTTAAAAAAAAATCAATTTTCAATATAATTTTATATTCAAAAAATAATAACATTTAAGCAACAAATCACTAAATAAAATAACATAATAAGAAAATAAAAACCATCTGCGGCAAAAGGCTATCGACCACAGGTGTTTCTGCCCTTGAAATATTTTTAAACATCTTTATTGACTACAATTGTCAACAAAGGTCGATCAAAGTCTTCCCGCCCATATTAAAATATTTCTCTAATCTTGCAATAAAAAATAGAATATTCTATTAACTCCAATTTGAAAATGATATTGTAAAATCTGCTTAACTATTAAAATAATGTACAAAAACATAATCATTAAACAAAACCAATTTAATTATTTATATAGAAAATAAAATATATTTTAATTTAATAATTATTGTAATATTGTTATAATAATTAATTTTCTCTAATCGTAGACATTAATAAAAAAAAACAAGAGAAAACTATTAATAATACATTTATTAAGATGGGAAAAAGAAATAAGCATTTATAAATATTTATTAATTACGTTCACGTTAATTAAATACAATTACATAACACACGTTCTTTGCAAAAAGTTGGTAATTGCTGATCATTAAAATGATTAATTGCTATGTTTTCAGAAGATATAAAGATGAAAACAATAAGTTCCATTAACAATTCCACTGTATTGAAAGAATTATTAAATTAGACAATTGCTTAATTAGAAAATATCATGCAGCATTTTTGAATTGATATATGCTGATAATTTAATCTATCTTGTATTTATATGTTTTTTTTTGTCTTAATACAACACATCTGAATAAAGCTAAATTTACTTTAGTAAATTCTAACGACCAAGTTAATTAAGTAACAAATAACTTCTTTACAAATCAACTGCGACTACGCAGCAAATATTACCGTCACACTAAGAGTTGGAAATGAACCCTTTCCAGCCCAAATTTATAAAAAAAATGTTTTATTCAAATCTTTATAAAAGCACTTACTTAATCATAAAAAGCATCGTACCTGTGTTTTTTTATTATTCAATATTACATACTGTAATACATCTAGCTTCAATTTACAGTAGTTGCTTCCAACAGTTTTAATAATAAAAAGACAAAATTGCATTTAAAAATAATGATTCCAATTGGAATCACTGGACTGGAAAGGGTTAAATATCTCATAAAACTAATCTTCTATAAAATCTAAAATTATTATTAATATATTAAAATAATCCATATGAGCGGTCAATAACTCTTTGTATGTATGAGAAAATAGATAAGCGGTACCAATCAAAATTTGGCAAAATATAGTAAAAAAATATATACAAACAAGTTTATCAATGATCATTATCATATTATTTTGAAGTAAACAAAATATTTTTTTATTATAATAAACTACTCGAAACTGCATTCAATAGATTTTTAAAAAGTGTTTATATTATTTCCTGTACTTTACTAAAATAATTATTACTAAGCATACAAAAAAAAATGTGCATAATACGTAAGAAAATATGAATAACCGCAGCTATGCATTGATAAGTTTATAGAATATTAAACGTTTTTTTAATTAAATTTATCGAAAGATAAGTAGAATCTATGTTGGAAAATCAATTTGTTTTTGCTCACAAACGTATGATTTCTTTTGTCGATTCATAATCAATATTATCAAATTTCGTCGAAACCTTATTTCGTAAATTTTGATATCTATAAAACAAAAGTTAAAAAATTGAATAAAAATATGTTCTTTCTTGCATTATCAATTCAAAATATAAAGTATCAATTTGATATAATGATATTGTTTATCGTATATACATTTCGGTTGATTAAGTAAGTTTGATTAATTGCTTAATGTATAATAATTCTTTAAAATTTCAGATTACATAAATTTATAAGTTTATAATATTTATTAAGAAAATAGTATTATACATTAAAATTTTAAACAATTTTAATTATTACACATTGTAAAAATTTAAATAACATTAATTTTGATACTTTTCAGTAGATTTTTTTGTTTTAATAGTACCGGATCACGTATTAAAAAGTTCAATTGAAAGTTGTATTTGACGGAAATACATGCTTCTAATGTACTTACTTTTTTCATTTGTCCACATATTATTTACCTATGAAAATATTCGTTTGACGGAGGAATTAGAACCAGGGAGACATAAAGAAAATTCTACAATTTTGCAAATGTTTTTGAAATCAATTTCTTTTGCTGTAAAATGTTCAAAAATATCAACCCATCTTTGATGTCAGTCAGGGCTTGTTAATCTGTCGTCATTCGTCGATATTTTTGTTTGTGTCGTATTTACACATGAAACTTCATCAAACAATTCACTGTCGAGTATATTTACAGACCAATGATGCGAAATAAAAATATAGTTTTTCTCTACCTTCAACCACAAAGGGATTTCGTGTAATGTGACCCATTCAAACACCTATCTATGCACGTTTGATAAAATCATTGAATATTTTGGCTTGTATATTTTCTGATTTTTCTAACGTTAAAATCAATTATCTAATAACAATAGGAAGAAACTCATCATTTTTTCTTGCAACTAACTTTAAATTAAATTCCTTTAAAAGTATGGATTTTATTGAGATTTCTTGTGATTGAACATTCAACTCAGTAGAACTTGTTTTTGTGCGGTACTTTTTTATGCCATACATGAATTCCAACGGCGTTGAAACCATTGTAATGTTTTCTATCAGTGTGCATATGTTCAGCTTGCTGAAACGATTCTGTTAGTCGATTTTGAACCAATTCATCACAAAAAGATGCGCGTTTTGGATTATTACGAGTAGCAGTGAATTATGTATGTGCATTTTGAAAATTTATCCATATGTACAAAGAGAAATTAAATGTTTTAAAATGTTTCCACGTATAATTATTATTTTGTTATTTATTTTATGCGTTTTTTTTATGCGGTCTCTTTTACGGTTTCTTTTATGCGCCCCCATCTTCCGCACAAAAACTGTTGGCTAATGTTTTATTGAAAAAGTTTTTCAGAATTTTGGAACATTTTCCAAGATTCAAAAAGTATAGTTGAAAAATTCTATATAAAGCTGTTAAAAGAGTTAGCCAGCAAAACACACTGTAACCAAGAAGCTTTTTATATTGAAGCTCTGCGTCTTCTCATAATTATTTGAACTCTTCTACTCGTATTGCGTAAATATAGAAATGTAAATAAATGTTTACTAATATCACTTTAATATCTATCGGAAGACAATCTACAGCACTGCTTATGCAATTGTCCAATATGTAGGCACAACAATTAACTCCTATCAATTTATGTTTACTTGATTTTAGAAATTAAATAAATTTAGCAATGAATAAAGGACTGTCCTCTTAAATAAAGGACGTATGGTCACTTAACAAATAGTACATGATGACACATGACCATAAGTTTCGCTTTTGACGGAACAGACAAGATTTTTTAAAAAGGAAAGAAAAAGCTTTTTTTCCAATTTACAGCAAAACAATAAAATATATGCATAAACATATAACTTACCTTATGCGTATTTTTTTTTGTATAACAATTTAATTAAATCTATGCGGTAAGTCTTAAATGTTACACTTTTGAAGTCTGTATACAGTTTAACTTCGCTTAACGACTTTAATCCGTTCCAAAATTTCCGGATTTTTTCTCGTATAGTGAAACACGTTTCCCATATAAACTAATGTAAATTCCGTTAATCCGTTCTATGCCGGAGAAAAAATAGTATAACTTGGTCTCGATTTTTAATAATTTTGTTTTTCATATCTATGGTTATTATTATTCTTTAGCTTTTTATTCGGAAATATGCCAATGTTATTAAATTTTACACAAAAAAATAAAACACAAATAACAATTTTGAACACAAGTTTGAAAATTTTGTAATATGGTAAAAACCATGACTTACGAACAAATTCGACTTACGAACAACCCTTTTATTAAGATAATAAAATAAAAATCTTAAATAAAGTTATTACAAAATCAAGTTCTAAATGTTGGAGGCTATAGTGTAATTTTTTAAAGGTTTAATTTGTTCTATAAACTTTTCAAATAATTTATTACAAAATTTTTTGTGTTAGTTAAATTGTCTTGAAACAGAATAAATGCGTACATAACGCAAACAAAATTAGAATGTCTGGCGCGTATTGATTCTGTGAGCGAAATGTCCCTTGCGCTGGATGGGCCTGCAGTTGATGGCCAATTTATTTCGCATCAAGGACTCCGACTGCGAAGAGAAAAGAGAAACCTGTCAGGAGCAGAGGCCCGTTCAACCCTGCAATTTGCCGACGACCAATGGGCTTTCAGCTTAATCGCTATTGGTGCAACCCTCCGCCCAAAATCGATCCGAAACCAACAAAATCCAACCCTCCGCAACCCCCACATAACAACGAGAAAAAGAAGAGAGAATCTAGCCCGAGCGTATAAATAGTAAACCCCCTGGGGATCGACGCTCACTTCCGTTTTCAGTCATCCAAGTAGTGTAAAGTGGACTTAATTGAGATAACCATGAGCTCCAGCCGTCAGCATTCCCAACTGCCAGACAGTTCCTCATCTCCACCGATTAAGTAAGTGGTGTTCGTTTCGTTTCTTTTTTTTGCACCAGTGTTTGATTGAGGATTTTTTCGTCAGTTTACAGTATGGTAATTACAATGCCACCGATGATTTGTCCGAAGAGGAGCTGTCCGAGCTTCCCAGTTGCGCCTTCGCCGGAAGAAACTCCGGGAACAACATGCAGCATCACTACCTGACCAACATGCATCACTCCAACCATAATAATGGTATGTACAGTTCGGTTGCATTCATGCGGAGATTGTGAATTAATTATATTTTGTCATCTTCAGTGGATGCAGGTCATTGCGGCGGCAGCGGTTCTCTGAACGGCGAATATTACTCCAACTCTCCATACAGGGTGCAAAGACACGCGGCCAACATCCGAGAGAGGAAAAGGATGCTGAGGTCTGCTATTGGACCCACCGGGTACTCTTTTAACTATTGATGTTTTATTTAATTAACTTAACTTCCTCGGATCTCTAATAATAATCTAATACAAATGAACTACAAAATATGTCATTTTATTCAATATTGGACATTTCATTTTTTAATTAGTCATTTTTAAGTATCAATTGTGAGTAAATTAATTTACCTAATGAAGATGTCCGAGGGTGTTACTTGATTCTTTCAAAATGTATTGTAGAACGAGAGATTTTTAATTTTGATGTCACGTACAGCAGTATAAACTCCGCGTTTGATGAGCTACGGATGCACGTTCCTACCTTCCCTTACGAGAAGAGGCTCAGCAAGATTGACACCCTTCGATTGGCTATCGCCTATATAGCCCTCCTCAGGGAAGTCCTGACTGCAGACTGCGATCCCCTCACCTACGTGGAACGTTGTCTTCGAGGCGAAATCAAAGCGGACAGAGCTAATTGGAACACAAGTGGTCAGTATAAATTAAAGTTTTTCTTTAAATAACAATTCGTTAATTCACGAATTAACTTTTTCCCTTTTGACATTCAAAATATGTTTATAAAATAATAACTTCGCGAAGCGGAGTTTCATTAATGATTACCTTGGTAACAGATCAGTTCAATTTAAAGTATGCAACCCAACATATTAATTAATTGTTATTAGCAATAATTATATTTGTTAACAACTTTATTTCCTAACGGTGTCTTCATGATGTTGACTATATTTATACGAACAAATATTAATTTTACTAAATTTCAATTTGGATGCATTATTACAATTACTAAGTTTAAGTTCCGTAACGCTGCTCTACATTATTATTTTTATTTGAACAACAGGTGTGGCTCTCTCCATTTTTAATATGAAAGACTACTTTTGGGAATACCGTATCCCCTGAACACATTTTAAAGTAAACAAAATAAAACAGTTAATACTTCAAATACTTTATTTATGATCAAGGTCAATTTGAGATTAAATTTACGTATTTAATTATCGATTTGATGATGAATCTTATCATCAATGTGTTGGATTTAATTCCAATTATATATTTCTACTAATTCAATAATTAGTTACATAAATAATCTACAATTTTGATCTTGGGATTTCCTCTTTAACAGATTTTTCCTCTGTATTCATATTGTATACCAATGGGGATTTTACCATAATATTAATGATAATTGGTTCATATAATAATCAACTAAAGCGTTGAATTAATAATATTTATTAATTAATTCTTTTTAAACGAGGTGCTTATTATGGATAATATATTGAATATACGATTAAATAAATTATATTAGTTTCAATAATTTAATTAATTGTTCAAAATCTATTTTTTATTTTATATTTATTTTAATATTTAAAAAGTAAGAAATTAAATAAATCAAAATTAACATTGCGCTGATAATGAAAATATTTCATAAATTTGCACTCGGTTTCATTTTGATATTTATCTTTGCTGTTTACAAATACCAATTTCTTATAGATTACTTTTATTTCCTACAATCACGTATACGTTGGAAACAAAATTGTTCGTTTATTCATCAACATGTTCTTCTCAAAAAAACGTAGTTTAAATGAATCAATAATATTACTATTAAAAATACCTACATTAATGAAAATCGATTATTTTATAAAATCATACGTAACGGCTTTATTTATAGATTTCACAAATATAATTTAACATAAAAAGTTGCTTGATACAAGTGAAATTGTCATGTTGAGATCGATGTGTATCGAGGGGCCTGAGAGTGTTTTACTATATTGTTCTAATTATCAGAAACAATTGAATTATTATTGTATGTAATAATATAATAAGTGTATATATTGTATTTGTTATGTATGGTACTAATCTACTACTATAATTGCAGATTTAACTGCCCGTTTATCTTGGATCAACTGGGAGAATCTGGGGGTGAATCCGGGTAGGAGAAGTGCTTTAACATCGCTGGCCCTAACCTCCGACAACATGAACCATTGATTGTTAATTTCACTTGCCACGTGTGCAATAACAGAATGCCAAAGATTGTTAATTTTTTGAATAAAGTTTTTCGTTTATCCCGTTTACAATTCTGCGTCGACTAATTCATCCAAATTTTGCTCCAACTGCTGCTTAGCCATTGCTGCTCCCTTCCCCAGAGAATATTCTACAGAAGTCTCCGGCTCCAACAACAAAATCCGCGACGAAACATTCAACAGCTCGATTGCCTCGAGAAGCTTGCACCTAAGTACCTCCTTCGAGATGCTATGCGTTCTGTATAAGTTCCTGGCTAGAAGAATGAGAGGTGCGTGCAGTTCGTAGAGAATTGTCCCTCTTAGCCTGGTGAAGCCGGGCTCGATCACGTCTAAATTCTGTAGTAGCTCCTTGCAGAGCTCCACCTTTCTCTCCAGAAGCAGATCCGGAAGCTCTTCCAGCTGATAACCTTCTACTTTTCCGTACATCTGAGCCAGAGAGAGTCTTAGGATAGTGTGGAAAGTGTTGCGCGGATGCAAAACGCTCCTATACTTCTTGTACAGTGTTTCTCTCGCTTCAATCGCTTGGCTCGCATCCTCCACGCCTTCATCGACGTTGTCCAGATCTGCTTGTATTGCTTCGTACACGCGCATCACAGCTGCAGCGCTTGTGCTGAATTCGCAATGAGTGCATTTCCATCTCGCATCAAAATCAAGCGGACTCTCTGAAATGATAACTCCGTTGTCGCACTTGGAACATTTCAATGTACCCATGTGCGTACCCAACTCAGTAGGATCTTTGCACCTGGAACAAGCACAATCAAAGTATTTGCTCTCTCTCAGATGCTTCTTGCGCACTAAAGTCGGATTCAAAGCGTAAGTGTAGCTCGAGAACAATTCTCCACCTTCTGCAACCTTCACAGAAGCCCTCGTGACAACACCAAAATCGCCGCCCCGAATCGAGTGACTTATATTGGATACACAGTTGTGCGAAAGTATCGCCAATTTCGGGTAAAGACAACGTATAGAATAACCGCCATTCGTGGGATGAGCCTCGAACGCGTTCACCTCAAGTATTCCGCAAACTTTATGGATGAGCTCTTCCGAAAACCGATCCAATTTACACGGTCCTCTCAGGTAATCCACGACATTCCGCTGGTTGAAGCCCCAAACTGGCAAACCTCTCCTCTTTTCGTCGTGCGACTCCATCAGAGAGACTTCGCGTTCCCACCGCTCAGCATCCGCTTCTTTAGCCAATAAAACTCTGAAATTATCTGTGAATGAAATCATTTCAACAGATTCAACGCTCATACCTCAGAGGTGTGATGCATTCGAATTGCAGGCAAATCTGACTGCAATCATTCACAGGTTGGAAACCAACGCCGGCCGCTTCCATCACCCTACACTCTGCATCCCTGTGAGCTGCAACTTGCTCGCATTCCGCACCACACAAAGGCCATTTACACTTCGAGCATAAGTAGCTACAATCCACAGGGAAGTAACATCCCAAGCACATAGGAGGGTGATCTAAAAAAAATAATAAGTACAATGAAATAATACATATATTTGTAGTTTCTTACCGGGCTTTGGGCCGTGAGCGAAAGGAGTTTCTTCGAAGATAACATCGCCAGGATTTAGCACCACATGTGCCACCGCGTACCTTCCTACTATTTCGTTTTTCTCCACTCTGAACTTGTGTTCACTTGAAGACGCCATCGTCAATAATAATTCGACTAAATCCGGATCGGATTTATAAATACACCGAATGCACACGCACGAACGTAGAAAGATGGGAGTTGCGCCAGAAAAAATATATATTTTCGACTCCAGCATTTACATGTGCATATCCTAAGATATACAGTAAAAAATAAAGAACTAGCTGTAAACATTAAATAATGACTTAAAAAATAATCAAACAAATCTAATACAATATGAATCTATAGTCTTTCTTAAATAAATTGTTAATATTTATTTAAATATAATTATTTTTATAAATGTACATTTCTATTGTAAAATATTTTTAAATTTTGTCAGTAAGATACTTTTGTCAGCCCTCGTGTTAGTTTTTTTTTTATTCTACAGTAACCTAGTTTTCCAAGATCAATGTGATAATAACAATAAAAAGCCTTACAAGAGCATAGAAACGTCACAATTACATAAATTATGTCAGTTGACAATATACCATTCAATTGCATTCAATTTCGATGTTTTAAATGTTTTTCTCTAAAAGGAGTAGTATTTTGAAAATGCTCTTGATCCATTTTTTGTTCAAAGTTTTCACAATCACTTTTTACTTATATGCCCAGTTATTCTTTAATTTTGTCATTTATTTACGAATACATTTTAATGTTCCGAGTTTCTGATTCATGAGAAAATATTAAAATATCAATTGCTAATAAACATAATTCACTATCAATTATGTAAACATAATAAGCAACAACATATTATATAAAAATATAAAATTCGTAAATGAAGAAAGAAAATAATATTCAATAAAATTCATTAATGTACTTTTATTATTGACATTGACTGGTGTATTTATGTTGTTCATAAATTATGTTTCTTTTTTACATATTACTTAACAATGACATTAATAACATTATGAACACAGTATAATGTTATGAAACAACTAATGATTTCAAGAACGAAAGTAGAAAGATTGCAACTGATTGCAACTACACATTATAGACATGATTCATCTAGTGTATTCTATAGACTTATTACTTAAGTAAATTTTAATCCAATAACATCCTCGTAACAAATTGCTAATTTCTTGTGATAAGTTAGCGTGTACCTAATTATAACTAAAACAGGCTTATATAAAATTGACATACACCATGAATTATACAAAAACTAATAAAAAATAATATGTAAAAGACAAATAACCATTTTCTTTTATTTTATATGCTTATTGTTGTCCCAGTTGCGTGTATGTGTGCGTATCGGTCATTTCATTTTTCAATTATGTGTCCTATTAACTTATATGAATGAAACCCAGTTATGCAACCAATTTAACACATGATTTGAAAACAATATTTTAAATTATTACCCCCGCCCATCGCCACAAGATGGGTTGAACGGAATGGTATAAATGTGAGTGTGATGAGATTTTAACTATAGACCATACACTCTTCAGCTTTCAGATCAGATATTTCAGATACACCACAGAGCTACCACTGACTTCATAAAGAAATTAGCTGAAATGAAAATACCATTCCCAACATCTACAATATACAGCAGTATTAATGGCAATCGGTGGCAATCGCAAGCCCGATAACCGAAATCCCGACGTTCGAAATCCCGAGTGTATCGAAATCCCGACTATATCGAAATCCCGACTACCATAGTCCCGACAATGAAAAACATAAAATAATTTTATTATAGAATATTTTTTATTCTTAAGTTTTATAATGAATAAGTCAACGAAAAAAAAATACAATAATAATTAATATTATGTATTGTTATTAAGAATAAATGACAAAAATTAATAATCGGGCAAAAGAGCCATCGGCCTAGGTCTTAAAAGTATTTTTTTCAGTATTCGTCGTACTTATTAAAATATAGTAGAATAATTTAAAAATGTTATTGTAGAAATTATAATAATAAAAGACACTGTCGGGATTTCAATAGACGGTCTTTCGGTTATCGGGCTTGCGATATAGACCCGTAACCTGTACGTCCTTTATTTCTAAGAGCACTTATGAAACTGTGCAGTGCACAAACCAAGTAAGGAGATTGGAGACGCAAAAGAAGAATTGTTATTAATTGTTATTTTATCAATAATTAATACTTATGATTTATTTAAACATTATATATTTTGTTATTTAAACAATTATTTAATTCGGAATAAGAATAAACATAGTTATAAAATCCTAGTCTATTACATGTCTTCTCCTAGTTGGCTAACGTTCTTCAATAAGATTATGAATCACAAAAAAAACATATAATTTCTTGCATTCTATTACAGCATTAATTAAAGTGCGTCCGCATAAATATATGTGTCAATAGTCAGTTTGAACAGAAACTAATCAAGAAAATTACTTTTGTAAAAACGCCCACTTCCGATTATTAAAAAAGGGGGTTGTTACCTAATCAATCAATGTACGGGTAAATATGAATATTTCAGCACTTCAGTTCCAACCACTTGAAGAAATGGAAGAAGCGACAATGCCTATACTTCTTGTAGCTAATTTTCTCGGCATGGCACGCTTCTACAGCATAAGTAAAGGAAAAATAATCAACTCCTTTTTCTACTATTTTCGATTGGCAATTATCCTTGCCGTTTACATAATCGTCCTTGTCCTGCGAGAAATCTTAAAAACGCCACTAACGTCTAGCGGATCTATACCCACGATTGTTGAAGTGATGGACTTCTATGGCAGAATTCCTGTAACACTGATGACGATGGCCATCTTAAACATCTCTAACTGGCGTTTGCTGGAGTTCTACAAAGGTATCTCCAACGTAAACTCGCAATTCGTTAAGATGGGTTTCAAACTGAGATACAACAATTACAGAAGCCAAGTAAGGATCATGTTATTTTTGGTTCTCGTAAAACTGGTGCTGCAGCAGTTAGCTTTCGCCTTCGGTAGATTCGACTACTCTACACTGGTTCACTACGCTGTCGACAATATCAATTTTGTATTGCTGCACCTGACCAATATGATTTGGGCATCAACGGTTCTCTTGCTTAAAGAGAATTTCGCATTTTTGAACGACGTCCTGAGAACCTTGATGTACAGACAGTGCTGGGTGATCGATGACTACGTGAAAATCGAGCGACCACCAATCGTCAATCTGTTGAAACGATGCGCAAAACTGTACGACCGGTTGATCACGCTCAGTAAAACTCTGAATTCAGTTTTCGCGTGGATTCTGATAATGAATATTCCAATGATATTTGTCGAAATCATTTACAACACCTTCAGCATATGTCAGATGGCGCAAGGATTGAAAAGTCTGAATGCTCAAACCATCATCTTCGATCTACTGTATCTGATTAGCTTCCTGGAAATCACGATCCCCTGCATTTACGTAAAAGAGGAAGCCGACAAATTTGTCGGTAGACTTAACAAAGTCGATTTGAATTTAGAAAACAGCATCGAACTGGACAACTTGATGAGCAACCTCACCTTGCAGATTTACCACCAGAAGATTGGACTTAGCGCTCACGGAATATTTCCGATGGACGGCACCTTAGTATACTCGGTAATTATCAATAATCAATAGGAACTTATATAAAATTAATATTTTTTCAGTTCTTTGGTGCAATAACAACGTATCTGGTTATTTTACTTCAATTCGACCATTAGAGTGCAATTAGTTATGTAAAATTTCAAAGAAATACAAATATGTAAAAGTAATAAATCACTTTATTTTGAAAACTTATTTCCAACTTTCGGAGGCACCCCAGTTGGACGCTGGTGGAGCAGCAGCAGCAGCAGCGCCGGTCGGGTTCTTTTCCCAATCTTCTTGAACTTGATCGGCCCAATTATCCTTGGTGTTGAAGCTTGGAACAGCTGCGGGAGCAGCAACAGCTGGAACAGCGCCTGGAGCCAATGGTTCAGTACTGGCATCCCACGGTTCAGCAACTGGAGCGGTGTCCTGCCATTCAGTTTGAGCTTCGACAACTGGTTCAGGCTTGGCAACGGGCAATTCCTTAGCGGCTTGCTCGTCCTTCTCAGCTTCTTCTGGTTCACGGTAGAAGAAGAGATCGACAACGGTGTCCCATTTTTGGTCACGTGGGATATCCCCGCGAAGACGCAAAACCTATAATGAAAAAAAAACAATATTAATGCTAATTCAATAGGATACACATTAAATGTTAATATATTTGATTGAAATCAGTTGGAAAAATCAAAAATATATCATTATTTATCAATAATAAAGGAACGATTTTTTATCATCATGACAATTTTAAAATGTTTGTCTACTATTAGAGAACAATAACTTACTTCACGAGCCAAGAGCCACCACATCAAACCAATGCTGTGGGTAGCCTTGTTGTTGCATGGAATAGCAATGTCAACAAACTTCAATGGAGAGTCAGTGTTGCACAGAGCAATAACTGGGATGTTGACATAAGAAGCTTCAGTGATTGGTTGATGATCACTGACGGGATCGGTGACGATCAAAAGCCTTGGTTCACGGAAGGCAGCTTGGATCTGATTGGTGAACGCACCAGGAGTGAAACGTCCAGCAATTGGGGTGGCGCCGGTGTGAGCGGCGAACTTCAACACAGCACGTTGTCCATATGGACGAGAAGAGATAACGAATACCTCAGCTGGGTGCTCGATGGCAGCCACAGCACGGGCGGCCAAAAGAACCTTCTCCCAAGTGCGACGCAAGTTGATGATATGGATGCCATCTGGACGCCTCTTGTAGATGTACTGTTCCATGTTGAAGTTGGAATTCGATGTACCCAGATGGGTACATGCGGCCAACATCTTGGTCACATCATCCTCTTTCAGAGCTAAAATGTCTGAACCTCCCGACATCTTCACGTTTTTTTGAGTTACGACAAACCTAGAATGAACCATCAAACGGAAAACAAAAAATATTAATAAACAATTCCAGAAATAAATCCACAAAAACCTGATCAATGTAAATTGTATCAGTTGGAAGAATTATAATCACATAAGCAATCATATAATAAGGAACGAATTTTGATCATCATAATAATGAACATAGTTCAATTAAAATAATAACAATCAACATAATAACAATAATATGAGGTTACATTTTTATAACTTATAAAACCACTTCCATATTCACTCCCTCACAATTTCAAAATATTATCATTCAACATCTGTTTTAAATACCTTGTAAATGGTATAAACAAAATTCTAATGAATTCGTCAATGTTTTGTAAAATATAGTGGAACCTCGCTTAACGAGGATAATCCGCATTTGTTTATATAAAAAGCGTTCGCGTTATGCGAAACATCGCACGTTATGCGAGTCATTTTTCTTACAGTTTATTTTGCACGTTAAGAAAAAACCGAAGCTTATACGACTCAATCCTATAAATAAGAACATACTAGTTGCGAGGTTATGTATTGGATTGTGATTTTAAAATTAAGTAAAATCTGCTATTGTATAGCTAAATCAATGTAACTAAATATTCAATAACAATCATGAATATTCGAAATTGGAAGATTAGACAAAATCCTTTTAAAAACATGAAGGATGTCTGAGAAAAACGAAGAGTAAACTTACGTGCGTCAATGCCACAGGGAATATTTGAAGTGAAAGAACGCTTCGTAAGGGAACAAAGTGAACGGTTACTTGTGCTCAGCATTGCCAACATAACAAAAACAATTTCACCAATTTTAAATTTTCATATCTTACGCTGTTATAATCCCAAATTAAATTTAATTAATCCCTTCTGGACTTACCAATTACAAAATTGCTAAAGACTAAAGCTTAAATCGTGTTACTGCAAAAAATCTGATCCGAAACTCAGACCGAAACAAACAAAAAATCCAATATATGTCCAATTTAAATAATGAATTAATAGTAATTGTAGTAAGACAAAAATATCTTCTTTTTATATTTACAATCATATCATACAATGAAGCACGATTTCTTTATAATGTAATCATTTTTTTAGCTATAAAATATCGCAATTTCTGTTTGTTTTAAAATGGAAAAAGTCAATCTAGCATAAGCATAATGAAAACAACTGTTTATTGCAATTATTATTGATTTTACTTCACTGTGCACTTTCGCACAAGTCCTATACTTCATTCAGTTATTACAATGAGTTCACATACCCATAAAAAAGAAACCCATACCCATAAAGCAGTTTGAGAAATATTAATTGAAGATTGCTCCAAACTAAGAAGAGGATAATAATTTTGGAATTATCAAATTCAACCATAGACGAAGATAACGTTACTAATTTTAGATCAATTTATGAAAATAATGATCAGAAAAGTCTTTTAACTTTAATAAAGGCGAAAAATTTTATACAAAAACTGGAAATATTATTACTGCAAATAAATTCTAAAATATGGACTGCAAATGTGCCATTATATAAAATAACAAGATATAAATACAGGTATCCCCCGACTCCCGGACTAAAAGTTCTAACTTGTTAAAGGGTGATATATAGTAACAAAAAAATTAACTGTCCAAACAAAAATTCATAATTACTATCTGTTTTGTTGCATTTCTTTCTTTTGTCGTTTTTTATTAAATAATTGTGATGTCTACATTGAAAAGTATTTGTAAGTATATTATTTATTTTAATCTATTTTTTTAAAATGTATGCAGTTAGCAATTTAACATATATAAAAGTAAAATCCATGATAAAGTGTGATAAGATAAGTATATTTTGAAATTTTTAAAATTCCCCCGACTTACAAACAACCCTTTGGAACGGAACTAGTTCGTAAGTCGGGTGATACCTGTACAGAGATGTGATGAGTTTACTGCCTTACATACTAACTATTTACCATCACTATGCTAACGGTAAAAAAGAAATAAGTTTAAAATATTTTTAGTTATATTAAAAAAATACTTACATTTTTCACTTGGTTATTTATATATTTTTTAAATATAAATTAAATCATAATAAACTTGATTATTCGTGTTTACATTTCTTCATTTTAATTACTATTTTTTACATTAAAAATGTCTATAAAAATATGGACTTAATTTCCTCGTTTTTATTTTTTTAAATGTTACTATTTAAAGTGGTATAAGTCCACTAGGACCTAATAAAAAACTATATTTTCTTTAACAATTTTAATAATTATTATTGCATAATAAAATTTAACTGTTTTATAGTGTAAAAAACATCACACGATTAACGTTTACCAATATTTTTAAATCGATTCAAACGCAAACCTCGATTAATATCTCGATACAGTAGAACCTTCCTTAACGAGTTTAATGCGTTCCAAAATTTCTGGATTTTTAATATACTCGTATTATGAAACATATGTGTACAAAAGTTTTAAAAATGAAGCAGCAGGCGCGCATTCTGGGTCTTCTCATCGTCACTCATTAATAGTCATTTTTTTTTAATTAATTTTGCTCGTTAAGCGAAATGCTCGTCATGCGAGGTTCCACTGTACTTAAAAAAATGATCCGTTTAGAAATCAAATAACAATCATTACTAGGCGTAGTGGGAAATATGGTGGTAAATAAATGTTTATAAGAATAGTTTTTATCTGGCATATTATATTCACTAAATATAATGCAGCACTTAATGGAAAAAATAATTACTCTCTTATGTATTATTTCTTCTTGGATACCTATATACTAATGTAACTAAAAAATAATATATTTATATATAATATGTATATTAGTATTTACAAAGAGCAATTTCACACGTCATCTTTTATTTACTTTCAATTTTCTTTTGATTCAATGTTATCTTTGATACGTCAAACAAAATAAAAGAGATAATGCCAACCTGGAAAGACTGAAAGAAGAACAAAACGTCGAAGAATAAGAATATTTTACGTACAAACTAAATAATATATTATATTTTTATATATATTTATATATTCCTGGCACATTATCTAGAATTAAAATGAAAGATAAAATTATTTACAATACAAATATAAGCGATTTATCATATATCTGTGTGTTCAGCTAAGGCAACGTAATGATAATATTTGTTAGAATTGCACTGAAAGTGTAGAGTCAAGATTCGTTGCCTCCAAAAATTGGTTTCGCCTCCGCTTCAAATGAACTGAATAATCAAATTTCATTCTCACTCTATCTCTCTCTCTCTTCTTTACAAACAAAATGTTTCGTTTTTAAAATATGAGCAAATAAACAACAAAATATATAAAATAGAAATAACAACCGATTCAATATATATATAGTTAATTAATGAATTATCAATAATAGTTATAATAAAGAAATGCATCTCATTGTCTATGTGTAGTAGTTGTAATAATAGTAATAAAGGTGAAGAAAATATGTTGTATGAGTACTAATAATAACTATTATATTAATAATAAAAAGTCCCTACTAAAATTATCACAAAATAAACATTAAACTGTATTAATTATAATTAATAAAAGCGTTCTTTTGCGGTTTGAATCACGCCAAAAAGGAGATGTCTTGTTGTGATTCAGACCATACATACATCGTGTTCTCAAAGAATCGTGTCAATCTGGCGGCAAACTCGAACGGAAACCATGCGAATGTCTCGCAATGAATATATAATATATATTTATATGTGAATATACGTGAAGAAGTTAATAAAAAACAAACGAATAAGAAAGATAAAGGCGGAAACCCCGGGGAATAATATACGTTGTCTTCTACGCTCCGGAGGAAGGTTTGGTTGGTTGTTTTAATTTGTGTGTTCGTTTCTGGATTTGCGCTGGCTCGCATTTCATTCCTCGATTTGTGTCAAAAAGAATATGCAATGTGTGAAGGAAGAAGGCAGATGTGTGGATCATCTTCCATTATGAGCGATACGGTGTTACATAGGTAGCCGGGAACAAACCTTTGCGATTGCCGATTTCGCCGTTCCACCAGTGCTGATCACACCTGTCCGTCACGGTAATTACATCGCCGCGTTTAAATTCCAATTCCCCGTGCTCCTGCGGCGTGAAATCGTATAAGGCTTGCACTAAACACTAAAAATCAAAACAGAATACATGTTACGTAACAAATAATGACAATCAATATCCAATATTAAAATATTTATATGATGAATTACATCAAAATTGACAGATAACCTATCATTTTTATACCTGACAATATTTCTAATGACAAAATTCACATAGGTTGTCAATCAATTATGACTTGAGACAAATCTTAAGCATCTTAATCTTAAGCATCTTAATCTTAAGCATTCATAAAATCTTTCTCAATGATATACATTTTATAAAATTGACTTATACCAAGATTCATATAGTCGTGAAATCCTTACGCATCACAAGAAACTTTGGTTGTCAATTCTAACATTTCCCGTTAGCAGCCGATATCAAAATTGAATTGGTCAAAATACGTCAATTGCGTACCGATTGATGCAATAGGATACGATCGACGTAATAGTCGAACTGATCTTTCAGCACTATCGTTTCCAAATTGCATTGACCTTTGTAATCACAAAGCATTGTGAGAAGCGAAATTTAGAACTAATTAAATGCGTTAGTTAGAACAATGGACGACATTCATCAATTATGCTGCGCGCGCGCTTTATGTAATTAATTCGATGGCAATAACAACACAAACAAGTTAATTGACACACGTTAGTGTGGCTGCTGCTGATGATGAAATAATTAAGTAGATTAAAAAACATCAAGTGAATAATGAAAATAAAAGAAAAACAAACAAAACAAACGAAAATTAATTATAATTTAGAAAAAAAAAACCAAAAAAAAGTATGGGAACGCCAGCAACAAAAAGCTAAAGGGCTAAACCACCCTTTCGCATATTGTTTTTTTTCTTTTCACCACGTATTGTTTTTTACAGTGCTTTGCTTTGTTTGCTTTAAGTTCTATTTTTTACCTTGTGATTTTGGACACAGCAACCTGCAATTTCACATAATTCCTTTACTTCGTTTTGAACAAAGAAATATTTTATTTTTAATTCGCAGCTATGGAACGTGTGTTAATTAACTGACGTTTCGTTACATGTATAAAATTAATAAAGATAGTTTGTTATTATCACGGAAATGAAATACCAACAGAATAAATAAATATCAATAGAAAACTAGGCTACGCAGGGCCGGATTGATACGTATTCTATGTTTAGGTCAGAATTTCCCAATGTGTGAGGTGTAAACACAAAACAAATTATGATTAGTAATAACTATATGATAAACAATGAAATTGCATGCAATTTGTAGATAAAATTGATAAATAGATTTTGTGTGGTTTTGGGCTTAGTTTCTTTCTAATTTCATGATATGAACAGTAGTTCTATTGGTTGTATTTACCTCTTCTGCAACCATGTCTCGAAGTTTGACTTCTTGTGAGCGGGAGACTGATGCTGTGCGGTGGTACTCAACCAATTCATTGAGTGAATTGAATTTCACCACCCAAAGGAAGAATTTACCCTGTGCGTCTCGGAGGACTTTGAAGTGCTGCACGCCATCAGAACACCTAAAATTTAGTAATAATTAGAGTGAATTATGAAATAGTTATTTCTAAAAGGAAATTGGTAAACCACAGAGCTGTTACAGGAAGCTGATAATTCTTACTTTACTGATAAAGAAAAATCGCCTGGTGACGATTCACTGATCCTTATAAGGAAGGCGCCCTCATGCTTCGTATTCAGCAGCTTCTCAGCATCTGCCCTTGTTATCCTGCCATAATACCAGCTGAAATGAAACAGAATAATTTACTGCTACTGTCGGTCTATCGGTTATCGGAATGCGATTACTTGTGGTCTTTCATTTCAATATAGTTACTGGGTATCAGCCCCTCCTTGCCGTCCAGTTCGGCCCTGTACCAGTTCATGTCATCTTCCATGTTTAGGATCTACAAAAACAAAAGAGGAATGCGTTTAGTGCTGAGCGACGATCGGTTGGGATGCGATGATCCCCTCCTGCAGTAGGAAATTACCTTGAGCACTTGGGCTTTCCTGAAGCTGAGCTCGTCCTCAGCTGTAGCATTGAATTCGTGCTTGGCTACGGCCTCCATAGCGACAAAGAGAAGACACAGGAACGGAACCAAAGGAACGAAAACACAAACAGAAGTCGGAAGAGGGAAAGAAAGAAAAAGAACACTCTCTTGCACGCACGCACGGTATATTCAAATTTCACAGGAATGTCCCTCCTCACTCTTCACCAATTGTCACTTGATCCAAATGGTGGGCGATTTACAGATGGCCGCTGACGGATTTATTTTTTTCTGTTCAAATGTGTGTATGAGTGAACAGCACGTATATGATGTTCACTCTTCTCTTGCATTCGTTGTTTTTCTTCTTTTTTTTATCTTCGGCTATCTCACTCTACCTCTTCCTGTGTGTATATCTATAGATATATTAGGCTGCTGACTCTTCGAATAACCGCCACTAATCCCTATACAACTCCTCCAGGAACATTGCAGCAGAATGGAAGGGGTAGACGATGCGAGTGAGGAAGGCAAACAAAATAAAAAACAAACAGAACCACCCGGAATCGTTCCAGAACTATTCCTCGATTTCACCCGCGCTCTCCGCCGACACTAAAATCCTATGCCTCGGTACACTCCCATTAACCACCATTGAAACTCGACACTCTGACGCGTACGAAAGCCACAGCGCGGGCGACGTTGGCAACATTGTGCGACGCACCAATTCGAATTTTGAACATTTTTAAATATCCAAAAACTTTGTAATCTCTTCCACAAACAACGCCAAACACACCCAAAGGAAACAAATGGTAGCACGATATTACGTGCTCAATAACATATGCATATTTTTCAATTTTTCCGCAACGATTTACAGAATGTTATCAACTACTTCGTTATCTTGTTAACGTCACATCTCGTTTGCAGGGAAAATTCCAATTAATTAATCCTGCCGAAACTGTGCTCCAGTAATAATCTAACGGATGCGTAATTAAGCATGTTTATTTAGTCCTTTGTGGTTTTTCCTTCAAAAGCCTATACGCACATACATATGTAAACATATACACATACAACACCCAGGCAGAGATATATGCTATATGTTTTCAATTTAAGGAGCGAAGATCTGGCCGTTTCTAATTCCGTGCCACCATGAAATGCACAATATTTCGCATATATTTTTAGAATGTCGGACGCGTTGCTAACATAGGAAGAAGTGATTTCAATTACATAATCGAACGATTGGCAGAGTTCTTCACTTTTAACTAACGGAAGCAAAGACATGTTAAACAAATGTTATTAGAAGATTTATATTTTAAATAGCTATTGACCGTGAGGACCTTCAGTCTTCTATCTTGATGATAAATCACTATAACACCAACACTCTCCACCCAACTAGAGAAAAAAAAGCGAGGTTCAACCAAACAAATCTAACATTAAAATAATTCAAAGATTCCAATGCAAATGTCTAATGAAAACAATATTTGCCTCGTGGTTCATTGCCAATAGGAAAAATTATTTATTCACTGCAAAACACTATTACAAAGCTGAGTACTATTTAAAATATACATTAAAAAATTATGAATCTACTTAACAACAGTATATATAAATAAGCGTTTACACTCCTAGATTGAGGGTATAAATGGAATTGAAGATTTTTTTGTAATGTTATTCTTTCTCATATTTCATTAACAATTACGATTTATTCTTGATTCTTATGATTAAATAGAAAAATACGTAAATGAATCATATAAATACCAATTTATCAAATTATTAAATGTAATGTTATCATCATTTAATAAATTAAATAAATAAAAACATAGTTTAAAAATCAATCAGTTTGCAATGTGAAAATAATTAAAATAATTATTAACATGATTTGGAATAGATCAATGTTCTTGTGAATGTCGATTTCCTGACGATTATACGTTCAATTTTGACGTGCCAGTTCAGTATTTTTGTCGTACAATGTACTTTTTGTCTATCAATTTTGTTTATCTACTAATTTGCATTAAATCCAACCCAAATATTTCTCACATTTTCGTTGGTTGATGAATGCTAGAATAGACATCACTGAAAATGAATACACATACATATATATTTGATAAAATTTCAAACACTTAGATCTTAATTGAATCGATAAAATTTATTTGATAAACGAAATAATTTAATAATAAAAAAGATGTACATAGAACATAGCTGTATTTACTAAATATGTAATTTAAAAATGCAAAAACCTTGAACCAAAAAAACATAGTTGATTGTTTGGAAAGTTTCCTATTTCCAGAGCAGATCATTGTACTTTACAAATCGAGTTAATTTAGTGTACGGGCTTTACAAAAATATAATCAATTGATAATTCAATGGTAAAAATTCATTAAAATACTTCACTAATGAGTCACAATCAGATTAAATTCTACTATTATTGTTTAGTTAAGTTTTGTATGAACTAATTAAAAATATCGTTGTTTATTACGTTAATGATATATGTTTTTCTGAACAATCGGGTTGTTACATAAGTCCGTTCGTATTTTGGTGTGTACACGTTTACGTCCAGTGGACGGTGAATAGTTAAATGGAAGGGGATTTTTGATAACGATAGTTGTAGTATGCAGTTGTAGCTACATTTTAGTGTAAAGTTTATTTAATTTTGCTATCTAGTTTGAGAATTTGTTTAGATTGAAATTGAAGAAAAAATGTGAATTTTCGGCATTTCATGCTGTATTTTAGAAAAGGTCCTCAAGCGGCCATGTCTAGAGGGCTTCTGTAGCTACCGATCGCGTCGTGGAATCCCCGATTCAAGAATGGTTAGTTCGAGCTTAGAGCTACCTCTGTGCTCTAGATCAGTGAACCCTAACTCTCGATCCGCGGATCATATCGTACCGGTCCGCAGGATCAAAGGGTACCGGACCGCCCAAAGAACATATTTTTTCCATTTTATTTACTATGGTGTATTTCTCTCAGCTTTGTGCGACTTTCCATGGACGAGAGACTATTTATGTTTTCATTATATTCTGAATCCTTTTTTTTTGCAATTTTCGCATTATTAAGTTGCGTTTTTATAAAAGGCCCAATGTAAATACTATTTCATATTTAGTTTTTAAAGTGCTGTAGTGGTCCGCGGGATTAAAAAATTTCAGTTTAGTGGTCAGTGAGGGAAAAAACGTTGGGGACCGCTGGTCTAGATGGTAATAAGAACTTCCTGGAGAGACGGCATTATGAAATTGATTGAATGTTAGGCCATAGTAATACAAAATAATGGACAATAAACTTAATAATAAAGCTTTTTTAGAATGTATAACTTTTTGAATTTTAGTTGTAAAAAACGAAAGGACTTATATTCTTCTTACAACCCAATAGTTACGTGATCATGATTTCAGGATCAAAACAGCGAGTCCGCTATAGAAGTAACAGGTTTGATGTTGTCAATATTAGACTTTTAAGATGTGACAATGTGAGTGTGTAGAAAAAGTATTGTTTATTGTGCACTATTACTGATCACGGTTGAACATTGATTTTGCAGGGGAAACGTAATTGCGGTTGTACTAGGGGCAAGGGAGAAGGAGAGAACGTTTGCCGAATCTTTTTGGGGTGCCTATACCTTGACCGTCGGCTCAGCATGGATGGCCGAAATGAGTTAATTCGAACGGTTATCGGACTTTGGTATTAGATTCTAAATGACTATCCTGTTTCAGTAACGTACCCGTTCGATCTAATAAAGACGCGGCTTCAATTACAAGGCGAATTTGTAAACAAGGTCGATCTGAAAATGTTCAAAGAGCCTTATCGAGGAACTTATGATACCTTTAAGGGTGTTATCAAAGAGGAAGGTTTTTTCAGTTTGTACAAAGGGATGCAATGGCAGTTGGCGCGCCACTTTCTCTATTCGGGGCCAAGAATGGCAGGCTACGATTACCTGAAGCTATGGGTTTTTCCTCCGAACGAAGCGTATATGACGACCTTCATGAGCAATTCAATTAGTACTGTGATACACACATTGAATTAATTTAATTTTTTTAATTGTTTGTGTGGTTTCTGTCATCAAGGTGGTATGACTGCTGGTTTTGCTGCATCCTTCCTAGGGAATCCAGCAGATGTGGCTAAAGTTTACGCTCAGATGGAGGGCAAACGTGAGTTGCTACACATGCGTTCGAGGACAAGCGTGTTGCTGGGCGCCTTCAGAACCCTTTACGCAACCAGCGGCCCGATGGGTTTCTGGAAGGGATGTTTTCCCAACGCGTTTCGAGCTAGCCTGATCAACCTCGGCGATCTTGCTTGCTACGACCTATCCAAGGATTACATCCTGGAATTGAAAATTCGCGATGGCCTTCCGACTCATATAGCCTCAAGCGCTTTCTCTGGCCTCATCACCTCCCTGCTTTCCACCCCATTGGATACTTTAAAGACTCGCATGATGAATCAACCAGTCGACAAACGTGGAAGGTTATTAATTAAGGTTAATAATCTTAATACAATGCTTAATGGAACGCCAGATTTTTTATTGCAGAGGAAAAGTATACAGGTCTACGTGGAATTGCTTGAGGAAAACGTGGCGTTTCGAAGGAATAAAAGGAGTGTATAAGGGTTTTGTGCCGAACTGCATGAGAAATTCCCCTTGGGCAGTGATCTTCTGGATAATATACGAGCGAGGAAATGAAGTACTCACCGTTGCTCAAAAGAAGTGGCGAAAACGATGGAAACGACACAGAAAACGGCTGAAAAGGGCGAGGGAGAGATGCGCCAGAGCCAAGGAAAGGGAGAGAAAACTGAGGGAGAAGAACAAGTCGAAATGACACGCACATCACATTTCAATTTGACAGTCTTGATATAAATCTACGTAAATAGCGAATATTATCAAACGTCGTTTTTTTCGTTAATTTATTTTCACAACGGAAAAAGCCCAAAGGATTATGTTGGCTTTAGGTGTTGAACAAACAATGAATTTACTTACTATGTGTATACACGTATTTTTTTTGTTTTCGTTTGGAGTCCTGTTTATCTAAGTATGCTTACCTCCAAGTATGTGTTGCATAATCGGAGTCTTAGATGACGTCGTTGTTGTTTATTTGACTTAGAGATGATTTTCGGTATGGTAGTTTTATGATGGAGTTTACGTACCTGTTGTTGTGCACTACGCTTTAATTGCTTACTTACAGTGGAGGACCATGATTTGGCCCCCCAAAAATCGCCTGAGATAAGGTACAGTAGGAGATTAGTTTGGCTTTGCGTATGTAAATCTCGGTTCAAATTATTTAAAAGCATAAGCCTTTGGAGTTTTGATTCCATTCAGTGAATAATATCGCGACCGACGAGCGCTCAGGTCCGTTCGTGTACCCATCGATACACACAACACTTATGTCCAAAGAAACCGAGGATTTTGCAGCAGCGACGAATAGAAGAGAAGTAAAACCGTAAGCGCACAGATAGTAAGTATTTAAAAAGTGTTACTTGATGTATTGTACTCAATCTCATCTGTTTTTGTGTAAATGTAGTGACGACTGACGAGGGACAATCGAAGATGAGACGTTTCGTCTACGACAAATTCCGGATCCTGCATTGGCTTCCACAATACAACAGGACAGCCTTCTTTTCAGACATGATCGCTGGTATAACCGTCGGACTAACTATGATGCCCCAGTCGATAGCATACGCTTCTATTGCCGAGCTTCCGCCGCATTACGGACTCTACACCGCCATTATGGGATCATTCGTCTACATATTCTTCGGCACCATCAAGCAAGTGTCCATCGGACCCAGTAGCCTTATGTCTTTGCTCACTTTCTCTTACCTAAATGGTATGGGCATTGATTATATTGTCCTGCTGACTTTCTTGGCCGGTTGCGTCGAGCTGCTGATGGGCATCTTCAATTTAGGATTCCTGGTGGACTTTATATCTGCTCCGGTAACGTCAGGCTTCACTTCGGCCACGTCAGTCATCATCATATTGGCACAATTAAAAAATATTCTAGGCATCAAGTTCACTAGTGTTGGCATTTTCAATCTGATGCGGGAGTTGTTTGCCCATCTGAAATATGCTAAACTGTCCGACACCTGTTTAGGTGTGGGTTCAATGACGGTATTGCTAAGTATCAAATATATCAGCCAGATCGATTTCAAGAATCAAACGCTGAAGAAGGCCATATGGTATCTAGCAATTTGCAGGAATGCGCTCGTCGTCCTCTTTGGGTGTATTATTGCATTCCTTTTCGAGTACAATACGGGGGAGCAGCCATTCGTCATCGCCGGCAAAATTACACCGGGTCTTCCGGAATTCAAGTTACCCAATTTCAGTACTACAAACGGTAACGAGACGGTATCCTTTGTGGAAATGATCAATACTCTGGGTTCAAGTATAATCGTTCTGCCAATCGTCGCTGTTCTTGCCAACGTAGCAATCGCTAAATCGTTCTGTAAGTTAAGCTAAACTTATTCAATGTTTTCAATCGACTAATGGATAATTGTTTTACTTTAGCTGACGGAAGCGTATTTCAAGCAACCCAAGAGATGATGACTTTAGGTATATCCAATATCTTGGGCTCGTTCGTAGGCGCTATGCCCACAACGGGCGCATTTACAAGATCAGCTGTGAATAACGCTAGCAACGTTCAAACGCCCATGGGAGGTCTATACGCAGGAACCATGATTCTACTGGCACTCAGCTTCCTGACACCCTATTTCTATTTTATCCCGAAACCATCGATTGCGGCAGTTCTCATTTGTGCCGTTATGTTCATGGTCGAATATTGGGAAATTCCTAAGCTTTGGAGATGCAACAGTAAGAATGTTGTTATTCCAGCATGTTTTGATAGAAGCTAACAAATATTTTTTATTTTAGAATTTGACTGCTTTATTTGTTTGGTCACTTTCTGTTCGAGCCTGTACTTAGGTGTCGAGGTCGGCTTAGCGATTGGGGTCTTCCTGAACATCATTCCAATGATCAAAATATGGACAAGGCCTGAGATACACACAGATATAAAATCAGTAAATTCATATATAATTGCCAATCATAAACAAAATTAATGTGCATTCCATTGTAGAACGGAAAAGGAAATGAGTATTTACTGGTGAAACCGGAACTGGGCCTGTTCTTCCCATCCGTCAACTACATGACAGACACTTTGATGACGCTCTCCGTAAAATACGATTCCATGCCAATTGTATTGGATCTGAAGAATCTTGTTCGAATCGACTACACCGGTTGCCAAGTACTAATTTAATGCAATCGCTTTAACACTAGATATAAATTTAATTGGTATTATTTTATAGATGCTTGCTGCTGCGATTAAGACATTCAAGAATAAATCTCGTCAATTGGTGTTCCTGAATTTGAAGCCCAACGTATTCAAAGCGCTGAAGTCAGTAGTAGACGTTGATGAAACGGACATCCGCACTTCAATCACCGACGATGATATCTTCCAGAATGAATCAGCCATTCCTTTGCTGCAGAATGAAATGATTATATACCACAACGAAGAAAATGAAAAGAGGAAATCGGTTTACGAAAACGTATAATTTTTATATGCATATTTAAAATATTTTTTTGAAATACAACTATTTTTAATTGTTTTTCGTCTTTATTTTTTAAATGCCTGTGTATGTTGGGCAAAAAATCGGCGGTCTTGATGCGAAACGATAGTAGAGTTGGCCGTCTGTAAAGCAGATAAAAGGCAAGAGGAATGAGGACCAGTCAAAGTCCGGAAAGAGTTCAGCTAGTTTCCTCATGAACAGTTGATATTTATTGGGCAAACGCACAATCTGTTTCAATTTATCATTATCCCCGTCGTTTGTGTGAGTTCCAGTTTTATCATTATTCAATTGAGCTGCATCAGATTTCTTGTAATTTTCATCTAACTCATTATCTCCGTCCCCTTTTCGGCTGCTGCTTCTTCCTTTTTCTCTCCTTCCATCGTCGCCTCTTCCAGATATATCCTTCATTCCTTTCTTACCTCTTTTTCCTTTTCTTCTATCATTATAATCATCACTGTCATTTCCTTTCCTACCTTTACTTCGTTTATTTTGTACATTTCTTCCACTACGTCTTTCATCATCGTTTCTATTCTTATTAACTTTTTTGCTCTTTTTACTTCTTTGACCGCCGTCACCATCATCATCATCAGATCGATTTTTACTTTTACCTCGTTTATTCTTTTTTCCTCCAGTTCCTTTTTCATCATCATCATCATCATCCCTGGTACTTTTACCAGATTTCCTGCTCCTACTTCTTCTAGATGTATCATAAGAATCATCACTTCTCCGGCCTTTCTTTTTTGAATCCATGCCGCTGCTTCTACTTCTTCCACTGCTTGAACCTCTACTGCTTTTCCCCCTACCGTAACTACTTGTACTTTTACTTCTTCCACTACTGTCTCTGCCGCTGCCTTTCTTCCCTTTGCGTTTTCCAGTTGCGGTATCCTTGTTCAGTACCGTGGTGAATGGATTTACGAATTCTCCATTCTCTCCCAATAAACTCTTCAACAAATCATCCTTTAGATAATCACCGAGATTCTTAAGCTCTTTTTTTAAACCAAGCAATGCATTTCCACCTAACTTTGGTAGACTCAACCCCAGAGCTTTTAGTTCGTAGTATCTCTTCAGTTGCTCAGCATAAAATAAACCCTTACAAGGATGACGCGTTCCCTTCATTCGAATATTGGCCTTGTTGCAAGCCTCAGAACAGAAATACACCAAACCACAATTTGGACATACAATTAGCATCTTATCTTGTTTCAACAAACATTGAAAGCATACCACATACTTCTCCTCGTTCGGATCCAATTCAAATTCTCTAATTACTTGCTTTGCCAAGTGCTTCTTTCGCCTCTTACGTTTCACATTAATAGGTTCTTCTGTATCTTCTTCAGGTAATTCCAATTTTGCCAGATCATCAACTAGCTTATATTTTTTCTTTTTCTTCTTTACCTTAAACCCATTTGTAGAGTAAAGCTGAAATAATTTATATGTAATAAGAGCATGCAGATCTTCGCGCATATCTATTATTTTCCTGTTAATTAACAGCTGATGCATCTTTAGGGCTTCATCGATGTTCAGAAATTTGAGCAAGTTCTTATTTTCTTCATCTCCAAAAAGTACTTTTTTGTAATTCTCTACGTGCGCTTTAAACTGGTAATGACGTAATGCAACTTCTCTCGATATTTTAACAAGTTTCTCTTTGTACATATCAACAACGTTTTTTTTCTTTTTCTTCTTTTTTTTCGTATTCTTTTTTTCTTTCTTTTGCGGCGCAGAGCTTTCCTCCAAACGCATAAACTCGATGCAATTTAAATGCAGTCCCGTCTGATTTAAAGGATTCGCGTACGAATTTATCAGAATGTCTGTAATTTTTAAACAGGTCTTGATATCAGGTATAGTGTTGTTATATCTATTTAAAGTATAAATTGTAAGCGCAATGCCCAAGTTATTGCCAAGTATTTGGTTTGGGTCGCTACCTGATTTTAGAAGTCGATCCGCTATATTTGAGTTTCCTCGAAGAACAGCCAAAGATAGAGGAGTGTGTCCTAAATAATTTAAATCCTTTGCTCCCGCTCGTACTAAAGTTTCTAGAAGTTCATCAGGAATCTCGTCGTACCTCATGGCCAATATATGAAGAGCCGTTTTTCCTTCCGCTGGATCGCCTTCCTGTTTGCCCATAATATTAAAGCCTTCTTCTAGCCAATGATCCGGTGCTGTTCGAACATTCGGATCGGCCCCGTATTGAAAGAGAACTTGAGCCATTTCCGATAAACTGGTTGCGGATGGTATGTTGCAGATAATGTGAAGCGGCGTCATGGATTTGTAACTGAGATTAGGAGAAGCGCCAGCTTCCAAAATTTCCCACAAAATAAGCGGATTTTCACTGTAAACGGCTAGAAAGAGAGGCGGCATAGGGAGCTCACCATAATTGGGATCAGCTCCAAAATGTAGAAGAACCCGAATAGTATTTACGATCACATCTAGCTCCAATTTTTCCTCTATTACAATGTCAGGTTCCTTTTTATTCTTCTGCTTCTTAGATTTTTTTGCTTTCTTAGCTTTCTTTGCTTTTACCTTCTTTCGGAATTCCGTATGGAATACGTATTGAGTTGTAAATGGTTCTTCATCATCTCCTTTGTCGAGTTGGTACGGCTTTTGGAAGTTCCGAAGACTTTCGCTAACTTCAGTTAATCCAAGCTTCTGAAAAATGTCTTCAAAATCCGCGTCTCTCTGCTGCAAACCCTGCAGAATGTACAGGATTAACTCTTCCGACTCACCGAAGTAAATTCCGTCGCTGTGCTTAATGACGTACTCCTTAGCAATCAGACTTATTAAAGATCTTTGCGGTCTCCAACTGTTAATTTCCTCTAAATCTTTCTCCGAAATTTTCGGTGCATCTAAGAAAGCCTCCTCCCAATTACGAATGGCTTTATTGTAAGCAATATATCTCGTCAGACATAACGTGAGAGGTGTAAGGTTTTCGTCGTTCATTGCATCTAGATTAGCACCTAGATTGGTCAATAAACGGATTATGTTCCATCTATCTCGGCAGGCTGCAAAAAATACTGCAGTATTCCCATTGGAATCAGATAAATCTGGATTTATGTGGCAATGAGTAGCAAGAGTTCTTGCCTCTGATTCATTTCCATTCGAGCAATGGTTTAGGAAGGAAATGCAAGCACACTCTAATATGCCGGGATCACCGAAGACGCTTCGGTCTCCGGACAGCAATTTCGGCACGTCGAAGTTAATTGTGTTCTCGTTGTGCCTATGCACGAATGAATGCTTTAACAATTCAACGGAGATACACTCATTATTCCAAGCGAGCAAATTCTTAACTGGCATCTTCTTAGTTTTAATCTTTAATGGTGTTTCTACCTTTGGTAAGATTTCCAGAAAACACTTCTTCAGTTCTATTAGTCTGAGTTCTTCGTTCGAGCTATCCAGAAAACGTTCCACGTGTCTTAAAAGAAGAGAAATGACGTCTTGTACTTCTTGCGGTTCTCCGACTTCCTCTTCTTCTTCATCCTCCTCGACCAAACTGCAGGAGCTCTCATTCTCGCCTAACGCAACTTCTATATAACTGCTTTTATCGCCGAAGAATTCCCTATCATACCTAGGTTTATTAAAAGCAGAAGCATTTGGATTCCTTATATTATCGTTGTAGATCATATCAGGTTCATCATAAATAGGAATAATTAGGTTTGCCTTGTACTGCTCTGGCTCCACTGACACCAGCTTCCTGTAACCGAGTAGTTGGATTTTTGCGGGATTCGATACAGCTAGCTTGGGTACCCAATGCGAGCATACTGTCTGCGATAAACGGATCAAGCCTTGTCCTAACCAAAGTCCCACGTCCTGATTTCCATTCGGGTATGTGAGAACCCCCGGACCGAAGCGGTCGTTCTTCTTGTGCAGTCCTTCGAAATATGTGCAATCATCCTGTATTATCCTGGCGTATCCTTCGAAGCAATTCGCGTAGAAGCTCCCTTCATACATGTACTTATCTTTCAGACTAGTATAAATACCATCACCGTGCAAATTATCCTCCACGAAAGATCCACAATACTTTTGATTATACCATTTTTGACATCCATACCCGTGACGACGGCCTTCCTCGTTCAAATCACCAAAATATTCTGAACAATTGTCAAAATGAGACATAATATAAGAATTATCAAAAAAAACTATTTTGTTTTATCAAGTTTTTTTTTTAATATTTTTAAATGATGAGTTGTTTATTCATTATAAGGTATTTGAGAAAATTAAAAAATAATCAAAGTTGGTTTGTGGCCAAAATGTATGTTATTGATTGTTCCTTGTTGCTTATTTACAAAACCCAACAATAGATATGAAATTAAAAAGCTAGAACAAGGTTAAGATATTTTTTTCGATATGGAACGTATTATCGTATTTTACAATAGTTTATATGGGAAAAAATGTTTAGCTTAACGAGTGTTTCAATTTACAAGTAAGGAATCCTGGAACGGTTTACGCTCGTTAAGCTAAATATTTATAATATATTAAGTAAATATTATGAAAAAGTCATTATCTTCAATTTACATATTTTAAACAGTCTAATTTTAGATGCAATTTTAAATATTAATTTATTATTGTCCATGTTTCAGTGTTTGTTATTTATTTTAATTAACACCAGTTTTGTACTATCTTTTTTTTTGTCTAAGAATATAAAATCTTCACTAACTTTATGTAGTGGAGGCTGTTGATAATAGAATATAGCAGACTGAGAATTTGGGGGCCCTGGACTAACCCCAACTAACCCTTAATAAACCCAAGTTTAGGTTAGTTGTATTCATTTCTATTGAACGAGGCTACAGCCTATGGCCATTAAAGAGTCAACTGACTATGTATCTATATTTTCTTATTAAGTGTAATATTTATTCTTCGAATATTAAAATTGGATCAGATTCTCTTTATCTTTTAATATTCTTTCAGCAAATTATTAGTGATTTAGCGAAGTATTAATTAATTTTTTAGTAAGAATTTTATCAAATATTTCTTTCAACATAATTCAAATTTTATAGAGTTGATGGATCAAAAGTATTAGCAAAAACAAACAAAATTTAAAAAAAACCTAGCAGATCAATTTATAAATAAAAAATATTTTAAATAGTTTTCTGCCAGATTGTCGTGTCCCAGGGTTAAGAAATCCTTGGACACCGTGGATTATCTCGTAGTTATGTCGTTGCGGAGTCTTAGAGGGGTTTATGAATATTAAATGCAATATTCTTAATTAACTTTATTGTATACATCGGAGTTTTACTAAGAAGTCAACTAGACAATAGTTGATCTCAGGTATTATTAACTAAGAGTTACATTCTCCTCTTAAGTTAGTGTTTATGAAGAAAGTGCTCTTCCTTGGACTCTCCCAAGTAGGACTTCTTCTCAGTTCGACCCCTTAGCTAAGACTTCTTCTCTCTTCGGTCCCCTGACTAAGACTTCTTCTCTCTTCGCTCCCCAGACTAAGACTAAATTATATAATACAGAAATGTGTTTATTTCAAAAAGGGGCTGCGTGGGAGGTAAGGGTTTGACCTTGTAGAAAACACAACCGTTTCTTTATCTAAGTTTTATGATCCTGCCCAAATATTTAGGGGCTGCAGAAGTTAAGTGGTGATGCAATATACGCAACTATACGATTTAATGTGTAACCGTCCTTCGGAATATTCCACAAGTTATTCTAAATATTCACGTACAAGTATCCGTTTGTATATTTGATGGATACGTTAAATAAACTTTGTAATAATTAATAGGAAAGTCATGACCCTAACAAATATACATATTAGTTATACAATAGATGACAATAAATTGGTCGGCCACGACAAGATGATCAAAATAAAGACAATTCTGATGAGAGGCCGGCGTATTGGTCTGTTGCCTAGGGCCTACAAAATGTATTTCGATAACAAGCAAATCCACTAAAACACATTTTTTTCTGAAAGGCATCGACCAGTTTCTAAAAACTCATCTATTTTGAATAAACTCATTTTAGAGACTGACTGCATGAAGGATCATTGAAACAGTGGCGGAATTTTAATGGATGTTTCAAATGTTTAGGGCTCTCAAGTCTTAAAATGTATTAGTAACTGACATCAACTCCTCCCTTGGTCTAGGACCAACGACACTCTTAATGTGGCTTCAAGAACCGACACTAAACCTTCCAATCATCAATATTTTACCTGGTGCTTAGGGCTCTATGATTTATAGATATCAAATTGCCAGTAAATTTAAATTTTCTTTGGGCCCCAAAATTCATTGAAACTTAAACATTCTAAAAAGCTTAACATTATTTGGGGAGCCTACACTAACATTCTTTATGAGCCCTTTTATTGGATGGGGCCCTGTAGCTCACAAAGTCTATGCATAAATCTACCTCTGGATAAACTCCTTGGGAAGAAACCAGCGAAGTTTGATAAAAACTAATCGTCGGATTCTATGATTCATAAATCTATTTAAAAAAAAGTGTTATGTGGTTGCATTGTAAAAAAAGACACCGAAAACCCACAGGGCTAAATGCTGGTTTCTGTGTAATGTTATCATTTCTATTGTTAATACTTTTGCTTCAATCGAATACATTCATTATGAATAGTTACATAGTTTCTCCATTATTCACGCAATATTCCATCCTCCCAGAATTTTGGTGATACGTCAAAAAACTTTACCATGTGGTTTTTTATGTCGACTAAAAATTAAACGTTGCAGTTAATGGAATTTTGCAATGGCTCGAATGTAACTTCTCCGTAAAGAGAATAATTCTAAGTTATTACTTTAGTGTCATTTAGTAATAGAAAAGTATGAAAGACTAAAATAAACTTAGTTTTCTTCCATCTGTTTTTAATGGTTTTACTAATGGTAAAACCATTCTAGAAAACATATTGCAATCAATCATTATAGATTACAAAGGAACAAAGTCTTTTAAACATGTATTCATGTATATAATTAATTATTTTAAATAATTATGCACAGGAACATTTTTTAAAATATATACATTACTGTGCATGTGTTGTTTTGACCATTAGTAGTTGGGACAGCGTAGATGATATCACTATGTGCTCTGTGATTGGGATTGTGTACAATTTTTTGGAAGGCCATTACGTAATATGCAAGGTAAAAATAATAGTAACAAAAAAAAACAAATAATTATTTGTACCCAACATTCGTAGTATGTTTTTAAATTGCGTCCGGTGTCGGCGCTTATCGCTCCGTTCTTCGCATTCTTCACATGCCTGACCCTAATAATCTTCTGGTCTTACCAAAAACTTGTTGAAGTCTATCTTAGGATACGCTTCGGAACTAATTTTCTTTGCTTGGTAACTGGATACGATCTGGCGGCTCTGAATTTTGGCTCAACTCCGGATGTAGTCACCCACGTGTATATGATAAAATCTGAAACACCTAATGAAGTCCTACTGAAGCAAATACGCAATCAGTTCAACGAAAAAATCAAAGATAAAAGATATGGTAAGCTGATGAGTTTGCGAAAAGAGTTGTTGGGTTACATGTATTTGGTGATGAGCGAAAACGTGGTGGTCGCTGATTTTATCAGAAGCGATGGACGTGAGTCTGAAGAAGTTCTGAAAGAAGCGCACAACTTACCGTTACCATTCAACAATCAATTTAACTGGGAAGTGATCTTGTCAGGTTCTTTGATGATAATACGATACCACCATAGCTTGGCTGACGTGATTTCCGCTTACAATATCTTCAGTGATCTCTTTTGTAAACCAAATCCACTCAAGGATGCATACGCTAATAAGTTGCTATCTTCGTTGAATATCAAGAACTTGTCGTGCAAAAGAAACATCGCATTAAATACTAAGGATAGAAGAACAGTTTTTTATAGGGATTGTTACGAAGGGAATTCTACTGCTTTCATTTGCGAAAATAATGAACGTTTTGTAAAGAAAATCAAGATAATATCTAAAAATACAAACTCCACATTTTTAGCCATTCTTTTGAGCTGCTATTCAGCTTCCTTGTCAAAAGTGATTGAAGCAAGACAAGATGAATTACCTAAGTACTTATCCTGCATCTGTCCGAGACAAATTGATATACCTCGTCTAGCTAAGCTCTTATCAAATAAAGCTTGCTATGAATTTGGAAACAAGTTTTGCGGGTTAATAGTGAAAATACCCATAAGAAGCAAAGATTATGATATGCTGGAGCGTCTAAGACTGACCAAGGAATATCTGAAGAATTCTATGGAATCGCACATGGTCAAATTAGGATATCTTTGCGGTATATATTTCTTTCGAGTGTTTCCGATACCATTACTTAGGTTTGTCTTCGGCCGCTTTAAACTAACCAGCGGTGTGAGCTGCGTTCCTGGTGGTCCAAAATTAGAGCTCTTCAATGGTGATACAATTGAAAACCAATTTTTCTTGATCAACCACTTGGACCAAGTCTGTAAGCTTCTTACAACAGCCTTAGCTTTTTTACTTAATAGCATTTCTATTTCAAGGTTTAAGTCTTAGCATATTGACGTACGATGATAGACTGCAATTGGGTATAATTGGAAGTAAGGATGAACAATTAAATCAGGTACTCAACGGTATATTCCATGCTATCGATCAACTTTACGTAGAAGCCCAAATCAGAATTACAACTGACTCAACCGTGACATGCTAATGTTTATATCGAAAATATATGTAATATTTGAGAACTAACAATTTGATTAATCAAAATACATTTCAATCACTTAGATAAATAAAATACTTACTATAATGTTAACATACTTTGTTAAAATTTGCTAAAATTATATGTGCCAGTTATTATGAGTTATTATTATATATGAAAGTAATATCATATATAATAAGTCATATATTTTTCGTTTCGAGATATTTAATGATTTGAGTTTAAACAAATGAAAAATATTTGTACTGTAAAGTAAATGTGTTTTGTGTAGCTGTAGGAAATGTGATTTTTAATGCATGAAATGACTTAGACCAGAGGTATCCAAACTTTTTCTGTTTGCAGCGACATTGGTTTATCTCAGGGCGAACGGGGCGAACTTTATATTAATATATAGAATTTTCGGCGCACAGTTTAGGAACCCCTGACTTAGACCATTTTCAAAATTAACGGAATGTCTGCCAAGTGACTTGAACAATAATTAATGTTATTAGCAATAAGAAGTTATAAACAAAAGTATTAATTTAACATTTGTGGTATTCTTAACTTCCTTAGGAAATGGGACTTTCAATTCTAGTATATTTTTTAATTGATTTAAAATATTCCTTGTATATTGATGGAATGCAGGGTAGTAAATCCATTTAATCTTTATATGTTTATTCTGTCATTGGTCTAATTGAAGTAAGCTGATTTTAGAATTCAAAGCCTTACTTTTGTACTTGTCGTATTATAATTACGTAAATGTAAAATCCTCCTCTATTTAATTTAGCATCCCTGTTTTAGATAATGAAAACAAATATAAAAAAGTAAAACTGTATATAAGTATTTTGGAGTGTATTATAAAGCTGTTTAATTTAAAAATATGTTATTTACATTTTCATGTTTTATTATAAAAGACATTAGGCAACTTTCAATGTATTAGCGTATTGAAATTCGGGACTATTTTCATACTCGCACATATCCAAAGCAATTTCGCAGCTCTCCTTGACGACTCTCTTGGAGTCTTTTAAGTACTCTTGCAAAACTTCCAAACATTCTTGAGTTGCAATTGCGCCAAGCGCCTCAGCGCATTCATGCCTGACCATTTCATTCTCCTGTACATCCCTTAGGGATTCTGTGAGATGGGGGACAGTATTGGTATCTTGCAGTTGACCCAGTACAAAGGCAATTTCATGCTTGAATAGTGCACTTCCATGTTTCAAAGCCTCACAGAGTGCAGCAATAGATTCCTTTGAATTAATATTTCGCAGTGAAAACATGGCTCTGTACCTGTTGAATAGAGTAACATCTGGATTCAAGAGTATCTGCCTCAACTCAGTAACATCTGTGGTTGAAGCAGGTGGTGCTGGGTCTACTGAATTGTAAATATTCTGGCTTAAAGATTCAATACTTTCACCACCATGCAACCACTGGATCCTCTCCAAAGCCAGTTCACATGTTTCCTTAACCTCAACAATTGGGTCTGTCAAATATGTTCTGAGGATATCCAGTGTTTCTTTGGAGCCAATGGCACCTAGTGCTTCAGCTAAAAACAAATATGATTTGAATTGAATATCTTATATGTTGGGTAAGACAATATGACTCACCTGCCTCATGCCTGACCATTGGTTCTTGATTTGTGTCTTCGAGTACTTTAACAAGTACGTTAATAGCACATTTGTCTTGCATTTGTCCTAAACAATAGGCAAGTTCATGTTTTAGCAAAGCCGATGGATCTGCAAAAGCTACATTTATTGCGTCCACTGCCTTTGGTCCACCGATATTTCTCAACGTGAAAAGCGCTCGAAAACGCTCCTTCAACGGGCGATTTTCATCCTTCAAAACATCCCCAATCTTCGAAATCTGTTCCTCACTTACGTCCAGCATGTTCACAGGTAAAATAACAAATATAAAAATGCACTAACGAACACGTGAGCATATGACTCAAAACAAAACAACTGCAACAAAATAAACACATTTGCATTGTGTGTAACATAATGCTGTGAGGTAAGTTGCATATAATAATTAAATACTTTAAATTTCAACAAGCTACTAATTTTTACGTGGACAAAAACATTCCAGACGGGAAAAATATGTTTGTACATATTATTTGTTAAGTAGATTTCTATTGTACTTCATACTCAGCCAAATATTGATTCTTTGATTTCAGTTTTATCTGCCTTATTTTCAGATTATGAAAGAATATTTGAGTATTTTTGATAATTTACATAAAAATGTATATGTTTATTTAAATAATAATACAACGTTATGATCTCTATCCATTTGATCTTCTAATTGCTGTCCACTGACTCCCGTTGAGCAGCAGATTTCATCTAGACTAGCACTTCCGTTCAAAGTCTTTTGTAGAACGTTACTGTCTCCTAACAATACTGGATACTTGTGTACTCTTCGTATCAATCCCTCCAGCACCCCAAATTGTACCAACTTTCTCTCATTAATCCACATCGACGAAGGATTCATCCTCAAACACAAGTCTTTAATCCTTGTGCCTCTGGTCATAGCTGCATACATCCTGAAGACATCCCTCAGGGTGGGCATCTGGCGAGGAGACTTTGCCACATACCTCAAGCATCTATCCTGGATTTCCGAATCTTGAGCCAAATACTTCAGTTTCGATGTCGTGCAATAGACGTTCCCATATTGGAATAGAGGCACCAGAGCTACCACTCTGTAGTAGAGAAGATTTTGTACACATGCTTTGACTAGATTATTCTCTACACCAGAGAGAGTAGCTATCCTTGCAACATGATTGAAACCATCTATATAAGGTGCGACTGCATGTGTCGTCAGGTCCCATTGCTGATCGGGTAACGATCTTACCAATACCGGCACTTGATGATCGGCCACTTGAATTGGATCTTTGTGTATCTTCACCACTTTCAAGTGCGTTGCTGTTGGACCTTCAGTTAAAGCGCACTCTCCTAAAGTTCAATGATTAGACATTGCTTACACAACAAAACAAACTTACCATTTGTATTCAATTTCTCAAGCACTTGAGTTAAAATGGGCGCCAATTTCTTTGAACACTGTTTTGAGGACAGAAAACTACTCTCTATTTCCATTGCCATTAAATATTCGGAAAATTTCATGACAACTGGCTCATAGTGAACAGTCCTTGAGTTGCTATCACACACAAAACATAAATTAAAGTGATATGCATTCCTAGGATACTTCTTGTCATCAATACGCACTGGGAAGCCCAAAATCTTGTAATCATCCAATGTCCTACAATAATCCATTCCATAAACCATGCTGTATATCTCATATTACTTCAATCTTACACAGTGATTGTACTCTTCCGCAATTCAGCTTTTGTTATAATGTATACACTAATACTGTCAAAAAGTTCTTTGCTGATATAATTCTCTGGAATCTAAAATGTAATTATATTAGTTTTTAATTTTGCCTCAACAAATATTTAAACCTACCTGGCAGGATATAATTGGGCCCACAGTTGGATGAAACTCACAGAAAAATATACACCTGATAGGGCCATTTGGTAATGTGCAAATCTCCTGGCTATCATACATACCATTGCTTTGCATTTCTTAAAAAAAGAGACAATAGTCTAATAATATTAAAACTTTATCAAATTACTTTCATTTCTGTCTTGACAAAAAAAAACCTAGAAAATAACAAAAGTTTCTACTTCTGTCAAAAATTATGATATTATGCAACCAATCTACCTTCAACATATTCCTAAAAATATACATACAATTCTTCATATTTATTACATTATTTTTGTTTATCTCTGACAAATACAAACATCGAAGGATAATATTTCTGTATATGAAATTAATATATTAAATATTTTTATCTTACAAAATAATACAATTATTAATTATATTAATAAACATTACTCTTTCAATTTTTCTTGCATTTTTGCATGCTGATCTTGATCAGCTGTAAGGGAAACGGAGCAGATGAGAATGTTCAATTGTTCCGGCGTCGGGCAAGCAATCAGAAGCTCGTCATCTGCGGTATATTTAGCCGCAACGAGCAACTGATCTAGTTCAATAAAGGCATTGACGATGTTGTTCTGAAAACAAACAATTAGACAACCGACCCATAAACAATATAAAACAAATACTTACTTTAATTGGTCTGAACAAAATAAATTCCGTTTCTCGATTGGCCAAATAGAGGCGCATAGATCGCTGGATCTCGGGAATCTTCGTTTTTATGTTTCTCTGTGTGCTACTTATTATACCAGCCAATACCTGTGGTTTGGTAAACTCCTGCTCCCTGAGAGGTATCACGTTTTGCTTATATGTCTTAGACATCTTTAAAGCGTGTTCCGCCTGTAAATTAATTTAATTAACTTCATCCTAAACTCAATCAACTGCTTACTTTCTGCAGCCATTGTAGCAGATTCCCAATCAAGGTATTAGTAGTATTACTAATGAAGACCTCGCAAGATCCTTTCAAATGTTTGTCAATTTCTTTGCGCGAATCCACGAGATACTCTTTAACACGTGGCGTTCCCTCCAATAAAAATTCAAGGATCGCGTTGTTGTTGAGCGAGAAAATTTTACTACGGTTATGCATCAAATCCATTGCGGCGCCCCTCAGATGACTAAAATCGAGACTCATCTCTTTCACGGTGAAATCTACTTGAAATGGAGCTATTTGTTCCCGAATGATCAGCAGATGTTTTATTTGGAATAGCTTAGCATCCATCGCACTCTAAAAATATTCCTTACAATCATAATTCCATCATATTAATTATATTACCTTTCTAGCAGATATTTTATCGGCTGCCTTTTCTATGGTCTTAACACATATGAGCAATGCTTCCTGTGCTACGCCCTGAAATATTTCGCGATCCAAACAAATGTAGAGTCGCGATAGACAAACTAAAGTTCTTTTAACAGTCGGATACCACATGCCATGCAAATCAGCAGGAGAATCTAAAATATTTTTCTTTGAAATGCAAGTGTATTTCGCCAAATAATACTTACTTCCAGTGAAGGACCGGAAATGTCCAACTGCACCCGCGTTTATGTTAGCTACCTCTTGTGATTCTAATGAAATAGAGGACGACCTCGAATCTGCTCTTCGCTCGATCAATTCTTCAGCAATATTCTACAAAGTCATACAAAGACAACACTTCAAATGATTTAAAGTAATGGAAATATATTTACTTCCATCTGTTCCAACTTTTCGGGATATGCCAGATCGCCTGGCGACGGTTCGTATGCATTAAGATCATACTGAAAGAATATATTCGTTCTAAACACCAATCTTTCTTCAACATCTTGCAACAATTGATTTATAATTTCCACGAACTGATCAAGCGCAGCTAAAATTTAAAAAAATAATATATTTAAGATACAAACAAAACCGTTATAACATTACGATTATTTTGAGTCTGGTCATTTAGCATCTCTTTAAGAATCGTACACAATTCAGTCAACACTTCAATGTGATTAATCCCAATCAAACACGGTCTTAAAACGTCGTACAAATTCTGGCATAGAGTGGATAAATAATCACTGCAATGTAAAATAAATTATTATCACCTCTTACTTGCCACAGTGAATTACCTCAATTGTTGTGATCTGTTGTTAAAGAAGTAATTGTAGCATCCTGCCTCGTCCTGACAAACCTTAACTAGGAATAGCCCGGCAGATCTAAATAAAATGCTGTGATCGCTTTTGTACTTATCTCTTAAATCCAATAAAGCTTTTGAAACAGCAGATTGCATTACAGGGGCTCTCTGAGAGAAGTAAGACTTTTGTATATCATTGAGAGTCCGCAAATACCTGACGAATCACTAATAAAAATACATACAAGAAATATCTAAATGCACTTACATGTCGTGATCTTCGACATTATCTTCGATGTAATTGATTACGCGACTGATTTTTGTGGCTGCGTTCTGGAATTTCCCATAATAATAAGAGAACGCAGTTTCAACCATTGGTTCCTTGCCTGCTTTCTCTACTACCATTATGTTGCTCTTTAGATCGAGATTTATAACCTGATTTGTGGCATCTGTGATGATGGTGTTCACGTTTTTTAAGACGTTTTGCAGACAAGTGGCCAGGAGATTTTCGTAGCGAAACTTGTAATTGTTAGATTCGCGAAATTGCGCCTGAAATTGAAATAGTACGGTTAATCAATTGGAACTATGGCATTTAATAGTAGTAACAAACATTTTTTGATAAATATTCCATTGATTCATTCATTTGTTCTAATTGACTAATAAATTCCTTGCTGTTGATATTGTAACTATGTAAGGAAATATATTCACTGATGGAATGGTAATAAGTGAAATGCTTCAATTTGTCATGGATCTCCCTCTTTTTTTCTTTCAACTCAGTTTGATGCTTCATTAATTGTTCACTCATATTGTGAAGTGAGTCTGTTTTCAAGGAAACCTGCCTATAAGTTTCTTGGAGATTCTCCAATCCCAAAACTAAGTTCTCAGTCTAAAGAAAAATAAATAGAATTCCAATTAGGAACTTTTTAAATATAATAGTAATTCTACCTCATTGCGCAAAACTTCACATTCTTTTGCTTGCACATGCAAATAGTCCCTCTGATTAATGTACTCATATAAATTTTCATCTTCAATCTCTTTTTCCATAGCTACCATCCTTTGTATATAATCATTAAAATTATCAACTCGGTTCAATTTTAAATCTTCAGTCTCCTCCTATAAATTATTTGAATCACAATATTATTGTAATGCTATTCTATTAACAACATACGTTATCTGTGGGTGTGAAGTATTCCTTTTGCAAGGTCTCTCGCATTTTGTAAATGAGTTCCAACTCTTCATTTGATAGTGGAGCCAACGGACTTTCCACTGCCTGCCACTGCGCCAAATTTTCCTGTACTTTTCTATCAATCTCATCGTTGGTTTCTAATTGTATATCGATTTCTTCGCTCAAATTCAGAGCTCGTAAAATCTTCTCCATTGTAAACATATATTAGAGGTTAAAATTACTTTGACAACTGTTCACCTATTTTGATTAAAACAGTTATGCAACCCAAACGCATTTAGATAATTGCAGTTAATCTTTAAATTATCACTATTGAATGAATAAAACTGTATATATCTATCACAATCATTAAAAATTTTACTAAATTATTTTTATTATGTTTCTGTATATAATTCATTGAATTTTAAGTAGTACTCATATTTTGTATCGGTTAAAAGGGTGGAAGCGTTTGTGGTTGTTTGAATGTCAAAAATGGTTTTGACACTTTGTACTTTGGGTTGCAATTTTTTTTCATTTTGTGCTTGTGTGATGTTTCATTCGATATCATTAGATATTATTATATCTATCATATCCTGGTTTCTCGGATAAGGCTTGATTTTATTATGAATGATACAATAGCCATTTATAAATTGTTGGTTGGTGATGTACGCAGCTGTTGCGGAAACGTGAAGAATGTTGTCCGGGTTCGAATGGCAGAGGTCTGAATCGACGGACGTTTCAGATTGTACGGCGTCGTCCCAATCTAATTTTCGTCGTGAATTTGCCAAAAGAAGTATCGAGCTTAGACGCTCGAAGAGTGCCCACAATGGAATACATGCAACTTCCTGGAGCACCAGCACACAAACTGAAAGCTCTCACTCCAGTTTTGATGATGACGATGACGCTGAAGAGTCCGCGTCCCGCAGTAGAAGAAAGCATCGCCACCACAGAAACCGTTGTAGGTCCAAGCGTCTACCCCCAATTGGAGTCTTTTGGGACATAGAGAATTGCCATGTGCCAAAGAACAAGAGTGCTTCAAGCATTGTTCAAAGGATCAGGGACTGTTTCTTTGAGGGCCACAGGGAAGCTGAATTTATTGTTGCCTGTGATATCCGTAAAGAGAATCCACAGATTATACAAGATTTAAATGATGCACAGGTATACGCTCAAAATCTTATTTAAATGCTTATTTAAAATTATTATTGTTTAGGTGAATATGATCCATGTCTTGTGTACAAGCAAGAATGCTGCTGATGAAAAACTGAGGCAAAGTTTGCGGCGTTTTGCAGAGACCCATCCTCCACCTGCAACTGTGATTCTGATATCTGGTGATATTAATTTTGCTGCTGATCTTTCAGATCTCCGTTATAGAAAGAAAATCACTGTGATCCTTATACACAATTCAAATGCAGCAGATGCTCTCATATTATGTGCAAATAAAACACTCCCATTTTCAACAATAACTGACAACTTACCTCCTCTTAAAAATAAGGTAAGATATGGATGGCAATTATCTCAATTGTATTTACTTGAAATTCGATTTTAGGTACAAGAATCTGTTGATTTGTTGGTATCAAATCTACCTAAAGTATATGACAAAAGACTGAAAATCAGACTTAAGCTGCTTTCTGACAATTGCGGTGGTCGTGTGACTGAAGTAAATAATGACGAAGGCACTGCCATTTTAAGATTCTCATCTCTTGATTTTGCATTAAGGTGAGTACATGAGGATTTTTAAAAGCCATTTAATAAACAAAAAATACAATCTCAAATTATTTGCAATGTGGTGATAAGAATCCATAAAAAAGGATGTATGATTTTTACTTAGTTTTTGAAATATTATCAGTAGTGGTTTAGCATGCAGTGAGGCAAATATGTGTATAATTTTATTTAATTGCATCTAAAACCATTTCTCTTTACACATTTTTAAATCTTATGTGCTTAACAATTTAAATGCACTGAAAATTGTTTAATTTTAATTATATATTCATTCAAATATATTTGAAAAAGATTTATTTAAACATTTGAAAAGAAGAAGAAAATGTCTCATTATAGGCCTTACACAAAAGATAGGTTTGTGCAATTTGCTTTAATAATTTGTATCTTAATCATTTGTTTCACAGAATATAGATTATTTTAAAGTGTGCTGGTATAGAAAAAGTAAAATGGTGAACGGAGTTTTTTTGCCACGTGTTCACTTCTTATCGTCATCTATCATAAATTTAGTTCAAGTTTAACCGTAGTGGTCTTGAAGTTTTCAGAAAGTGTTCCAAGTTGTCTTAAATTATTTTTTATATTTTTAGGGCCCAGAGGCGACTAAATGGGGAAGATGTTTATGGGAGGAAAATCGTTGTGTCAAATCCAGCGGATTGGCGTTCCCACCATTCGCCAAGAAATTTTGGTAATTACGTTTTAAATTTTTATCCAAGAAGAAATTAAATAATTTATTTACAGCTGGTCGAAACAAGGCGAATAAAGGTGGTAATAGCAGCGATAATGGCCAGTTGGGATACAATTTGCCTTCGCAATGTTACAACGGTAGCCAACAGAACGCGTTCTACAATCAACCTTCGAGTGGTAGCCGAGAATTATCCTGGAGATCGTTTGGGGTAAACATTTATTTGAAATCGCCATCTTATTTTATATTGTCATGAATTCCTTCAGGAATCAAACACATTTCGAACGTCGCGCAGTTGTCCACCTCATCACCAGATCGAACAGGTCTGGTCTCAAAGAGGATTCAATGGTGGTAGCAGGCCGAGAACACCGCAAGAGGAGACCGGCAATCCTTTGAGAAGCCATAAGAATGGGGCAGCTACTGCAAGTTGCGATTTTAATGATCACAAGGCAAACCTCGTTATATATGGATTTCGAATTATTTAACAAGAATGTTGTTATTGTAGGCCTTTTATTCGTCGAATAATACATTCCAACCGATAAATTCGGGACAACAGCAGACGATCGAGTTAGTGATCAGCAATTTTGATTCATCTATCAAAGATCTCAGAAATGTTCTTTCGAATTTAATTAAGGAGTATGCCATGGTGTATAGTATTAACATCACTTGCCAACCAGATGGTAGTCCAATAGCATTGGTAAAAGTAGGTTCGCAGCAGGATGCGCATAATATCATTTCCAAACTACACCACTACAAGTTAGGTTTCAAGCGTCTTATAATTGCCTACACCCAAAGCAATACCCTCGATCCGGATCAATTGAAAGAGATGGTCATAACGTTGCTCCAGGTATTTAAAATTTATTTAAAAAATAAAAAACAATAATCTTTATGTATTGAACCGCTAGGAAGCCCCGCTAAATTGCATGCCGCTTTACCGTCTGCTTTATTTGCTGGAAGAGCGTTTTTTAACTAACGTTTCCGTTTCCGAGGTCAATAAATTACGAGACATATGCAGAATAACCGACGACAATGGCGAAAGGATCATCTCACTTACTCCCGAGATTAGGTCTTCGCCTCCGGCAAACTTACAACGGGTAAGTTATACGTCCAACGATTATTATTATCATTCGACAGTATGATGATTGATTTACAGGCGCATATTTTATACTGCTCGGTTCACTGCCCGAATGGTCTGAACGGAATCGAGGACCTCGGATGGGATTCGGAGGAGACCGACGTAACCGAAATACCTCACATTAATATGCCTTTAAAAGTATTCGCCAACAAATTAAACACTCTTCTATCATCTCACATGGGAACCCTACCACTACTAAGGTAATCCACATGGCGGAAAAAGTTTATCTTCATAGAAATATAATATCGTTTGATTTAAATTTGTTACAGTTTTGCCGTTTGCTATAAACATGAATTTGGGGAAACATTGCCAACTGATAACAAGGGCGTGCCGTTAGAGCACTTAGTTACATGCGTCAGCAACGTAAAATTAAAGTATGGGGGTTCCAATCGCAATACAAAATATATCGTCAGGGATATATTCGTAAAGTCCAACGAAAAGGATGAATCTTTTATGACTAGTCTATCGCCATCGATCACTTCTAATATAAGCTTGTTGAGTCGGGAACTGGTTGATCTGCTAAAAACCACCGAGAGGTGCCAACTCCAACTGAACAAATACATTCCAGCATATCACCATCATTTTGGCCGCCAATTACGTGTTGCAGATTATGGGTACACAAAACTAAGTGATCTACTGCATAGTCAACCAATCTCCAACGTAGTACAAGTAATATATTAACATCTAACTAATAATATTTCGCATTAATATTAATTACTATTTTCCTGCAGATATTGGGAGAGGGTGCCAAAAGGATAATCACCTTGACGCATTCCACGCAAATGCGACGATTCACGTCTGATCTACTGCGTGTTCTGAAGAGCCTCCTTTCTAAGCAGCTAACGGCGCAAGAATTCCCAGCAGCTTATGAACGTGTCCTCAATAAATCATTCAATGCCATCGAATACGGTCTTTGTTGTCTAGATGATTTGCTAGATGAAGTCCCTGAGAACATTATAGTAATCACGAAAAAAGAGGATTCTATCAGCATCGCAATCCCAAAACGTGAGCAAACCGGAGAGGAAATCATTCGCACCAAACAGTTTGCCGAAGAGGTCATTAAATTGCTCTCGTACTCGCCACAGTGTTCAATGATATTTAACAAATTCGTGCCAGCCTATCATCACCATTTTGGACATCAGTGCAAGGTATCCGATTACGGGTTCACCAAACTGATAGAACTTTTTGAAGCGATTCCTGAAACGGTTAAAGTGGAGGAACTGTCGGATGGTGAGAGGAAAGTATCATTGACTTTGCCGAAAGCATTAAACCTTAGGGGTCATCAAATTGCGGATCTGATAAAAAAATCCCATCTCTCATACTTGCCGCTGGAAGGATTAGCTTCTTCCTTCCAAAGAGAGTACGGATTTCCACTGAAAGCACATTATTACGAATGCAAGGATATTAACGAGTTGGTCTCTAAACTGAGTGATAACGTGAAGGTAATTATAATTATTAATTAAATCGTTCAACACTATATTATATATTCTTTACACAGATAACATACAGTAATGCTGGTCCGCTATTGGTCCCGGTCGAGAATGAGAACCAATCCACGCTGACGTTGAGAATATGGGCGTTGCTCATTAATCCTCCACACCATATGAATCTGAAAACACTGATCAAGCTGTACAATAGTCGATACCAATGCAACATAACCATGGCAACTTTGGATCAGTTAAATAATGTGATTGTAAGTATATTTATTTGAGTAAAAGTCAACATTGCGCTCACGTCTTCTTTAATATCAGATTAACAAATCGTCAAACATGGAATCGATTTTCCTCAGTCCGCAATACTCAACAGCGGCGAAAATCTACTTAATGTTATACAAAGAGGGAGGTCAAGTGGCCTACAATTATCTGGAGAACATATACAGAAAGACCTATGGTGTTTCGCTTATACAAAGCGAAGAGGATACATTCGAGAAACTACTCGGCGATTTTAGTTTTTTAATCGTTATGCGGAGAACCAGGAAGAAAACAAACATCGCTCTTAATCCGAAAATTACAGGTCTTACTCTTAGATTTAATTAATCAATTACTTTATTATACGTATGACATTATTTTCTTCACAGATTACGGATTATTGTTGCCGAATACTTCCAACGGCGGGAATAACAACAACAACCACTTCGCGAGAATGGACGATGGTATGAGTTGGCCTCCACCTCCTGCTCACGATTTGGTATTGGACAGCAACAATAGAGGAATTACACCACCTAAACCTGACACGCCACCTGCTCCGGTAAATAATAATTATTAATTATATACATACAAATGCATAAAGATTGCCTTGGTATTTTCTTCCAAATAATTATATATTTAATTACGATTATTAATTTTTTGTTATGTATTTGTACATGTAGGGAAAAGCTCCGTGGAATAATTGGGACACGCCTACAAAATTCAACTCGAACATGGATTTCTCAATCTCGTTGCCAACTGCTAGAACACCGAAGCTGATGGGTAATTCTGATTCGCTGATTTCGCCAACGCGCAATCTTCTGCCTGCCAATCCGCACCCGATGATGCCAATTATGTCACCACCCGCCGCCTATGAGCTGCCGATGCCAGACAAATTACTGAGAAAAGGTGATATATTGAAATATCGCGTCTGATCAGTCCTTAATTATATTTTCGAGCGTAGGCATATTCTCGGATGATTCCACCGATTCCGGTGTGAACAACTCCCAGATCGTCTCTGAAAACGAAATGGACATATCCAACAATGAGCAAACTGGTGAGTCGCTTTACCAATTAGTAGTCAAATCGTGTTCTGCTGGCTGCCTCTACGATGAAGCAGTTGGCTCTCCAAATGATAAAAATACGCAGATTTGAGTTGACGTAACGATCGATGTTCCAACGCATTTAATTATTTTTTAAACACAATTACAATATCTCCAATGTAAATCACATTTCAAGTATTTTTTTAATTAATTACAAATGCTCTTAATATTTTATGATTTCAAAAAAAAAATAAGTAAGTATATTTAAAATATCCGAACATATGTTTGCAGGCACCAAACCAAAATACACCAACTTGAAGCCGGAGTTGCTCAGTTACAAAATGTAATTTATTAAAAGCATAAATCGTCAAAAAACGCACAATTTTGATGAGGTAGCAAGCAAACAAACAAACAAAGAAAATAGAAAGAAAAGAAAGTATATATATTTATAAATGTTGTGTTTGTCGATATATGTGATTTACATATTATTAGGTATTTTCGTGTTGCTTTTCAGCTCTGTATGTTAAATATGTATTTCATTAGCCACTCAATAAAATACATATGTTAACACGGCTGATAATGCAAAGCGAACGGCGATTTTCCTCCCTGTTCCCATCATATTAAGAGAAAATGTAAATTTGGCATAATTATCGCGGAACGATGCGTGCATGCGCCCCTTTAGTATTATCGTATAATTTTAATGTCCATTTTAATTTGTTCAGTTTTGTGAATCTGTGATTTATAATTGTTTTAATCATAAACCACCAAAGATTTTTTTTAAAGTAATAATAATGATTGTTTGTTCTTTTAATATCTGTTGCATCGTCAAATATAGCAAGTAGTAGAAATATATGAAATGTATTCAATGTGTATTAAGTGTGTGAGCATGGGCTAAAAAAATATAAACGAAAAGAAAAAGTAGAATAATAACACCCCAACAAATTGAGATATTAAGGCAGAAAAATAAAAAAGGAAAAAAATATATATTTTTTTAAAAGATGTAATAACAAAACAGGGTCTTATTGGATTACATCTTAGATTGATAATACTGATTTGTAATAACAATGTTAATTTATTATGATATATGTATACATATATTAACTGGGTCTTTTGCAAGAGCTCAATTTTTAATGTAGTTTAAGGAGAAGGCAAGGAAACGAAATAATTGTTTATTTTGTATGTGCAGTATCGATTTCAAAATGACTTTTCGAAAATCGTTTGTTTGGTGGATTATTCTCGCTGATTTCTTGAAAATCACTGTCGCTAATCCAGAATTAACAAATATACATTACCGATTCATAATTTCATCTAATTATTTGAAATTAGCAAAAGAATGAGCCCAAAAGACTGCTGCTTTCGTTTATGTACAATTTCATTCTGAGGCAAGAGCAAGCACATCACATTATTGAAGTATTTGTACATTCTTATATTATATATTCTCTCTTTTATATGAATTCTGACACTTTGATTATTGTATTGATTATTTTTAGCTAATTAAGTTTAGGTATACATACATTTTCTCACTTTCTGTCTGTACCTCTTGTCTCTCCCATTTGGTTGCCTCACACATCAAATCTGTTGTATATCCATAAATAATTATGATTTTTTTATGTATTATTATATTATTTTTAAGTAAAGAGAAATAATTAAATTGATATCAATTAGTTTATTTAATTACAATGTTGACTAACAATTAATGGTAGTATCTCCTCATTCATTCTCTTCCTGCTTCATGCCAGAACCAACTGGTCCATGGCGACGCTCCCAAATCATCCTATGCTTTTGTTTCATGTATGCCATTTTTACATTATGGTAAGCGCCTAGATCGCCGTATTTGATGAACCAATTGGTAGTGGCATCCTCATATTGCTTCAAAACATCTTTACATTTCTCAGCATGATCAGGTGCTTCATACATCATGCAATCTTCAAAACGATGCCTCAGGATACTCAGGATTTCATTTTCAACTTGCCTGAAACATTAGAAACAATACATAATATCATTTCATAGACACCTACATACTTGTCCCGTTTATATTGGAAATTGGCCTCAGTATAGCACACAATATCATCATTATAACATTGATCAATAGTGGGCACGCGACGGAACTTTTGATGGTACCATGGATAATGCTGCTGATTAGGTTCAACAATCTTTTCTATAACGAAATCATTGCCAATCAGTAAAACGACGATTAAACAATGTGAGGTTATGTAATTATGTAATACGTTACCTCTTACGAATACTACAGGACCCTCCAGCATGCCCCTCATAGTTTGGAAAAACTGCTCAACAATATTCCTTGGCTGCGCTTCCGGCATTCTGATTGTCTACTTTCTTCTTCAATAAAATAAATAAATCCGAAATTTTATATTAGATTTTGACAAATCCTAAATTTGACAGTAACTGTCAAATACTGTCAAGGGGATTGTCAATTGGATTGTATTGGATTGTACTAGACTCATTCATGTAGAAATGTATAAGTCACAAAATAATTCATCGTCTTAGTTCTAGTTAAATTTTTAAAATTAAAATTTCATAATCACATGAAACATGTTGATATATTATTGTCTAAGTAACAATGTAATGTAATAATTCAAAGTTGCAGAAATTGTTTAACAATAGATTGGTATATTGTTGGTACACCTGTTTCACACTATGTGATGTGAAGCGGTTAAGCGGTTAGTTTACATGAAATCGTGTGGCTTTGTTATTGTTTCGCGCTTGGAGTGGTTTGGTGTTCTACTTCTTTTCTTGGAGTTTAAAACGTAAATATTTGTGCCTGAGTTGAATTACTATACTGTTAAAAAATGGAGGACGAAAATTTAAAGACCTTTGTAAGTGACTCTAAGTCTTAAACGATTATTTTTTTTGTAGGTTAACTCTTAACATTTTCTTTTTTAGTTGATACCAAATGATTTATGTAAGAGCGCTGGAATAGCTGGCACTTGGATGTCAGGAAACAAAATTGGTGTATTTCCTTATCACAATATTAATCATAGTAGCAAAGATGCCCCTAGTCAATACACAAAGAATGTTCCATCTTCAGTATTCCATGTGAAGCATGAGGTTGTGCTATTTCACCCAATCTTAAGGAGATTGGTCACAGAGTCCATGGGAATTTTTCTCAATCTGCAGACTGTTGTTGAAAACAAACCCTCTGATTATAAACAGCACTTGCAACAGTTTAGTGTGCAGTATCGTTCTGTTATTAGAGCCAGCTTGGAGAATCTCAGAGATGAGGTGCTGAGAGCCACAGGAGAGGAGAGAGAGACCTTACAGAACTTTATAACAATTTTCTATTCAGTGGAATGCATCTGGCATCTTTGTGAAATCTTATATATTGAAAATATTCCAGGACATGTGGTGATTAAGCACCTGTTGGAGTGGGTCAGATTCCATTTTCCGAAATATGAAAGAAAAGCTGCTTTTTTACTTTCTGGTGAGTCAATTGGTTCACTGGAATCAAGGCAAGATTATTGGGAAACCGTTATTGGATGTCTGCTTCAAGGCAGAGTGGAAGTAGTCAGGGCACTGCTTTCCTGTCATTCCGCCGCAAATAGTACTCATTTTAAATTAGCAGATCAAATTTTGAAAAGTATGCCGACATACGGGGTTTATGAAGGCGTTTCTGTTCAGGAGTTCAATTTACGATGGAAGCATTGGCTAGTTGATACGCAATCAAAAATTGACTCAAAATTATTTATTAGTGAGAAGAATTTACATTTAATGATGAGACTTATTGTCGGCGAAGAAATGGCATGGTCTGAAGTCCAGAGCCAGTGCGAGGCGTGGTACGAACTCCTGGCCGCTTGGTTGTTTTATACTGAACCAACTGTGAAATCATTTGAATTGGGCGCATTTGCAAAGAGGTGTATATCACGGATGGGAACTAGAATGCATCACTTGGACAGAGTTCTATTGGCTGCGATGGAAGGAGATGTTCAAGTGAGACCATTAATGTTATTTTTTGTAACTTTCCTATCTACATATTTGTTCTAGATTATTAAGGAAATTCAACATATGACAGAAAACGGATGGTTCGTGACGCATCTGATGGACTTGTTATACCACTGTGAACAGTTGGAGAAATGGCAGACTGACAAAGAAGATTCCTTAAAACTGAGACATTCATTCGTCTTTGAATATGGTAATACCCTGGCGGGACATAAATCCTTGTGGCAGCTAGGTCTCAACTACTTGGATCACTGTTTTCCTGATGGTTTAGCTGCCATAGAACTACTGTTGCCTAGGGTGCCCATAAACGACGAATCTAAAGCGCACAGAGTGATTCAAGAGGCACAAAAGCGTGGCCTATCTCATATTGCACATTCAGTCGCTAAAATTGAAGGCTTGAAGTCGTTGAGGAACGATAGAATGGGCAATGCTCTGGTGTGGGCTTTAAGATCCCAAGACTCGAATTTTGCGTCGTTCCTTGCAGACAAATTTCTTAAAAAATATGTGGATACTGGAATTCTTCCAAATGTCGATTTATTGAGTTACCTGGGATCCTGTATGATGGCCAGCGACAGGTTAATATTCTTAGGTAAAGTTTTTAAAAAAACTTTTTCTTTGACTTTGTAACAATTCAACGGATTTCAGGCAAATACTACCAATTCAATAAATTGCATAAAGACAAGAGTTATCGCGAGGCGGCGAAAGCGCTGGTTTCGCTGATTGCGTCAAAATTTACGCCAAAATTGTAAGTTATCTACTATATTTAAAGAAAAAAGAATTAACACGGTTGTTTCAGTTTTTGGAGTACCTTGTTGTCCGAAGCATTGACACTTCTGGAATGTGATGAACTTTTGCTATCATCTAATGATGTATTCAATCTGTTGAATGCGGTCGAAGAGAGATTGGATTGCCTGTGTGAACTGGATGAATTGGAGCCTTTAATTAGGTTAGGCATAGCTAGAAATCTCTCTAGGGCATTAACGTACGAGGCGCAGTATACGTGAAAGCTCAAGATTCCATGTCTGTTGTGACGTTTTCTTTTCTTTCTCTAATACATTTAAATAAATTATATAACTTGGTTATATAGTCGTTTTTTATTTGCAAATTTAAATAAATCTATGAAGTAGATTCAAAATATGGAATAAGATTTAGTTGGGTAAATATAAATACTACTACTTCCTTTTCCTAATATATTATACAATTTAGTTTAGATAAATAGCTTCGACGCAATAATTGACTAGATTGTTCATGTTATCGCTGTAAAAAGTTCCAGTGAATTTAATCTCTTTAACAACGAATTCTATCCAATGAGCGCAATCTTCCCACATTTCTTTGAATGGCAGTGCTTCGCTGGAGAACCATTTAGGCTTCATTTCTTCGGTCGTCCGTGGATATCCTTTGTATACGCTGCATACATATAAATGTACCAAACGATCAAGAATCTTTTCCGACCGATAAAATTTTAAGATGCCCAAATACTTCAAATCGGCCACTTCCACAACCAGACCGGATTCCTCGAACAGTTCACGTTTGGCGCATTCTGCTGGCAGTTCGCCTATTTCCATTTTCCCACCATATCCATTCCACTTACCAATCTCAAACCCTCTTAACTTTAAACCCAATAGGATCTCGTCCCCGTCGCGTTTTATAAATATTAATGTTTGTTCAAGCATCGTCATAGGATCTGGAAAACGTGAATCAACATATAAAGAAAGAGTTTTTATTCATGATCACAGAGTTACAGTTTTCACAAATTCATCATAATTATTATACAATGTTAAACGCATGCACCTATTATCTTCATTAGTAACATTAAATGTAACATCAAAGTAATCTTCATTGTGAATCAGTGGAAGCCACTTTGATGTATCTGGCCACATTTTCTCATAAGGCATGTTGTCCACTCTGAACCATCTTATTGGAGCCATCTCCTCACTCTCCACAATTTCTCCAAAAAATGAGGAGGACTTGAAAATGTGAACAACATCAGCATGGTTTTTGTTGTTGTTAATGTAAGTTACACAACCAATATGGTTCAGTTTTGCATCCAGGTTACACTCCTCCTTAAGCTCTCTGGATGCACCCTCGAGCAGAGTCTCCCCAGGTTCCACTTTACCACCAAAACCATTCCACAGGCCAACCCCTAAACCTCTAGTTTTATACCCTAGAAGAACTGTATTCCCCTTCTTGATAAAAATCAAACTGTATAATTTCTTGACGAACATTGTAATTAAACTTTAAATTCAGTTTTCGCGCTGACTAAACTGGTACTTTGGTTGCCAACTGTTGACTGTTGAATTGTGAGCTTTATCTTACCTGATTCGTTATTTCTTTGATAGCCAACCGTCACATCTATACTGTATACAGCATTGTATTCATTTTTGCAACGTTTGCATTGTAAATGGTGATTTACCACTTCCACCATATTCTCAATGGATGACAGATCTGATTTAAGAAAACTATTTTTATAAATAGAACGGCGCGTTTTTTTTAATGCTGATGAACTGAACAAAAATAGGAAACTGGATTTAACGGTTTTTGTTATGATACAGTTAATCATGTTTTACTATAATTCGCGGTTCCATTGATTTGCAATACACTATTATTGTTTAATTACATTATTTTATATATTACTAATGATTTAGCAAAAATTGCTTAGTTGCAATATGATTCATGGTTATCTAAATTACTTTGTTTTATACATATAACGAGTTTAGTTGCCTGTCCATTATTTTAAGTTGACTGACTTTAAACTTGATACGTAACTGTGAATAACTGTTTACTAATTTTGATTACAAGTTTCGATTTTCCAAGGACACTAATATGGTATCAAAAGTCAGTGTTGCCATTGTCACTTATACTGTAAATACGAAAGTCCCCAGTGTCGATCGGCCATCTTGGAATTACCTATGAAGTGAAATGAGTAGTGTCATCATTCGGGCCGAAATGTTTAAATAACAAAAGGTTTTTTTTCCTTTTCGACTGTTTTAATTTGCTTTTGGAATTTTGGAGTGGCTCAACACGGACTTCCGCTACGCAGAGCAGCCATCGGAAGCTACGGGTAGGTAAGTTTTTTTCGTCCTGCTCCACCTATTACTGTTTTTTTAGTCTTTGCCTTGCAGAAATTTCTTTTTAGAAATTGCATTTTCTCCATGACCTTTATATTCAATTAACGGTTCATTTGCGCTTTCAATCGTCAACTTCTATGTGATCAGCAATGAGATGAAGAATCGAACATAGTCGATCTATTTATTGACTATCTGCGGCAATGTAAATAAAGGAGCTGTCAAACGTCTTTGGCAGGAATAATAAATAATAAACAAACACAAGGTTATTCTTGTTTTCCTCCTTGTCCGATACACCGTGTCTCCGTAAATCGGTTGTCTCTGTCGTGATCCCAAAGTCCCCCCTTTGGGCGCGGGCACGTCATATTTGTATATATTATTCTTATCATGTGATTTTACATTAACTTGTTGCTTACTGATAAGATTGCCCACTTTACCTTATCTGTCTTAAAGTCTTCAAAACCTTGATATCATTGTTTCTTTAATGTTTTTTAATTTAAATTTTGCCAGCAGAAAATCAATGTAATCAAGCAAGTCCTCTTTTCGTAATACGTAACTATTTGTATGTTTATGAATATTACATGCTTGAACGTCGATATATCGATTTGGTAATTAGCGGCAGCTCGGAAAATCGTAGAAAACCCATAAGTGCCGTTTCCCGATGCGAATTTCTTGCACGTCACCTGATTCCTGCTATTCTTTCTGTTCCAGAACATCAACGACAGCGCTTAGGCAGCCCAAAATTGTTATTTTATTTTTTACTACGAAGGGGAACTAAAAAGACGTAAGAATTTGCATTCCACATATTTACCCTTTTTGGGGGGAAAAACATATTGTCACAAGTTTGCTTTCTATTAATTGCTTCCTTTTTGTTGTTTGTTACTTTACGCAGTTTAATTAAAGATTTAAAATCGCATTATTAACTAATTACGTTTGTTTTGTCATTAGGCAAATTTCTGCAGCAATGTGCCGTGGTATGATTAATTTCCATTCAAGTAGAATATTAATTAATCCTTTCTTCTGTTTGTTGTCACGTTTCTCGTTGTTATTTCTTTTATTTTCATTTTGGCATAGTGTGACAATATATTTTCTTCGTGTTCGATGAAACGTACAGGTGGTGCTATGCAGGTGAACGTGGCGGGTCTTCGGAGGAACTTGATGAACCTCGCGCACAATTACTCTGATGCGCAGAGGAAAGTACGAGAGGCAACTAGCAATGATACGTGGGGTCCTAGCAGCACGATTATGGCTGAGATCAGTGATCTCACCTATAACGTGCTTGCCTCCACGGAGATCATGCAAATGATCTGGAAGCGGCTCAACGACCATGGCCGCAACTGGAGGCACGTTTACAAAGCCCTTGTATTGCTGGAATATCTGATCAAGACAGGCTCTGAAAAGGTTGGTCAGCAGTGCAAGGAGAACATCTATGCAATACAGACTCTTAAAGACTTTCAACATATGGACGAGGCAGGTTGGTATTCGTCGAATTTTGTATCTCTTGTTTGTATTAATGCAGTGCTAATATCTTTTTGGTTGCAATAGGGAAGGATCAAGGCCAGAATGTCAGGGAGAAGGCGAAGCAGCTTGTGGCGCTGTTAAACGACGACGAAAGATTGAAGAGCGAGAGGGCGCGTGCTCTGAAAGCCAAAGAACGATTCGCCCAGAATGCAAGCGGTTTCGGTAGCGACGGAGGGCTAGACACTCCAGCGAGCCCACGGTTTCCGGCGTTCCAGGGCAGCAGCGAGTGGAACACAAGCAGAGACTCAGGTTTGATGACTACGAAGGAATATCTTTTTCTTCTTTCATAGTACGTGTTTGTTCATTAGTTGAATTGCCTCGTGATTTAGAAGTAGCTAGACCGCAGACTGCCGGGGAGGAAGAACTACAATTGCAATTGGCTTTGGCCATGTCCAGAGAAGAGGCGGAGCAGGAGGAGCAGAAGAGGAGGTCTGACGATGTGAGACTCCAATTGGCGCTCAGTCAAAGTCAGCAGGATTTCAAGACGACTCAAGACAAGCCCGGTAGCGCTCCTATCAACTTATTAGATGTGGGATTGGATGAAGCCTCTAACAACGTTGATCCATGGGGAATGCCGCAGGCCCAAAAGGCTCAGGTAGTGAATTCCACACAACATAATGTTATGTTCATGTGTTATTATTTTTTAGGCTGCGTCGAGTCCGTGGCGTTCTGGAGGTGGGACTTCGCCGGTGCCACAACCATTTGTAGATCCGTGGATTCCAACTGCAATGCCGCGCCCTCCATCGCAGCAAGGTAAACTTCCCGTACGACCGATGGCGGATCCCTGGAATTCCAAGGTTACGCCAACGCCTTTAGTGGAGACTGCAATTCGGAATGATCCTTGGTCTCCAGTCAGCCAGAGTTCATCGGATTTGGACGATTTCGACGCCATTACTAATAGAAATAGAACAATCTCACCTCTCCCGGCAACGAACGGTACCACCAATGGGAATAACAATAATACACTAATTCCGGACCCATTCGAATTGAATCTGCTCGGCGATATGTTGCCGCTTACTAACGAATCCAGTCCTTCGACTGGGGCCACTAAGAAAACTCCACATTCCTTTTTGGGCGAAAATTCGGCACTCGTTAATCTGGACAACCTAGTTACAGGTATATAAGTGTATTGTATCGCTCCAATCATATTTATTAATATCTTACTTGCTACTTGCAGTTGGTAAACCAGCGAATCAATTGGGAGCAGCAAACCCATTTTCGGATGGAACAGCTCCTGCGCCGGTAGCTGCGCCCCCACGGCCCATATTCAATCCTCAACCACCGAAACCGACGATGAATCAGATCAAGCAGACTGCGCCTTTCATTGCAGGCGGGGAACTGGGCTACGGGCAATCAGCGGTGCAAGCAGCATTTGCGTCCAATGGGGCTGCAGCGCCATCCGTGGCGACTCAGCCGGATCCTTGGGCTCCAGCACCAGCAACTACGAACACTGCAGCTTTAGGCACACCATGGATGAAACCAGGTGAAGCGCACGCCAATCCGTTCCTTTCTTAGTTGTCAAACTACTTCAGCAATTCTTAATTATTTTTATTTTATTTTTGAATTGTTTTATTTCCAATTTTTGGTAAGTTTTTATTTGCTTTTATTTTGTTTTATACAGATGACACTAAATAGTAGTAGCAACATTTGCATGTGTTATTTTATAATTTCTTCCAAATGTATTAATTTCTTCTTGTCTGTTGCAGGATATACATTTTAAAAGCAAAACAGAACAAAAGCAATTTTAAACTAAAAGCTTTCTAAACAAAGACAAAACATTACATAATTCATCCTAACTACTATATTTCTATAACACCAAAATCTAAAAAATAAGTTGATACGGAATGGGATTAAAAAAAAAACATTTTTTATAGAGTATATAATATATTATATATAGATTTTTCTAAATAATATGGTGCAAAGTTATTTATATATAAATTTATATAATAAGAATAATTATAATTATTATTGTGCCCCCTGGATAAAGAGATGATGGATAATGCAATTGCACTTGGATGGCAAAATAACTTGAATGGGTCTTTGCTCATTTCATTTCTATACAACACTTGGCTTTCAATTTCATATTTAAAAAAAAAGAAGTTTGCACTTTTGTGAATAAAAACATTATATTATTGTAATTGCATAAGACAAAATGTATAAGGTGTAAACTCAGTCCGTTCAAGTTTTAGACTGCAATTTTTTAATTCTTTTGGTTTGTTGGTGCATATCGAAGGAAGCAAAACGAATTTAACATTTAATATATACATAAATTTATTAACTCCTACTTGATTGTATTTATATATATTATTTATAATTTGTATAGCGATTCATTTTTATTTCTTATGTATATACATGTATCTATTGCATATATATATATTAGTATATACATGTTATTTTTCTTTATTTAATTATTATTTGAAGTTCAATTTGCTAACTGAAAAAATAAAAACATTGTAAATAGTATTCATTGATTAGATTCTATTATTTTATTGATTTTTTAAATAAAAAATTAATACTTTTTTTTTGCAATTATTGATAAATTGAGATTAACTTAAACAAGGTTCAGTGGCTTCATCTTAAATAAAGGATTTAATGGAGAATGAAATGTTATATTCATTTGAAAATAGACTTTATTTCATTACCACTTTTATTCATTTTTATTATTACATATATAATTAATAATATATCTGTTATGACTACAGTCTTTCTGTGTATTCACAAGTAGTTCACTATTGAGTAAAGCTTAGTTAATATTAGATATTTCTTCAATTCAGTCTGTCTTCAACAGTTGAGGTTTCATTGGCTGCATTTACAGAAACTGAAGGCAAGTAGTATGCCTTTATGAGACTATGTAGCCTTGCAATCTCTGGATCCACTCTTTCCATGTTCCTTAGCACTTGTGCAAATTTAATAGTTGTCTCCCTTCCCTCCGGGTAACCAAACTGCTTTAATGAATCAATCTGAATTTGCATTACTATAGGAAACAGTAACTGCATCATCTTAAGCATTTCATTGCCCACTGTGCTCTTTGCTTCTTCCAATTTTGCAACATTCTCTGCCGTTTGCAGCTCATCAATTGTCTTCTTCAATATCAATCTCACAGTCTCTACTGTTAATTCAACACTCATTTTAAGTGAAATAACATTAATTATTTTAATTTCTGTTTATATTTTTACTGTTTATCAGCAAAACCAATAAAACACGAAGGTTATATGGGCGGGATGGTTTCACTAGAACTAATAGTTCTATTGATATGGTGTGTTTATTAGAACTATTATGTTTAATATTTTTTTAGTACAAATATAAAAGTAGTTACTTATATAGTTAATAATATTTTACTAATTATTATGTTATTGCACTAAGTAATGCTAATTTTTTTATTGCAATAATAATATCGATGAATATATTATATAGTAACTTTTTGTTTTCTTAAGTTTGTTTACGTCTTAGTTTGAGTAACTTCACGTTGGATTGAGTTAATCTAATCAAAGCGAAGCAAAAAAAAGAACACCATTAACAAGTGACTGTGTGATAGTGATGTTTTTATTTTTTTAGTTTATTTTTTTTAATTATTTAAAGAGATCAACAGCAGTACCGGTAAGAAGGCTGTAATGTCGTTAATGTGTATTTTCTTAATTGTATTTCTTTAAATCAAGGGATGGAGGCCGTAGATATTCAAGCAATGGAATCAAAGTTAAGTGATGTTACTGTAACTGCCATACCAATGAACCAGAAACCCCAGAGTTCTGTAACACCTACACCACCTGCTGCCAAGGATGCCAATAAGGATCCAAATTTATCCAAGTATGCTCAACTGTTAGGGGTTATAGAGGAGCTGGGCAGAGAGGTGAGGCCAACATATGCAGGCAGCCGTAGCTCTGCTGAGAGACTTAAAAGAGGAATAGTCCATGCCAGAATACTGGTGCGTGAATGCCTGATAGAGACAGAACGCAGTGCAAGGCAATGATGTTTGTCTATATACAATTTATTTACTTTGTACTTAAAGTCAATGAGAATGGGAGTACAAAACTATGCATACCAAATCAAAAATAGTATATAGTCAATTACTTAACGAGGGGAAGAATATCCTCAAATATGCAGTCTCAGGATGTAGGAATTTAACACAGAAGGAAGAGTGAAGCAAGTCTTTTGTATTTTGTACCACTTAAGTTAGTGTTTTATTATTTATAATATACAGAATAGCATAAATTATAACTCAATCTGTTGGATATATTTGATGATTTCATCACACCCATCTTGATTTCTAATAAGTGGTTTATGTTTGAGCACCTTCTCCTCAACAATCTGCTTGCAGAATTTAACTAGAACTTTAAATACACCTTTAATCAATTCCTGAAACTCCATTTCATCATCATCAAAATGTATCATCAGTGTATCAATTATAAACTCGTGGTGTGACTTGAACGTGTCTCCCTTAAATTCCTCCGGGATATCCTCAAGTAGAATGGATATAGATTCAACTGAACATATACGCACCCCACTAATCGGATCGTCCAGACGCTTTAGTATTTCTATAAAATAAAATATTTAAATAATAGACAACAACAAACACAAATGGTAATACCTGGATATATTTTGATGAGATCGTCAATCCCCCAAATTTCTTTAACAACCATCATATTTTTGAGCAATACTAAAGCTTCGAGAGATAAATGACGGCTGCGATATGCACCGTCTTCAGTCAACGACAATAGCAAAGGTATGATCTGCTGCGATAAGGTTTGCAGAAGTTCCTTTGTGAATAGATCAACATTGATGGCAGGACTTAAAGCAGTGCAAAGGCAAGAAGTTGCCATGGTCCGCATAGCCTCAGCTGTGCGTCCTGCGTGCCATACCAGAGTTGGTTTAATGGCATCTGAAATATAAACCCTTAACAAATAATCTGAGAATGCTTTTATATTACCTGTAATCAATGTCTCTAAGAATATTTGAAGATTAATTGCATTTTTGAAGATAACGTCTTTTTTATCCAACGCTTCTGTGAGTGCGATGAAAGTCCTCAATCTGGCTTCAGGCTCGACACTCAAATCCAAGGCATCCACTAAAATCGCTCCAATAACGCCCAAATGCTGCCCGAAAGATGCATCTAAAAAAAATAAGATATCACTAATAATTCTCAGCTATTGCCTTTCTTTTATTTAACTCGAATAAGCAAGAATAGTTTCCAAAATGCACCGATCTACAGTTACTTCTGTCCAACCCTTCGGATCTCCATTTAACGATTTCAGCAAATCTTCCAAAAATATTTTCCACAGATCGTCGACATTGTCCAACTTTAAAACGTCGCTCAATCTTTGAAACATCCTCTCATCTAAAACCTCATCGTTTTCTTTATCTCTGATACTGAAGACTGTAGCAACAATGCGGAAAAGAAGTGATCCGATATCACCAGACAGTTCATCAGAGTATTTATCTTCAATCGAGTTAACACAGTTAATGAGTTCTTTCTGATATCGAGCCTACAAAACCAATTTAGTGTTTATTATAAAATCTTGTAACGGTAAAACAATAATTACCTTCCTACTTTGGCAGACATTGGGATCTACCAATAATTGCGAAATTTCTCTCAACTCAGAACAAACGAGGTCTTGTGGCGCACCCCGAATTAAGTTGGCCAAAACTGTGAGATGTCCATAATGGGCACCATCTTCTATAGCTGGCAGTATTAACTTCTTCCAAGTATCTACCGGCACGAAGGTACCAATCAATTGGCTAGCTCTTACAATCTAAAAATGACATTCGATAATTAAAATTGAAATATTATCTGAATACCATATATATACATTCACAACTACTCGTTCATCTTCGTCCCGAGCAGTGGCATACATAGCGACTAATAATTCTTGTAAATGCTGTGTGATACCGTCTTCGGCGTGATGTGCCACGGCGCAAAGCAACTGACTGCATCTTACACGGACATCAGCCTGCCAACTCGACAGTTCTCTAGCTAAAGCCGAAGTTAATTTGCCGATTGTCCTTTGTACTAAAACTCGACACCCTAAATTGGGTCTTTCCACTATAAAATAGAAACAATAATTAATAATCTACAGATACAATAGTAAAATCATACAATCTTTAGGATAGTGCTTCGGTAATTGCGTGAGAAAATCCAGTTCATCTTTGAAATCTTTCTCATTTTCCCGTTGATACTGCAAACCAACCTGCAACCATAATGTATGTGCTTCTGCTCTGGTTTCTGGAACTTCATCATTTAAACTATTTTAAATTTAAAATTTCATCTATTCTGTATTGCATTTTTGTTCTTACCCCGTAAGTAATAGTGGCAACAATTTGTAAAAAAATGAGTACCTATCTCTGTATTCTAGAAGCCACCTAGCAGCAACCCTGGCCACAGTTCTTCTCACTGCTGGTATCTGATCAAAGAGTCTTTCTGCCATTGGACCAGCTACCTCTTCCAAAGCTTTACAGCTACTTGCTAGCACAATCACTTCCATACATTGTATAGCATCAATCCTTATTTTGTATCTTTGGTGGCTAAAATTTCCCAAGACAGGTTTGACCAAACTCTCAGCTTGCATATGAAAATCCCTTGGTAAATATTTGGACAATAAAATTATGCATTTGCAACTCATTTCCTTTATTGCTGGATATTTATCTTTAACAGTTTCTTTTAAAATTATTACCAAATCATTCAGGAATGCTTTCAGCTGTGATCCTTCAGAATACTTATCAATTATACCATGGATTAAGTGTAATAATTGTAGACGAATTTCCTCAGACTCCTCAACAATTTCCACTGAACCAATTCTTTCAATGAATATTGGAAACAGGTAGGAAATGTAGTAGTCATTTATTGGTAACTTCTCCAGAATATACAGTTGCAATGTTTGAATTGCTTGCTCCCTTACAGGTTCTGATCTATCCCTGAGCGTGTTTAATAAGTATATATGAACTTCTTTAAATAAGCGGTGCAATTCATTATGATCCATAGGCTTCAGCGATTCTGCAAATTCTTTTAAAGCTAGTTTACGGACAAATTTGTCTTCGCTTTGCAGCGCGATGCAAAGCTTTTTCCCAGCATTTTGAACAATGTCGTTACCCTCAAAATCGTCAATCGACATCTTCAACACAATACTTTACACAATTCCACTAATAAACTAGAACGTTATTGATCAATGTTGATATGCCATTTATAAACAAGTTTCATGGCAACTGAAAATGTAACCTAGAAACCAAAGCATGTAAAATATGTTGCATACCCAATGTGTTTATTACAGTCTTTCCTAAATTTGGCGCCAAAATACTATATGATCTAAATCAGCGATAATCAATAATTTGGCGAAAAAAATCTCAACAATTGAAAATCCAATTAGCGTTGGGTACATTTAGATAAAGAAGATTTTGAGGTCAACTGGGCCTGGTTATATATTCTATACATCGTAGCCGCAACCCTAAAAGTTTGAGAATCCCTTGCAATTATTGAGTTCTGCTCATGTAAATTGCTTCCTAATACCGCTCATACCGCTTTAAAACCGATAAAACCAACCTGCAGCACTATACAATTTCATGAAATTGTAAGTTTTGTAGTTAATTGTTGTTGTGAAACTGATATTTTGTATTTTTTTAATGATTATTCTGTATTGGTCATCCATCAACATTAACAATATTATTGCTAGATTAAACGCAGAATCCGTGCCGGTAGAGATTGCAACATTGGAAGTAATCATTTAATTTTATCGATTAGCAACCAAAACTTGAGTTTCATCTGTTTTCTTGGTGTGACGTCAGTACCAAGAGTTATTTAACAATTAATTAGTCGAGGTTTGAAAGTAGATTTTTCGTACCGTCTGAAAGCCTTTCCATATTTGGAAATAATATGTATATTAAACAGGTAAAAGAGTCGAACATACTGCGTATTTGCAAATAACAATTATTACTTTCTCAGGTAATAATACAGGGTTTCAAAAGTTATCGTGATCAAACAGTCGTTGAGCCCTTTGATAAAAGGCATAATGTAGTTGTAGGTAGAAATGGCTCTGGGAAGAGTAATTTTTTTTATGGTAAGTAGAGAAAAAATGGTAGCAATTTTTAAACATGCATTAATTATGTATGTTGTAGCCATACAGTTTGTACTGAGTGATGAATTTTCTCATTTGCGCCCAGAGGAGAGGCAATCCATGCTGCATGAAGGCACTGGGCCAAGATCTGTCCATGCCTATGTTGAGATTATTTTTGATAATTCTGATAATAGAGTGCCAGTAAGACTATCATTACTTTTCAATGTTTTGGATTAAATGGTTCTTGTAGATTGATCAAGATGAGATTTTTCTGAGAAGAGTAATTGGAGCCAAGAAGGATCAATATTTCTTAAACAAAAAGGTTGTGCCCAGAAGTGAGGTCATGAATTTGCTAGAGTCAGCAGGATTCTCTAATTCGAATCCTTATTATATCGTAAAGCAAGGAAAAGTAAGTTGCACTTGAAACTCCTTAAGAGTTATGGGTTATTTATCATTTAATAATTTAGATCAATCAAATGGCGACATCTCCAGATTCCCATCGTTTGAAATTATTACGCGAAGTGGCGGGAACTAGAGTGTATGACGAGAGACGCGACGAGTCTATGGGGATTTTAAGAGAAACCGAAGGAAAGGTCGAAAAAATTGTAGAATTTCTGCGTACAATCGAGGATCGTTTGAGTACTTTGGAAGAGGAGAAGGAAGAGTTAAAGCAGTATCAACATCACGATAGAAATCGACGTGCCTTAGAGTACATTATACACGAAGTGGAATTGAATGAGAATAAGCATAAATTGTCATCTGTAATATACGATATTATTTAATTCTATAAAAATAAATTTTCGTTTACTTGTAGTTGGAGAGGCAGAGAGAGGAATCTGGTTCTGAGCAGGAAAAGCTGGCAGGAAATTTGAAAAAAGCACAAGATCAGATTAAAACTATCTCTCGTAAATTAAAAGAAACCAAAAAAGCGCTCGTATCGATGAAGGATGAACGCGACATCATGAACACAGATAACCAATATTTAATCAAAGATAAAGCTAAATTGGATCTGACCATAAAGGATCTTTCGGAGGAGGTGCAGGGTGATAATAAATCTAAGGAGCGCGCAGAACACGAGTTAATACGCTTGGAGAATAATATTAAGGAAAAGGAGGCTGAACTGGAAAAGGTGAAGCCGCAATACGAGGCAATGAAAAAAAAGGAGGAGGAATGCACAAGGGAACTGAGTTTGAAGGAACAAAAACGTAAAGAGCTGTATGCCAAGCAAGGCAGGGGCAGTCAATTTACGTCGAAGGATGACCGCGATCGTTGGATACAGAATGAATTGAAGTATGTAATGAAATTATCTTTTCATTTCAAATCATAATAGTTTGGTCTAGGTCTTTGAATAAACAGCTGAAAGATAAACGCGACCACAGAGACAAGTTAACTGAAGACTTAAAACGCGACGCAGCTAAACAGATTGAACTAAATAAGAGGATCGAAGAGCAGACACAAGAGATGGAACGACAACGGATTTGCATCGATGAACATAACAAAGCTTGTTACGAGTTGCGCAAAAATAAGGATCAATATCAAACTACGAGAAAGTGAACGATTTAATTAATTATATTAGATTTTTAGGATGTTATTTAATTGTTTTAGTGAACTGTGGCGGAAAGAAAATAATGTACAACAGAATAGGGCTTCATTGAAGGATGAGCTGGAGAGAGCTGATCAATCGTTGAGAGCTATGGCAGGAAAAGCAATCTTAAACGGTCGAGACTCTGTTAGGAAAGTTTTGGAGACGTTCATAAGAAGCGGAGGAGATGACGCAGAGATCGCCCGGTCATATTATGGACCGGTAATTGAAAATTTCAATTGCGATCAGTCAATTTACACGGCCGTTGAAGTTACAGCAGGCAATCGTCTGTTTCATCATGTCATCGAATCCGATCGAATCGGAACTCAGATACTTAAAGAGATGAATAGGCAGAAGTTACCCGGTGAAGTCACATTCATGCCACTTAACAGGTTAAATTCCAAGTTGAAAGAATACCCACAAGACGCTGATGCCATACCAATGGTATCGAAATTATTGTACGACGAGAAATACGATAAGGCATTGCGTTTTCTCTTCGGTAAAACACTGATTTGCCGTAACTTAGATGTGGCCACAAAGTTGGCAAGGACTACGGGATTAGATTGCGTCACTTTAGAGGGAGATCAAGTCTCCTCGAACGGTTCGATCTCCGGTGGTTACTTCAACCCATCACGATCTCGTCTGGAAATGCAGAAAGCCCGCACCGAGTTGATAGATCAAATTAAGCAGTGCGAGGATGAGCTGCAATCGCTTAGAGATGATCTGTCCATCACAGAAACTAGCATCAACAACGTCGTCAGCGAAATGCAAAAAACGGAGACCAAAACATCGAAGGCCAAGTGAATAATGATCACTCATCATCATTCAGTAATAATTAGTATTCTCTTTTAAGGGCGATTTTTGACAAAGTCAAAGGAGATTTGCGTTTGATGAAAGAGGAATTGGCCAGCATTGAGCGGTTCCGTACACCGAAAGAGCGCTCATTAGCGCAATGTAAGTCTAATTTAGAAGCCATGCAGACCACCAAGGAAGGTCTCGAATCAGAGTTGCATCAAGAACTTCTATCCCAGTTGTCTGTTGCCGATCAAGCGCAAGTCGATTCATTGAATGATGACATTCAACGGTTGCAGCGCGAAAACAAGGAGGCTTTCTCAATGCGCATGAAATTGGAGGCGGAGAAAAACAAGTTAGATAATTTGCTAACGAATAATTTAATTAGGAGACGCGATGAAGTTTTACACGCCCTTCAGGAAATATCACTGGAGGATCGCAAGCGACAACTGCAAAACTCTAAAGCAGACTTAGAGGAGACCGATAGAAAGTTGGAGAAGTCCAACAATGACTTAATATCTATCGATGTGAAGATCAAGGATATCACTAAGAAAATGAAACACGAGGATTCGGAATTGGATAAGCTTAAGAAAATTGAGAAGGATGCTCAGGATAGAATCGATGAAGACGCGAAGCATTTGGAAAAGTATGCCAATAAACAAAATTTATTAGAGCAGAAAGTCTCTGAATGTGTGGAGAAGATTAACCAATTGGGAGCGATACCATCTCAAGATCTTTATACGCAGTATCACAAGATGTCATCGAGGGCATTATTCAGAGAGCTGGAGAAGACTAATAACCATTTGAAAAAATTCAGTCATGTCAACAAAAAGGCGCTCGACCAGTTCATGAGTTTCTCAGATCAAAAAGAGAAGCTGCAGAAACGCAAGGAGGAACTGGACAGAGGTGACGAGAAGATCAAAGAACTGCTGGCTATGCTGGAAACCAGGAAAATGGAAGCGATTCAGTTTACTTTCAAACAGATCTCCAAGTACTTCACACAAGTATTCAAGAAATTGGTACCGGCAGGCAAGGGTAAATTGATACTAAAAACGGTAGATAACGATGAAGGCAGGGAAATCGGACCGGAGGATACAAATGCTGACGTGTTCACCGGGATCGGAATAAAGGTGTCTTTCACAGACTCTGATGCGGAGATGAGGGAAATGAACCAGCTGTCAGGTGGGCAGAAGTCTCTAGTCGCATTAGCTTTGATCTTCGCCATTCAGAAATGTGATCCGGCTCCGTTCTACCTTTTCGATGAGATCGACCAAGCATTGGACGCGCAGCATAGAAAGGCCGTAGCCAATATGATCCACGAATTAACGGGAGAAGCGCAGTTTATCACGACCACTTTCAGGCCTGAACTGTTGGAGCATGCCAACAAATATTACGGAGTTAAGTTTAGGAATAAGGTCAGCCATGTCGAGTGCGTTAGCAAGGATGTAGCTAGAGATTTCGTTGAAGATGATCAAACGCATGGTTGAGGCGTACATAAGGCTTTAATAATAATTAATTCCTACTTTAAAAGTCATCAAAATATAATACTAATTATTCTTATTGAAACAGTCACATAACCAAATATAAAATTAAAATATTTATATAACCATACTAATAAAAGAAAAACATAATTAACTATTATTAGCTATTTAATGCGGTTTACCCAGGAATAGCAAAATATATAATCCGAAATGTATCTCCGTTATATTTTAATATTTCATATTGGAAGTTAAATTTTTAGCTTTCAGTCTAATTAATTACAAATATAATACATGTATTATTATAGTCATTGGATTATGTAGAATGTAATGCATTTATATCACAAATATATTAGATTTAAGATCATACACAGACCGTAGTCTTTCCGTACCAAGACATTGTTCTGATTTAATTTAATTTGCCGAATATATTTAAATATAAACGCATTTTTAGGAAAGTTTGTTGTTGGCGTTTTGATTGGTTCGATGGATTTATTGATGCGCTACAGCAACGTAGCGCTGAATTAAGTTATTGATTCAAAAGTGTATGTTGGTAGCAATTGGTTCTGCAATTCGTGCAGAACAGTTGGTTCTGTTTTGTTGGCGTTACTGATTTTCGTCTGTCTGTCTGCCATATTGCATTTGTGTTGAATGCAGTTTAATGTAGAAGCAAGACGCGTTTAATAAATACTTATATCTGGCTGCTGGGTGCTCTTGTAGACAGAGTTGATTTGGAAGATCGCAAAAATGACGGCCCACGATCAGATGCGAGCAATGTTGGACCAGCTAATGGGCACCGGAAGAAACGGTAAGAAAATAAATAGGCGATTCTGCAGCCATCCGCAGACCCCCGTATCCGCGCCCCCCCTTGCCGCATCAATATAGATGTAGCATTGCCAGCGCACTCGATCAATCATATGTTTTAATATAATCGATTTTCGTATGTTTGTTTTCTCTGCAGGTGAGAACAATAAGTTTCAGGTGAAATTCAATGATCCTAAAGTCTGCAAATCCTTCTTGCTGGGATGCTGCCCTCACGAAATTCTAACCTCCACGGTAAGTGTATGCTAATTCCATAGTTCCCGTGAATTAACTGCATTGAAATACTTGGTGACTGAAGGGAGGAAGAAATACAGCAACAATGGTATCAATGCAGTGTCCTCTATTGTATTGGTACAATTGTGGTATTTGAGTCACCTGCAATGTTTTCATTTCTCACACATTCAGTGATATCTTTTGTTTATTTTACATTTTATTTCTACTATTGTTTCGTTTAAGTTTTGTGTTCATCCAAATTTTGAATGTTGGATTGGCATAAAATGTGTATAACCCGACGTTGCTACTTCAAAAATTGAAAGTCTTCCATTAGTGCTCTCTGTAACTTTTTCTGGCAGATTGATTCAATCACTGTTATTTCAGTCTTAATTTTGTTTCATTTCTTGTTCAAGTGTTTTGATTTTGAAAACGTTACTAGATTGAGTATTTAAAGGGCAATCCTGTGAAGTACTAATGTTAGCACTGTATTTTCAGAAACGTCAATTAACTATTATATGATGAGGAAATAGGTGTTAGTTTTATTATGTAAGTACTTGAGACGTACGTATGAACCAAATGAATCAAATTCTATACATATATATATATATTAATTAGGTTTAAAGAAAAGTCTATATTATTCCATAATACTTACTATAAACTAAACAAGTACAATTGTTTATTGAACGATTGTGAATTTGTGGTCAATAGTTTATCAATTATGATTTTTGTTCTTGAAATTTTCGTTGGTGCACTCACACATAAACACACACACATACATACCACACTCGAGAGAAAACACGCACTCTATTTCTCAGATTTTCTTCGGGCAAAAACAATGTAAGAACAATTATTTCTATATTACTTATGGAGAGTCGAAAACCGGTTACTTGTTCATTCAATAAATCATTTGTACTTTGCGGCATTGCTAAGGTATGGTAGAAAAATGAAAGATTATTCAAAGAAAGATTTACGCCAATTAATGGCGGAATTAAGTAGTTGACGTTTTTGGTAAGTAAGCAGAAAGAAACGAGATCAGTGGGAAGACGAAATTTATTGCATGAATCTTATTGACGTGTGTCCATGAAACGGAGAGAAAAGTCTTGTTTTTTCTTGTTGTTTTCTTGGGTTGAACAATTTAGCTCAAAAATAAATCAAACGAGTCGTGAGTACCAGCAGCATTTACTTAATCGATATTTTTCCTAATCAAAACAAAAATCCCCCAATCTGCGATGAACAATTATGGACTTTTGGTGCGTTGTATCCAGTAACGTAATATCTAAATGTTTTAAATCGTAATTATATATATTTGTTTTTCTATGTTATATAAAATTATTTCATTTGATCATTTCGTTGTCCACCCTCTATCATATTGTAAGTTGATTTTATTTACTTATTATTTAATTAATTTTATTCTTTCATTATTTACTTCAACTGCATTTCGTTTGTGCAAAGGTAGATATTACAGCAAAAACGAACAGAAGAAAATAATGCAGAAGAATAAAAAAGAACCTCCTGGTTACTATATGCTTTTATTTGTATTCATTTTCTTTTCTCTTGTTATTGTGTCGATTTTGACAGCGCATGGACCTCGGAGAATGCCCCAAGATTCACGACCTCGCCTTGAGGGCTGATTTTGAGAAAGCGCAGCAATCCAAGGATTACTTTTACGATTTGGACGTGAGTGTTTGATTTTATTTGTTTATGTTATTTATGTTTATATATCGTGTTGAATTTCATTCTTTAGGCTATGGAACATTTGCAAGCTTTCATTGGTGATTGTGATCGACGCACCGAATCCGCCAAGCAGAGATTGGCTGAGACTCAAGAAGAACTCAGCGCTGAGGTGGCGGTCAAGGCGAACAGCGTTCACGAATTGGCTGAGCAAATTGGTCAGAAGTTGGCTAAAGCTGAACAATTGGGAGAGGAAGGTTTCGTCGAAGAGAGTATGAAGTTGATGGAAGAGGTGAGTAACATTTAATAATAAAATATTATTATGGTATACACAAAAAATCATAAATATTTTGATTAAAATCCAACTTATTTTTATAAAATAATAATAACCTGTAGCGTCACCAATTGTTATGCTGCCAACGTTCTCTTTATGATGTAACCTAACAGCAACTGGTTGGCGTCGAAAGCATTATATGCTGTTAAAATAAATAGGAAAAAAATAGTCTACTTTCAGCTTAAAGAAGATACTTAACAACTTTTTAAATGAATAAATCTCATATTTAAGTGTAATATCAAGCTAAACATTAGTACTTTAAAAATATGGAGAAACATAATTGGGGAACAATGATCAATTATTGAAATAATTACGTAAAATATTGAAATATTCTTTGTACTTCTGCCCGTGTTTTGATATTTATGTGTATCATAATATTGTAATATATTTTCCAGGTCGATGAATTAAGAAAAAAGAAGCTGGAAGCTGAACAGGAATATAGAAATTCAATGCCTGCTAGTAGCTACCAGCAACAAAAGTTAAGGGTGTGCGAAGTGTGTTCAGCTTATCTAGGCATCCACGATAACGACAGACGATTGGCCGATCATTTTGGAGGAAAATTGCATTTGGGATTTATTAAAATTCGTGAGAAACTTTCTGAATTGGAGGTAAGAGTTTTAATGATCAATTATGATTTTTTTCTATCTAATATTTATTTTAGAAAACATCTGAGAAACGTAAGGAGGAGAAGAGGAACGTTACTAGAGATAGGGGTGGCGACCGCGAGAGAGATCGTGAGGAACGCTACCGTGAAAGACATAGGGAACAGTACGTAGGAGGAAGGGAGTTGGACAGGAGGTCAAAAAGGCATAGGTCTAAATCCAGGGAACGCAGAGATAAGGACAAGGATAAGGATAGCAGGTTAATATTTGTTTATTATTCAGTGATTCTCAAACTTTTTGGTCCACGACCCTTTTGGACATAAAAAGTTTCTGCGACCGCCCACTGAGTATGTGTAGAAAAACAACCAACCAACGACCCCCTAAATATATTACGCGACCCACACTTTAAAAATCACTGCTCCATATTAGTGCAACATTTTTCACGTTAAGGCACTCCTCGCAATATGTGAAAGAGCGGTAGGTTTTTCTTACATGATGAGTAAAAAATAACGGTAAAAATTCTTCCGTGCGAATTTTTGTACGTTGGTTTGGTCGGTTAATTCCCAACTTCATTTATAATTATTAACGACAAAAAACAACGTAGAATCCGGAGTTATTGAGTATGGTATACTTCAAAGCAAAGAAAATGTCCAGTATTATCAAATTGTACACTCTCAGGGAGTGAAGTTGCCTTATTTGATCCGATATGATATCAAATTGAAAACAATGGTTGCTGTTATCCTTTTGATCACAGTTTTCATCAAGTGCAGAGTTGATGCCTAACTTTTATGGTTATATAATTCTATATAATTAAAAATAAATACACAACGATAAGTTTTAGCTACTTTATCACTAGATTGTTAAACAATTAATAAATACTGCTATACCTGCTTGTGTGCACTGGGCAAAAATGAGTTAATACTGTAGAATCACTTAATTTTTAGATAAAAATTTAAATGAATCAAATTATGTTGGTATAGAAAATCTCGATGTTTGTCCTAAATATTTTGTATTTTTTTTAGGAGTAGAAGCTATAGATCCAGGTCCCGCAGTAGGGATCGCCGTTCCCATTCCAGGCACTCCGGATCCGGCAATGACAGACGAAGAGATAGGGATTAAAATATCGAGTTGATAATTTTAAACAACAGATATACCATGTTTGAGAACTCTTCGGACCTTCCCCTTCCCCCATAACTAAATATTTAAAATGATTGATTACCTTCTCCGCTGGTGAGATTGTTAGAGCTGCACCAATTCTCTTCTATTCATATAATATGTACAAATGAATTATTTGTTTTAGACACAAGCAGGATCTTTTTTTTTTCAATTTTGACTAGATATTTAGTGATTTGATAATTTAAATTTTTTATTTTAATGTAAATTACATTATTTTCTTCTAATTATTTTTTTTTGTTAAGTATAATGATTTGTTTTCTATCGTTTTTAGTCAATTTAAATTTTATTATAATATATCTATGAGAATAGTATGTAGTCGAGATAGTTGATAATTTCGCGCGTCATTGGATTGGACGCGGCCTCCTCATCTTGTTACTCTATTATTAAGATCAGATTTCGACGCACGATTACGTCTGACAATCAAGTCGGAAAGAGAATAAATGCATAAAGTAAAATAATCTAATTAATTTATTGAAAATCGTAACTGTTACAGTGTTATTATTTATTGCATAGAGTACTTTAAAAATCTTCAGCACTCGGCGCTTTCCTGTCAGCTTTGGTCTGTGATCGTAGCCTCTTCTGTATCAGCCTCTCTCGTATGGCTTTCTCTTGACTAAAAATAGATGGTTTTAAATAAATTTGAATTAACTTTAAAGAAAGTAACTTAGTACCGTCTTCGAATCCTCTCCACGGTATCTGCCGATGGTGCAGCCGCTTCTTGTGTGACTTCGACAATGCACATTCGCAATTTGTTCAAACAGTCTGCTAAGTTCATCTGTTGCGAACGAGTAAGATCTGATCGGAATATGAGATACCCTTCTTTGGTCAATTTGGTTTTATGCTGTGGTTGTAAATTTAATTATAATAATTAGATTGAAATCAATATAAACATACCTTCTCAGCTAATTTGCTCCTAATATCTGCATCTAACCACTCAGCAGTGTCCAAGTGGAATCTCATATCAACTTTTGTATTAATTTTATTGACATTTTGTCCTCCTGGTCCAGTGCTTCGTGAATATGTGATTTCCAATTGATTTACAGGGATGAAACCAGAAAACTTACTTGACAAGCTTGTCTCAGGCTAAAATAAATCATTAGTTCTAGTTTTTTATAGTACAATTATTGTAAGAGCTGCTCATTTTGTGATATTATACCTTTGTAGGTGATGTTAACTTCAAATTACTGCTTGGATATAAATTGTCCAAAGAAATGGCGCTTTTGTAAGCGACGGATCTGTGGATGACATTAAACACGTTACTGTGTTCCAAAGACAATACTCTCCTGATAACATTCATCTTAACTAAGTAATTATTAAATCAAATTATTCTGTGACAACTAGGTTATGTATTACAATGACACATTTATCTGTACAACAGCAGAGCATGATGTATTGCATAACCTTTAAAAAAAGTGAAAGCTCCAATGTTACCAATGTAAACCGTTCACATTGTTTTGTTACGCTTCGTAAATAATCGGCAAGCGTTGTGCTTTATTTATATATAAATTAATAATGCAATCCAATGATGCTTTACGAGATTCAGATCCATTGGCGAACGGTTGTGTTATATCAATAAAACGTTAGGTTATAGGATAATACAATATAATTTTTCTAGGCGAATCCTTCATACCAGCTTCCCAAAGACCTGATGGCACCTGGAGGAAACCCAGGAGGGTTAAGGAAGGTTATGTGCCACAGGAGGAGGTACCTTTGTATGAAAGCAAAGGCAAGAAATTAATGAACCGACATGTGGCACCAGCAGAGCCTATGAAGGTTGCAGGTTTTACTGCACATAAAACCATCCCTGGTTTGTTCATTGAGGATAAACCAGCTGTGAAGACACCAAAACCCAAGAAGACTAAAGCAAAAAGTAACTTTAAACTATTTTGAAACTATTCAACAGCAATAAAATGACATTTTTGCAGAAGTTGATGTGGTCACCAGTCTTGTAAGTGAATTAAAAATCACTGAACAGCCAAAAAAGCAAGTGACAGTGAGCAGTCCAGCAGTAACAGTAGCTGTTTCTGAATCATCGGATCCTGTGAAGAAAGTGAAAAATCTCAAAAAAAGGCTTCGAGAAGTTGAGAGTCTAGAGGAGAAAATTAACAGTGGTGCAATTGCCAAACCTGAAAAGGAACAATTGGACAAAATAAAACGTAAAAATGACTTAATCATGCAGATATATCAACTAGAGAAAGAAATTTAATAATACAGTGTTTTCCTTATTTCTCCTGTAAATAACTTCTTTTTTTTAAGTAATTGCCATTCATTGAATACAAACAATAAAATATATAAATATGCATGTACAATATACAGTGATTTTAATATGGATATCAAATAAATGACACTAGCCAGAAATATTCTGGTATTTTGAATAATATCAGTGATCTCTGAATTGCAATTGGCTGAACATACAGGTCACGTGTAAATAGTTCCGCATTGTGTGTATTTTGATAGTACTATAATCCATGCTATAATCCGCATCTAAATACTATGATGTCATAATTTAACATGTGTACATTTATTTATGTTGGCATTGGTATTATATGATGATATTTGACTGAAAAAGTGGGGGAGTTTCTTTGTTGATCTGTCAGTAAGTGTCAAAAGCTGTTGCCAAAACAAATCAGCTGATAATTTTGAAAAGGGGTTCTGCTATCAGCGTTGACTCTTGACGCCTCGCGATAAGAGTGTTCTGGTTGTATTCGCGTATCGGGCACTAAAAATAAACGGGCTCAGACGTCTTCCGCGTTTCCATTGTAAATACATTATAACATCTACTTGCTTATGAGTCATTCAGACACAGAGCAGTAGTACACTTGCCATTGTTATCTTTTATCACATTCCAATTAGTGTTACATCAATTGGTGCTTTGTCTTACCGCTTCCCGCTCTTACTCCTTTGTATTTTAATTCATATTAGGCAGCAGTTCAAGTGATCTTATAATGCAAACAGATGATGATTGTGATATTAACACCTGCCCTATTGACTATGATAAGCAGCAGGATGATGTTGAAGAAGAGGAGGATGAAGATGAGTTGACCAGGATCATTCCACCTGAGGGTATGCATATTTTGTAGAAATAATTTAGTTAATGTTTATGTAAAACTCACTATCAAGTATTTTCATAAATAATCAAGGATATCCAATTTATTTCATTAAATGATTTCTGTTTTGTTTACAAATTATATAAAATGTAATGCTACATAATTTTACTTACAACACAGTATTGGTTGCTGATGGTGCAATGATTTGGTTATAAATAAAGTATGCATATGCAAAACAAAATACTTTTGCTATGTGTGAATGTGTAAATTAGGTAGCGATAGTAGGCATGTTATCACTAGACTATTTACGCTTTTGTTTCGCAAAAGTACGTTTTATGTTTAAATACGATGAAAATCAAACGCGAATTGTTCAAGAATAATTTTGTCGAAACCCACGATGCGGTCGAAATCTTCGGTTGCTATGGTATGATATGTTAATTGTAGGATATAGGTATATTTTGTGGTGTTTTCTTGTGCTGCAGTTGACGATACCAGGGATTGCATGAAGTCGAGGCACATCCTAGGCATACTTGGATTTCTGGGTTTCGCCAATGTCTATGCGATGAGGGTGAATTTGTCCGTTGCCATTGTCGCGATGGTCAACTACGTGGAGCCGGCTATAAACAACACCTACGACCATTGTCCATATCCCAATAAGACAATTCCTGTGAAGGTTTTCGCGCAAGTAAATGGTCGAAAAGATATATCTATTGAACTGCCTGGTGTGCAGTGTTAATAGTATTGACCATAATAAATTGCCTGTTGTAGCCTGCGGAGTTCGACTGGGATGAGAAGACGCAAGGAATAGTTCTTGGGTCGTTCTTCTATGGGTACGTCCTTACCCAGTTGCCTGGTGGAAGATTCGCAGAGCTGTTCGGAGGCAAAAAGATTTTTGGTATCGGAGTTCTTGTGACCGCAATCTTCACGTTACTCAGTCCGATCGCTGCACGCACGAATTTCTCCCTGTTTATATTGGTCAGGGTGTTAGAAGGAATGGGAGAGGTAATAATTTATTGTTCCTAATATTGCAAATATTATCGTTTATTTTATTTGTAGGGAGTCACTTTTCCAGCTATGCACGCAATGCTTGCCAGATGGATTCCTCCTTTGGAGAGGAGCAAATTTGCGGCCTACGTTTACGCAGGTTACTATCTAGAAGAAAAAAAATCAATAATCAATTAAAATACTTCTTGAATTCCAGGTGCTAATTTCGGGACAGTCGTATCGTTGCCTCTATCCGGTTACTTGTGTGCTCTGAACAATGGATGGCCGTTGGCCTTTTATATTTTCGGTATCTTCGGTTTAGTTTGGTTTGTTTTCTGGCAAATCTTTATCTATGACTCACCGTCCGTCCATCCGCGAATCTGCAGACAAGAGCAGACGTTTATCATCGCCAGCATTGGGCCACAGGTTTAATGATTCCCACAATTCGCTGTTTACATTTCAAATCATGTTTTATTCATAGGATGATGATGAAAGGTCGTCCATCCCTTGGCGGAAGATGGCAACATGTTTGCCGTTGTGGGCCATCCTGGTCACCCAGTGCGGACAATCTTGGGCTTTTTACACCCAATTGACGGAGATGCCTACGTATATGGCCCAAATTTTACATTTCGATATAGAACAGGTAAATCACGTTAAATTTAAGAGTGACCAGTATGTCTCAATATGTTATCTGTATCGCAGAATGCCGCACTTTCCGCCATCCCATACCTGACGAGCTGGGTGGTGGGAATATTTGCCAGTATACTCGCCGATTGGCTATTGAGTAAAGGATACCTCTCGCTCTCAACTTCATACAAATTATTCAATTCCATAAGTAAGTTATCGGTTTAGGTTTAAGGCGATATATTCCAAGCTTGACTATGATTCTTCAGGTTCAATAATCCCATCGTTGGGATTACTGGGTGTTGCCTGGTTGAAATGCGACCGCATTGGTGTGCAACTTATGCTGGCCATTCCTGGAGCATTTGCGGGAGCTGTGTACGCGGGCAACCAGATGAATCACATAGCACTAAGCCCGAAATTCGCTGGCACTATGTACGGTATCACAAATGCTGCCGCCAATATGTGCGGATTCCTTGCCCCATACGTAACCAGTTTAATTATACAAGGACAGGTTTGTAATTACCATAAGAACAGTATAACACTCATAACGCAATCTCTGCGTTTTTAGGAGAACCTTGGACAGTGGAGTATGGTCTTCTACCTGGCTGCAGGTATCAACATGGGCACGAACCTGTTTTACGTTGCATTCGCCAGTGCCAGGGAGCAGCCATGGTCACGTTCCCATAGGATCCAAAGTCACAATTGACACGTCCTGTATCTAGCCCTGCTAGTGGACACCTAATTTAGATGCATTGTAAATACGTATTTATCTTTGGTTCTATAGGCAAATATCAAATATTCGGGCGAAGAAATGCTAGACATTTCAACTCGTCCCACCTCTAATCCACTACCATAGGGCATTCTATGGATTTGAGTACATCAGGTGATAGTAGGTTATCATAACGATGGGGATCCGCTATAGAGTTGATTTTCAGGTTTTATTAGATTAGATCACATATTATTTCAGCAAACTAAGAATTCACTCTTGATTTTATTTCTTATTGTACAGTATTATACGATTATATATTTTCCGGAAATCAATTCCCCTAGGATCCCAATTTATTTTAATTTTATAATAATATATTTTATAATTATTACAGAATATACTAAATATATATTTTAATCAAGAATTTATATATTTTTTATTTTTCATGAACGTTTATTCCACATTCCGTTTAATTTCACAGTCTTTATACGTATTATACTTAAATTATTTATTATCCTTTCTATTTTTTTTTCTTCCCATGTAAATTCTATATAGAAAAAGAATTAAGTTCAATTTTGTGTAAACGTTAGTTCGATAAATTTTTAACAACGAACATTATCTATTAGTGAATTCAAATAATTTATTTGACCAGAGACCATAAATATGAAATGGAGGATACTTAAAAAATGAAAGCGTAGGGCTAACATCCGAGAAAAAAATGTATTTGTGGGTGGGAGGGGGTTGCAACTAACACTGTTTAGGGGACCCAAATTTCGCGGTGTCCCGGACACTCGCCCGATTGACCGGTCGTAGCGACGCCTCTGGACGCCTCTAGTAAAGACTGAGGTCAGTAGCCCTCTATATGTATGTACACGTGTACAATAAATGATAATTATTTGTTTGTATTATAGTAATACAATATTTGTAATAGTTGACATAATGTTCTTGGGACTTATTTAATTATTAAAAAAAAATAATAATTACATTTGTGTTTCTCAATAGTATGAATCAGTATGAATGAAACGATTTTTGTTTGTTTGTTTCTGTTTCTTCCACTCCGAAGGAGTGGAAGTATGCAACTTAGCTCGCACAACGGGGTGCATGTAGCCAGTCAATGTCATATTAAATAAGATTAAACACTAAAAACAAAACGATTTTTATTTATAAATTTTAAAATAATATTTATTGGAATAAATTACAAAATAATAAAACTCAATACATTAACAGCATAATAATATTAATAGGACAGATGGACCTATGGTCAATAGCCCTGTGAATCAGTTGACTTTATTTGAATAAATATATATTTATTTTGTTCTTTTTATTTCTGTATGTTTTTTTTGTACGACTGATGTAATAAACATTATTATTAAAAATAATATAAAATTCAATTGCTGCAAAGATCTATTTCTGCCCTATAAATTTGATTTTATTTAAATTCTTCTTTCATGATTTTATTCAAATTAATTTATTTTGCTGTATAGTTTTTTTTTTTCTTCAAATTAATCAGGTAATCTTTGATTATCTTTATGTTGGCTGGCCTGCATGGTCGTCAGAATTCGAAAAAAGTAGACTGCATCAAAGCCGAACAGAATAACGGCTTTTACCCGTTTTCAAATTTGTGCTGAGGGTCAGGAACTAGTGAAATAACAATTATGGAGGATTTAAATAAGTTAAACGAAAATATCACGAATATTATTTACGCCAATGTGGAAAAGGTGGAAATGGTGTTTGCTCAAACTCATATGAAGGTATAATTGATGGTTACTATGTTGTACTTGTATTAACTCAAAATTTGTTTAATAGTCATTGAGAGAACTTTTGGAAGAGATGAAACCAATAGTGCAACAGTTGAAGCATGGCAAAAGGGATTTGTATTATGAGTATATAGAAATTCTAAATAATAGATTGAATAATTTCAATAAGAAGGTGGAACCAAATAGGTCTTTGTTTAAGGAACTTGAAGGTAATAATTTAGTTTTGGCATGTAGCATTAAATTATTTCCTTTATTTTTTTAGATAAAGAAAATGTTAATGTTGATGATGCTGTTGAGGAAGAACCAAAGGTTGGAAGACCCAGGAGAAAAGCTTTTAATAAAGCTTCAGAAAATATAAAAATAGTTACTACAGAGCCCCTAAATTCTAAGCTAAGAAGGCCAACAATAGTAAAGAAGGAAAAAAATGATGAGATTGATGATAATCAAATGCCACCACCAAAAGATCCTCCACAGAAAAGAGGTAGGAAAAAGAAGGAGGTAGTGATAAAAGCTGAGAAACCATCCAATCGGCAGACAGATAAAATTAACATAATTGAAGAAACCGTGCCAGCTAGAAAGTCAGAACGAAGTTCAGATGTGGTCTTAATATCACAGGTAAATACTGTAATCAATCTGATGTCAGATGATGAAGATAATGAATTGCCAGTAGTTGGGAAAGTGGTTCCTGATGTTGATGATCTTAATGATGTTGAAAGTGAAGCAGAACCTGAGAAAATATTTTCAGCACCAGAAGAAGGAGTTGAACCATTGAAAAAGACAAATAGAACTAAGAATAAAAAATATAGTACTATTAGTACTGTGGATGATGATGAAGTAATTGAGGCAGGCCCTAAGAAGAGAGGTAGAACCAAGAAAAAAACTATTGTTAATAAAGCACCTATATTGGATATTGATCCTAATATGGACGAAGATGAGGAACTGCAGAGAAAGGCTAAAATTCCAAAGAAGGTTGCTACAAAGAAAGTCAGTGAATATGAAGAAATGGAAGAGGAGAAAACAGAGAAGGAGTTAAAGCGGTTGACTAAACGGTCAAAATCGAATGAACGGAAATCTAGGGATAAAATCGAAAATTCCGAAGGTGCTAAAAGCCCACGTAAGAATAGCAGCGTCAGTAACTGGATATGCGAGGATGTGCCTACAGTTTCAGAACAACCCTCATTGTATGAAGATGCTGAAGGCGAGCTTGTGGACAAATGTGACGATTTACCAGTACCTAGTAAAATATCGCTTATGACAGGAGTTAATGAGACAAGGATCGTTGAAACTAGATTGCAATCCGTAAATGAAACAAGGGTCATAGAAACTCCATTGCAATCCGTCAATGAAACAAGAATCATTGAAGCACCATTGCAATCCGTCAATGAAACAAGAATCATTGAAGCACCATTGCAATCCGTCAATGAAACAGTAGTTATCGAAAGAAATGGAACAGAAGTTAGTACGAATTATATGCTTTCGTCCGAGAAACCTATATTCCACAATACAATAATGAACAACACTAACAACGATTCTATTGATTCACTGTTTCCTAAGAATAAGAAAGCTACTCTAATGCAGTTAGACAAAACGAAAGTGATTGCCAATGAAACTGTCGTTATCAATGCAGTAAACGAAACGCGGATCATAGAAATGCCTGTCTTACAGAATATGAATCAGGAATCGGTACAACCGAGTAAGTATAACGATGAGGATGATCAGTTCGCGTTGAATGGAACCAAAATAATAACACCTGCGATAAACGAGACCGTAGTAATCGATAAGACTAATGCAAAGCCAAGTCTGCAATCCGTTGAACCGAAAACAGTCAAATCCAAAAAGAAACCCGAAAAGGAGATCTTCAGCCCGTACGAGAATAGTCCTGTCAAAAAACGGGTGGAGGCATTCGAGAATTACGCAAAGAGCACGTCCAAGTTGAAGAAACGTTTCCATAGTGATGTCGAGAAGATGACCAGCAAGATGACGACGCCGACGAATAATAGGGTCTTGCCATCGATGAGCAAAGGTTACGATCCTGGCTCGGCCTCTAAAACTTTGAGTGCCATGAAGGCATCCAAGCAGGAGTTTAGAGAACGAGAAATGCATAGAAGGGAGAAGGAGATGGAGGCCGCCAAGAAGAAGGAGGCCATGCTTCTGGCCATGACCGAAGAGAAAAAACGAAAGAGGGAGGAAAAAGAGAACAAAGCGAAACTGCATCGCGAGGAACTCGAGAGGGAAAAGCAGCGGGTTTATGAGGCTCAGAAAGTTAAGGAGGAGAAGCAGAAATTGGCAGCGTCAGAGAAGCATGAAAAACTTCAGAAGTTGCGTGAAGAGAACGAAAAGAAGCGACTTTTGCTGAAACAGAAACAGGAAAAGAAGAAGCTGGATGAACAGAAACAGCGTCAGAAGGTTCCCATATACATGACCATGAAGGCACCTCTCCTCCCCACCTTCGATTGCTACGATTCGGACAGCGATCAAGAGGAAAGAGACCATCCGACCATTGAAAAACCAGAATGGCTTAAAGCCGAACACATGCGACTAGCCAACAGGATCGCAGCCTTTGTAAACGGCAAATTGCAAAACACATTGTTCAGTCTGAAACCGAAGACTCCGGATCTAAGTAAGATTTTCCAGAATATCGAACCAGACAGACTCAGGCGCAACTCCAGTGCCATATGGAAGCATCCACCTCGTTTCACGTTGCTTCCACATGCCGAGGAAGAAAACGATGTTTAATTTTATCCATTTTATTTTTAATTTATATGTTTTTGTACATTTTTGTTAAAACGCATTCTTTCACATTTAAATTGTTTAGACAGTAAAACAGTATTATAAATTGTGCAGAAATAAATTTAATATTCTAATTCCTAAAAACAATCTTAATTAAGATAATTTATGTATGCATCCTGACATGATTAAAGTAAACTTTTGTGAACATATTCTACCTTCTAAATGTGAATACACTTAGCGGCCGTACGATTACTTTGAATATTTGTTGATATGTTCTAAAATATATTATTACTAAAGACACATATTTATGACTATCTTATACTACACAAATTATACCATTTTTAATTTTACTATCCGTTGGTGCTAGGGGGACACGAAAGATTTGTTGTATGGCGGTGCATGCGGTGGCGTTCCTTAGTACATAGGCAGCACATGCCGCGGCTCCACAAGTACCAGCAAGTATTAGCGCCAAATAATTTGAAATTTCAAACAATAAATAATTTTCGCATAAATGTTGCTTATACTTACTTTATCCTTTCTAATAGTTTTTATTGCTTTCACGTTTTCGCAGTATTTACATTTGGAACTACGACTGTTTGACTACTTTTTAACGAAGTTTGTTCTGATCCAAGATAAGTTTAATTATTATTAAATATATTAGTCTTTTTTAAGACTAGTAATAATAGTGATTAGTCTATTAATTAGAGAGTATTATTAAATTATAATATAAACAGTGCATATTAAGGTTATGTTGTTTTGTTATGGTGTAAGGTTCCATCGGCAGCACTGTACGAGGCGCCACTTGATTTCAATATTTGCGAGGGCACGCCACCACACAACGTCTTTGGTGCCATGGACAAACAGAACAGAACGTGACAAATCAGGATAGGATAAAACATAACGTCATACAAGAGAACAAAACAAAACAGTGACAAAATAGAATAGTACTAAAACAAAATAGCGAAAAGCGTTATATTTAGTATAACAACAGCTAGTGATTAAAACGAAATGTCTAGAACAGCCGCATTAGGTGAGAAACCCCGGCTGATATCTCAGATTTTTTAGTGAAATTCAGTCTTTCAGACCATGGTTTAATTCCAATTTTCGGATTCCCCTCGAAATAACATTTTCTTTTCTTTTGCATCCCGAGGAGATTGATGCCAATTGATGCATATTCAAAATTTTATTTATTCTTGTAGTGGCATTATTTTTGTGAGGCTTCGCGTCTATTTTGGCGTCAAAGCGATGTTTGAATTTATAGTTTTTTTTTATTATACATTGTATTTATTTATAATTATTAATTGAAGAAACCAAGTGGAAACATGGCGGAAAAACAATTGTACGATATATTCCAAACTGCAGAAAACTCGCTCGCGAATCATCCAAGACTTATACACAGATTGATCAACGTTTACAGCCAGGTGAACATAACCTATATAATAACGAATTTTGAACCAAAATAATGTTGTTTTTTTAAAAAATAATAGTACCCGTTCGAAGAATTCTTCAAAGGATTTGTGCACTGTTTAGAGATCATATTTCACTATCCCATAGTACAATCTAGGAAGACATGTATAAAAAGTTTGGATTTTGGTGCACAGTTCACAGCCAATGTGATGAAGCAGGCTGAAAATGAATCAATAGATGAAGATTTTGAGACTCCTCAGTTCATATGTAAAATAATAATGCAAGCATTAGAAGTAAGTAAAATTGAACTATTAATAATTATATTATATGTAATGATATGTTTGCTTTTAGTATACTGACCTAGCACAAGAGAATATGAGGTATTATTCCTGCCAATTCATAAATTTGGTGCTCAAACATCTCGGGGAGAATGCACAGTTAGATGATGATTTATATCTTGCAATTCAAAATTCTATGCTTGAATCAATTAATGTAAATATTTAACAAAAAAATAATTCGTAATTAGTTTCTATAATATTTTATTTTAAGGATCGACTTCCAAGCATCAGATTGCAATCAATAACATGTTTGTTGCGTTTACAAGATCCTCTGAACAATGACTGCCCTGTAATCAAGGCATTTATTAATTGTTTGGCTGATCCAAATGTAGCTGTGCGTTCTACTTCTGTAAAGACTATTGCTGTGACCTCTGTAACAATACCAAAAATAGTAAAGTGCTTGTATGATCAAAATCATTTTGTGAGGAGTGAAGCTACGCTCAAGTGTGCTCATATAAATCCAATCTACTTTCGAATCCAGGACCGTCAAAAAGTTCTGCAAAAATTATTCAATGAAGATAATAAGGTTGTCAAGAAGTGTTTTCATGATGTACTCTTTCCTAAGTGGTTGGGAGAATATAAGAACGACATACTTAAATTTCTTAAATCAATTAAATTAGATGGCGACGATTCTGATATCAATACCGTTGATTCACTGACCAAGAATATTTTGGAGGTTTATTTTAAGTAAGTGTTAACTTATTTATTACTATTCTATAATGATATTAAATGTGTTTTATTTGCAGATCATTTCCAATAAATGATATAATCGCTGGTTTAAATTTAAGCGAAAATAAGTTGATTCCATATGAAAAATTATCAATGGAAGTTGTGGCGTATTGGAACACGCTGATCACACATTTGAGGAATAACGAGATGGACGATTATTTAGATGATTTGCAACCGGAACTGCTGCATTTCTGCAATTATATTGACAAGTAATAGAAAACAATACTTTAACTACAATACAGGTTACTAAAATAAATATGCTTTAGGTTTATTGCAAATAGTTTGGATGAACTGATGAACAAGAAAATGGATGACTGGCAAATGCTTGAATTCCAGTATAAGTTGAACATTTTAATGGTGATGGCAGGCGAAAAGGATCTTGCAGACGAGGTAATTTATTGATTGTTTAAAATTGTTATTAGATTGATCTTAATTCTAAATTATTATTTTTAGGTCGGGAGAAAGGCGTTACATGCGCTAATATTAAATATATTACAACACAATAAATTACACACGAAAACATTATATACTGTAATTAATATTTTGAGTGAATTGTCCAATACTCCTCAAGAATTTTCCATGGAGATATGCACTTTAATATCGGATATTCGGGAACCTCTTATAGAGGAGGAGGAGGAAATGATTCCAAATGAACAGCCGAGAAACACCCTCGATAACAATTTTAAAGTATTGTAGTTTGCTATTAGTAGTTTAGTTTTTATTAATTATTGGTTTATTTCAGTTGGCTAGGATGAAATTGAAATTGGACGTTTTGATAGAGGAGAGGGAAGAAGCGAAGAATGAAGAGAACTTCCAGCTTGCAGCGGAGAAGCACGAAGAAGTTAAGAAATTAAGTAAGGAAGTGGCAGATATGGAGTGTGTTCCAATTGCAGTTAAGAAGACGACGAAGGTGAAGAAACTGCAAGACGACTCGGGGACTATCACCCAATATTTGGATATCTTGATAGTGGTTTTGCAGATAGTGAGAAAACTGGATGATAACCTACATACTTGCATTAAAGAAGTTCTACATCCATTGATGGATAACCCGACGGATGATGTGTGTTTACGTGTTTTCAAATGCAACTGTTTGCTCTCTTTACTGGACAAGGAATACGCTTTCGATAATATCAAAATGATAGCAACGCCAATAGTAATGTTCCATTATATGTCCAACTATGATCTAGACATATTAAGCGCTTCGATGGGGGCTATTGCTGATCTGGTTGTTTTGTATGGTACCAGTTTACTGGGCAATGGGTCGGACACGACAATACAGAAAAAAAATAGTCGCCGTCTCTACAACCAGGGCGAATTTAATTTTGAAAATTTGGATATGGAAGATTACTCCTCGGAGGAAGTCATGAATATAATTATAGAGATTATGGACGATGAAAACGTTGTTTTGAGCGAGGTCGCTGTGAATGCGGTTGCTCGACTTTTGATGGCCGGGGCTTTGGTTACTCCGAGTCTTATTTCTCGTGTCCTTTTGAAATACTTAAATCCGATGATGGTGAAGAACAATCCGAAATTGCAGCAGATGCTCATCTCTGGTCTCCTTTACTTCGCGAACAAATACACGAACGCCGTCGATGTGATTGCCAAAGCGGTCTTCTCTACTTTAAATATGATCGTGAACGCTCCAAAAACCAACCCCCTGTCCGAAATCGATATAGATAATACCATACATTTTCTGGCGGGTTTAACGAATAACGCTGGGAAAGATGTAAGTTTACCAGAATGTGTACTAAAGTTTTTAGTTACTAATTTTTCATTTTTTTCTGTAGACATTGGTGAATGCCCATCAAGATTTATATTTGGAACTATGCACCAAACTCGTCAAATACCCAAATGACAATTGCTCAGGAGTTTGGATAAAAATGTTGCTGGTTTTGCAATTACCCACAGATGACAAACTAGTTTTAAACGAAATAAAGCAGAGGATAGAAATCATCATAGAAGAACTAACAGACAAAGTATTAATTCAAAAGTTGAAGAAGCATTTGTCATGTTTGATTGAATATCTGAATGGCTCTCATGGAATGTCGACTATTGCGGAGATAACAGAAGAATCGGTGGAAGACGATCAAAATAGTCTTGTTGCTAAGAACGCAAATGTAGGTAAACAGCATCGGCTTGAAGGCAAAAAAGCGAATATTGAAGAAGTGTCATCTGATCAGGAAATTGTTGAAGGTAGTGAGGCTAAGCGGAGCAGACTTCAATCAAGTGATGATGATACACAAACATCGGCATTTGTTGTACCGGGAAGTTCGATATGCAACAAGCTGGTAGTGCTGCAAAACATCACGATGAAGAAAACTAACCAGAAACTCAACTCGGATGACGAAAGCGGCGACAGTGCGAAGGAGAACAAAACTGGAACTGGTCAGAAAGAAAACAAAGAGAGAAGCAACATTTCTCCGGAGAATAAGTCTGTTATCAGTGATACAGATAGATCCAGCAGTGAATCAGAAAAGACATGCAAAGACACAGTGGAAGTCAATGGTTGTTCGTCGAACGCAGAAGATTCCACGACGGAGAAAGAAGACAGCCAGAATGGTAATAACAAGCGACAAAACGGCAAGGTTTCAACGCGAATACGAAAGAAACCTAAAAGATATGAAAACCCACTTGAAGAAATTGACAAAAATAACAAAAAGATTGAATTGGTAATGTTATATAAGTATTAGTAATTCGATGTTTATTAAATTGTTTTGAAATTTGCAGATGAGGCGTTCAACAAAAATCAATAATGATGAATCTGTTTCAAGGATTAACGGAAAGTAAGTTGATAATATTTTTTCTCTTTTCTTTATAACGACAACCAATTTCTTTAGGAAAGGAAAACCTAAGGGGAAGCAAGAGCAGAAGAGTAAGGTTTCGACTGGTTCGAAGAAAAGTGCAAAACAAAATGCGATGACCTCAATGGGCATGACTTCCAATGAAGTTGATAATACGACGTTGAACGAAAGTGTGTCAGTGAAGAGGAAGAAGCAGCGTGGAAACGTACAATCGATCTCATTCGAGGACTCTGAAGAGACGATATTATATACAATCGTGGAGTCATCGGAATTTGTGAGTGAAATGCATATCTACATATATTGATAGTCTTACTTTATGGGTATTTTTTTGTGCAGAACTATAGTAATTTGGAGGATAGCACGAGTTCGCGACGTACGAAGAGCATCGTTTCGGAAACATCTTCAGACGATGAGTGAGTAATAATCTTCGATGCATCGACGCATTATTAACGTATTCCGAATTGATTTCAGGAAACCCGCCAGAAAGTCTGTACGGCTTTCCAAAAAGAAGAAAGGCTCCGTTAAGTAGTTTGTTATTTAAACAACAATTTGTTTTCATTAATTTGTATATATATATATAGTATATTCCAAATGAGAGTAAATAGTAAATTTATTAGCATGTACATAAATATATAGCAATTAGATTTTAATAGTTGATTAATGTATGAAATACATTACATCATTAAAAGAAAACAAAAAAAAATCTTATAGTATTATATTTTTTCAAGTGATGATTTTTCAATAGGGTTTTCTCATCCTTATAATTCTAGTGAATTTCCGCTACTCGGATTTTTGTAATTGTATCTAACTCAGTGTTTCTCAAACTTTGATACGGTCTAACGTAATGCGGTTTATAGTTCATTTTCCAACTACAAACCGCATTATGTTTAAAACATTTTCACCAGTAAGTGATATCGCACTTTGAGAAGCACTGATCTAACTAAAAATACATTTATTATTGTATTAGGTTTCTCATGTTTAAATCCTTTCACTCCGTTAAATATAGAATCAAAATTGGTATTTTCTTTATTCTACTTAGTATTTTCATATTTAATTACTCTTTTTCATTATCCAAGGAAGTGGCCAGAATAAAATTACCTTGGATCAATGCCAATGTCACATAATTTTGCAACTGTGGGTTCCAATTCAGATTATTTCTGGTAATAAATATGTACTCTTAGTAGAGTTTATTATAATATTCAATTCAACTACATATAAATAAATATATACATTATTGAAATGCATATATGTTCATTGATGTGGAACAAAGATGTTAGAATTTTGATTGTCCTATCAAATTATTAATTTTCAAGTTTCAAGGAACTTAAATTAACTCTTTATTAAAGATTTTAATAATTTTGTCTATTGTTCTGTTGTGTCCAACCCAATCACTTTCTTATTAATTATCGATATATATGTTAATAAGTGCCTATCGGCACTCGCAAACTTCTACATAGTTCTGCTAGTTTTTCAACCCATTTATGCAACTTTCTTAAAAGGGAGGTTTGTTACAAGTTTGGTAGTTAACTATAAAAACTATGCCAGCCACAATTAACCTCCCCAAACAATTGTAAGATTTCTCACTCTTTGGACCTTACCGATAGTGGCGCCTATGATATACATCCGCCGGCGTCTTTAACGTACACCCACATGGCAAATTAGTATCTTCCCTTAGAATATTATTTTGTAAGTTAGTCCTAGTAATAGTTCTAGTCTATATCAGTCTATACTACTCTTGAACAGCAACCTATGCTTGTAGCAACTGGAAGCTAGATTAAGAATCTCCATCACCTAAGTGTTAAATAAATACGATTAAGTACACTGACTTCAATCTAGACTTCCATAAAATCCACTAGGACTCCACATCGACAATACTACAAATTATTCCAGTGTCCAGAAATATTCCATCCCGTGACACGATAATTATGTTATTCCCAAAAGTTGGTTCTCATTGCGTTTCTTTTTAAATAGTTTACACATTCAATAAATCAAATTAGATTTCTATATTCGCCTTTATCACGAATATCTGATTCGAAAGGTCGTTGGTTCAATTCCCAAAAACCAACAAAAAGGGTATAAATAGGTCCAAAAAGAGATTTATATTAATAATAAGTTGATATAAATCTCTTAAATAAAAAAAAAAGATTTATTATACAATAATAAATAATCTCGTTATACATCTACATCCAAAAGCTCAAATCAGAAAGAGTTTACAAATAATATTGTTTTTATCAAGTACTGAGATATCACAAATTTGGTATTCCAAGCATTGACTTTAACGCCATTTGAAATTCCATCTTTCGCGGGAAATTTAATTTATAATAAGCCGTGTATTATCCAATAAGAAATCATAATATTTATTACTTAAAACTTATATTCCGAATACGAAATGTTGTTCTAAATATGTTATATTTTTAGTATGTACATATTGTAATTTTACATACTAATTTGTTTTCAACGTACAATTATTTATTATTAAATTGGAATTTTCATGATTGGATTGGATGTGAATGTTTTATAGTCCACTTACATTAAAGTGTGTGACGTGTGACGTCACGAATGGACTTTGACTCAATAAGTGTTTGAACTTTGGTAGAAGAACAGCGATTTTGTTTTTTTATTCTTAATCTTGTTTACAGCTTAAAGTCCTTATTTTATTCATCAATAAACAGACTCTAGCTATGATCAACACTGGGTAAGACATATTGTCCATTACAGTTTTGGCTTGGTTGAGATATTCATATACAGCTATGTTGAAGTATTTTAAGTGACCTACATGGCTGAAGCACTTTAAAATTCTTTTAATTTTTAGGAAATTATCTGGGCTGACGGTTTTCGTGACTGGAGGCAGTCGGGGGATTGGCAAAGCAATTGCATTGAAAGCTGCAAAGGATGGAGCCAATGTTGTGGTTGCGGCTAAGACTGCCACTGCAAACCCGAAGTTGCCAGGGACTATCTACACAGCCTGTGATGAAAGTAAGATTATTTTTATTGTAAATAATAAGAATATGTTGTTATTTGTATTATGTATTCAGTTGAAGCAGCTGGAGGCAAAGCCCTGCCCTGTATTGTTGATGTCAGAGATGAGAAGCAAGTGAGAAGTGCTGTAGAAGAAGCCATTAAGAAATTCGGTGGAATAGATATTTTAATTAACAATGCCTCCGCCATACAGCTTTCACCAACTGATCAGACTGATATGAAAAGATATGACTTAATGCATAATATAAACACAAGAGGAACGTTTTTAACGTAAGTACACTATAAATATTTATAGTATGCAATTAATTTGACATTTCAATTGCAGCACCAAAGAATGCCTTCCATACCTTAAGAAGAGTAAGCATGCACACATTCTGAACCTCTCTCCACCACTGAACATGAACCCCTTGTGGTTCCAAAATCATGTTGCCTACACAATGGCAAAATATGGAATGTCGATGTGCGTTCTCGGTATGCATGCCGAATTCAAGCCCTTCAATATTGGTGTCAACGCTTTGTGGCCAAGGACAGGTAAACGAAGAACCAGCTCAACTAAACTGGTTTCTGATGAGTAATGATTTCTGCAGGTATTAGCACTGCTGCCATTGAAATGTTGGCCGGCGATGAATCCTTTAAATATACTCGTAAGCCTGAAATCATGGCTGATGCGGCTTACGTGATCCTCTCGCAGGATCCGAGGAAGGTGACTGGAAACTTCTTTATTGATGAGCAAATCCTAAAGGAACACGGTGTCACCGATTTCGATCAGTACGCAAACGACCCATCACAAAGGGAGAACATGATGATTGACTTCTTCTTGGATGAAGCACTCAATAAACAAGCCGAACCAACTAAGAAGACTGAGGAGTCTATAAAACCTGCTGGAGAGGTTGGCAAGATCTTCGTTGCTATTGAGAAGAACTTGAGCGAGGATTTGGTGAAGAGCACTAACGCCGTGTTTGCTTTCAATTTGACTGGCAAAGAATCTGGAAAATGGTAAGTTATCAATTAACAACAACTAGTGGTTGCAATATTTAATATTGAGGATTCTCGCATTCAATTGGTAAATCAATAATTTAAATATTAAAGACCATAAATTTTTTTAAGTAAATAATTTAAAATATTGATTAATTGATACAAATATTTATTGTTCTTCTTTGTTTTTTCTTTGAAACTATCTGGAATGGAAGAAATGGTAAATTCCACCAGGCAGCAAAAACTGATTGATGAAAATTCGTTTTATTTCATTTCTTATAGGTTCGTCGACTTGAAGAACGGCACAGGTAAATGTGGCCAAGGAGACGCTCCATCCGGCGCCGATGCTACCCTCACAATGGACAGCAAGAACTTCTTCGACATGTTCACGGGCAAAACGAAGCCCACTACCGCTTATATGATGGGAAAATTGAAGATTGCTGGAAACATGCAAAAGGCCATGAAGCTTGAAAAGCTCATGGGCAAATTGAAATCGAAATTGTAAATGTTTCAATGAAACTCTTGATAATTAAGTAATCTTAGGTGCAAAGTTTTCTGTTTTATATGGTTATAAATAAATATGTTTTTTTTATATAAGAATTCCAGTTGTTTATAAATTAAATTTTATTTATTTATTTTTATATATATTAAAAATAACGACTTAACACGAAATTTGGTAAATTTTGACTTCAAGCCTCCAATGCAACTTTTTCCACCTTTGCTTCCTTCTTGTCCAGTTTTCCCCTACCAATTTGTTTTACTAAATACCAATAAAAGAATTAGTTTAAATGTATACAAATAAGAACAAACAATATTTACATCTTTCAATCTTGTCCTCCTCAACAATATTATTTGGTTCTCCAATAATTTCAGTCTCTGGTACATCAGGCAGTGTTTCTGTGATTATCTCATTCAATTCCCTAAGAACTGCTTCTTCATCGTCTTCATTCAAAACACCAAAGAGCAATGCATCTATCTCCTACGAAAATAAAACAAGAATTAAGAATCAAAACAAATAAAAGTAAATAATAATTCAAACCTGTTGTTTCTCAACACCTTCTCTGGTTTCATCCAATATCCTCTCAATATCCGAAATATTCAATGTATCATTGACTTTCTTGAGGGCATCATTGCCAGTCCTGAGTCCATCAACCACCTTAACTTCAACTTGTGCAAACTCAATGTCCTGTGTTAACTGTTCCAGATTCACCAATTGATCATCAGTGCGTTTAAGCAATTGCTCTTGGAAACGTTTTTTCCTTAGCAAAGTCTTTGCTCGTCTAAAAAAATAAACAAAACAAAAAAATCAGTGAACAAAATAAAACAAATAATTATAATTACTCTTTCATCCCATCAGATATCAAGCGCTTGGCTAATTGCCTATCTGATTCTAGACTTGCTTCAATGCGTTTCTGGTACTGCTTTAATTTATCCCTTTGCTGTTTTAGTTTCTGCAACATTAAACATATTTCAGAAAACATGTATCAGAAAATAGCGAAATAAATTACCAAGACAGCCTTATCTTGTTCCGTTATTTTGCTCCTAGGTTTTTTACTGAATATATGTCCCATTTTGTGCTTTCTTTTCTTTATCTACACACAAATAATAATCAAAAAAAATATACTTCAGTCACTTTGACATTTGATTGACATTTTTTTCTAAATTTTGGAAGGAGTTAACCAAATAATAAATAAACGAGAAGTTAGCTGTGGAAGAATATTTAGTTGCCTACAATTATTAATGATTTTTCTATAATTTTTAAGGAAAGTCAATGCACAATTTAAATATGCCTCATAACTGGCGTTTGGTCCTAACGATACTAAAAGGGATTAATTATAATAAACAGTATACAACAAGTGGCATCTCTTTCTTACAAATTGGAAATGTTTTGTAAGGTGGGTTGTATAAAACTTAATAAACATACACGAGTTGAGTAGGTTAATATGTTGGTAAACAATTTTTTTGAACCATTTGATTGTACTTATGCGTTTAATTAGTTATGTTTGTAAACAATTCTCGCCGGAAGTGATGAAATATCTGTGCGTTGCCGAGAAGAACGATGCTGCTAAAAACATTGCCAAATTTCTCTCAAAGGGAACCTCAAACAGGGTGAGTAGTTATGCAGACATAACTTTCATAAAGCATATATTACTATTTATTTTTTTTAGCGTGAGGGACTCTCCAAGTTTAATAAAATATATGAGTTTGATTGCCAAGTTAGAGGACAGCAATCTCGGATGGTCATGACCTCAGTGTCTGGCCATTTACTCAACTATGAATTCTCAAGTCAGTATCGAAGCTGGAACTCCTGCAATCCAGTTCTATTATTGGATGCTCCAGTTAACAAATTCTGTCCAGAAAATAACATCAAAATTAAGGTACTTTTCATTGCTTGCATAGCTTTTGAGAATATTGTTTGAATTCTGTATCAGAAAACTCTTGAGCGGGAAATCAGAGGCTGCAATGGACTTATCATCTGGACCGATTGTGATAGAGAAGGCGAGAACATTGGTATGGAAGTGGTAAATGTGTGTACGGAAGTTAAACGGAATATCGTCGTGTACCGAGCGAAGTTCTCGGAGATCACGGGTCCATCCGTGTTCCGAGCACTCAATAACCTAGAGGAACCCAATAAGAATGTCAGCGATGCAGTTAACGTGCGGCAAGAAATCGATCTGAGAACAGGAGCTGCATTCACGAGGTTCCAAACGCTTCGATACAAGAACGTTTTTCCTAACATCCTGAGCGATAAACTGGTAAGCTACGGGTCCTGCCAATTCCCGACGCTCGGTTTCATCGTCGACCGGTACTTGCTCGTTCAAAATTTCATCCCAGAAAACTTTTGGAAGATCAAAAGTAAGGTGTTCAGTTGCTGCAGGCGAATCTAATAATCATTAATGCTTATTTGTAGTGAATCACAAGGTCGGTGATTTGTCGACCGATTTCAATTGGGTACGAGAACGGCTGTTTTCGAAGGAGGCCGTCATGATGTTCCTCGATATATGTAAAGATAATCCGGTGGCAAATGTGGAGAACGTTGAGAACAAACCGAAAAACAAGTGGAGACCCTTGCCCCTAGATACGATCGTAGGTAATACGATTGAGGGCGTTGATACAATTGGTAATTTTTTTTTTGATAGGAAATGGAAAAAAATATATCGAGGAAGCTGAAGATCACGGCCAAGGAAACGATGAAAGTTGCAGAGAAGTTATACACGCAAGGATTCATCAGTTATCCGAGGACGGAAACCAATATTTTCCCGAAAGAATTGAATCTGCGCGAATTGGTTGAACAGCAGACTAACGATAACAACTGGGGCCCCTTTGCTAATCGGATATTAGAAGAGTACGGAGGACCTAATCCTAGACAAGGCAAGAAATCTGATCAGGTACTATATATTTATCAGAATATTTGATGCAAGATAGTTAGCGTTTAATAATCATTATTTTGAAATAGTTGTCCAATAGATTAATATAATAGTACGAGTAAAATGAATAGTAAGAAAAACGAGCAACGTTTCGAATAACGAGTGACGATGATAAGATAAGTCCCGGATTGCTCACCTGCTACATCATTTTTAAAACTTGTGTACACATATTATGTGTATTTTTGAATATGTTTCACTATACGGAAATTTTGGAACGGATTAAGCGAGGTTCCACTGTATTAATATTTTTTTTTAATTTTAGGCCCATCCTCCGATTCATCCGACCAAATATGCAGAAAATTTGCAGGGCAAGGAGAAGCAGGTGTACGAGTTCATTGTGCGGCATTTTTTAGCCTGCGTGAGCCAGGATGCAGTCGGCCACGAGACGGTCGTTCACACCGACGTCTCCAGTGAGAAATTCACGGCTCGTGGTCTGATCATCATCAAGAGGAATTACCTTGATGTTTACATATACGAGAAATGGAACGCTAAGGAGATTAACGATTACAAGATCGGTGATACCTTTACACCGACGGTTCTCGAAATGGTAAAAAAATGTCATTAATCAAATTAAATCTAAGTCGTTTTTAACTCATTTGAGTTCAGGTTGAAGGGCAGACCTCCGCTCCCAATTACATGACTGAATCTGAGCTGATAGCCATCATGGAGAAGAACGGCATTGGTACAGATGCAACCCATGCAGAGCATATAGAAACCATCAAGAGTCGCGATTATGTGACGTTGCGCGATAACAATTACTTCATACCCACGAACCTGGGACTAGGCCTAGTCGAAGGGTAAGTTTTTTTCATTCTAAAATTAATTGGGTATGATAATTGTACAATATATAACATTAAAATTAAATAAATGGAAGGTGCTAAAATTAACTATATAATTATTAGGTTGCTAGTAATCATATTTTAAGGCAGAAAGACCTACAGTCAATAGTCCTTTGTAGCAGATCAATTAGTTGTTTTTATTTTCTTTTTATTATATTATGTTATTTTTTTGAGATTGTATTATTATTCATATTTTAAGCCAATTTTTAAATTAGCAGTGTAAATATTGAAAGAAATAAGAAAGTTGTTTATTAATTAAATCAGTGCTTTGATATTACAATACTTTTCATTTTTAATAATTTGTGTGGAATTCGTTTAGATACAACCAACTCGAAATGGAGATATCGTTGTCCAAGCCTGTGCTTCGAGCGAACTTCGAGAAGGATCTGCAGCTTATATGCAATGGAGTTAAAAGGCCCGACGAGGTGCTCAACGATCAGATCACAAAATACAAAGAAGTATATCAGCAGGTGATGCTAAAGGTTGGTCTCATAGATCGCACACTCGCGCAACACCTGAACGACACGCCTCACGAATATCAAGAGCCGCAATTCCAGACCAACACCTATAGATCACTGATGAAGTGTCCTAGATGTGGCTCTGATATCAACCTTAGGGACATGAAGAATGGCAGGGGCAAATTCATCGGATGCAGTGGATATCCAGGCTGCAAATACGTCATTTGGCTTACTTTCGGTTATTCCGAAATAGAAGTTCTGGACGAGTCCTGCAATATAGTAAGTACCATGCAAGATACAAATATACCAGTACATCCGTTCTATTTTCGCCCTCTTTACCTTATTTTTAGTGACACTAATGGTATATAAAAAAGATGCGCTCATGACGTATTCATAAAAGTACATGAATCTCACTCATGTAGACCGTACATGTGCGTAATATTTGAAATAGCGGTAGAGGAATTTCGTAGTGAAACCTCTAGTACCGCAATCGCCAACCGGAATTTTGGTGGTCCGTAGAGTAATTTAAATATATTTTCAATTTTTCTTTTAAATTCTACAGTTTTCCCCATATAAACTAATGTAAAATACGATAATGCGTTCCACGCCCGAAAAAAAAGTATAACTTCGTCTCTATTTTTAATGATTTGATTTTGCTTTTCATATCTTTTCTATTTATTGTTATTAAATTTTGTACAAAAAGTAACAAATAACATGTCTGAACACACGTTTGGAAATTTTGTGATCACAAACAACACTAAGATGCAACTAGAATGACCACTAACACCAGGAACTGTTTTCCTATTCAAACTCCGTGAAATGAGTTTATATTTGTTTATATTTCTTGTATCAATCCGGGTTCTTGGTGGAGATCTCTTTAATATTTGTTTATTTAAAAACGCGTACATTGTTTGTTTATATATTATAATAATTGTTGGACAAAATACATTTATGCAAAAACAAATTATATTTGCAAAGTGTAGTCCGCTATAAACAAAGATAACAAACAAAATCGAAGATGGTTAATATATTCAAAAATACATAAGTACACAAGTTTTGAAAATGATGTAGCAGGCGCGCAATCCGGGACTTCTCATCTCCTCGTCACTCGTTATGCGAAACGTCGCTTGTTAAGCGAGTCATTTTTCATACAATTTTTTTTATAGTACCTATACAATTTTATTAACTAAAACGTATTTATTTTTGCAGTGTGGGCCTGATGTGAAAAAGTTGAAAATAAAATTCGACCAGAATCCGTTCCTTGGGGAGCCGAATCCGAATGTGCTGTGCATAGGCGGTTGCGATCCCGCAGTTTTAACTGCTTTGAACATTTCCTTGACCGACAATTCTGGTAGTATATCTAGCATGAACTTATTTTTCATTTACAGCGAAAGCGAGTTACAGGTGCCAACAATCACAGTAGAACAGAAGCACCTTCATCAAGACCAGCACAGAACAATACAAGTTTTAACAATGCACGGCCAAATCAAAGTGTTGGAATACCTAACGTCAGACCGAATCAAAGCATAATTCCGAATCCACCCAGACCAACAAGGGTGGTGCCACCAAGAAACCTACCCTCCTCAGATGATACAATTGTGTGTAACTGCAATGAACCTGCTGTGCTCTTAACGTGCCAAAACAATGGACCTAATAATGGTAGGCAGTTCTACAAGTGCTACTGCAATGATCCTAGTAGGAAATGCAATTTCTTCTTGTGGGCTCCTGAGGAAGGTCATGGTCCTGAGCCGAGAGCCTCCGCTGCTTCCGCAGAAGAGGAAGAAATCAAATGCAAATGCGCCATGATGGCAGTAACAAAAACCGTTCAGAAGGAAGGTCCGAACAAAGGCAAGCAGTTTTACACCTGTCCAAAACCGATGGGAAGCTCGTGTAACTTTTTCAAATGGGTTGATGAGGTCAGTATAATCTAATGACCAGCGTACATGATTTTAAAATGACAAATTTGGTGTTAGGATAATGCTGCAGGTGGCAGCACTAGTTATCGAGGCCGTGCCAGAGGTCGGGGTCGCGGTCGCGGAGGCGGAGCTAATCATGGTAACAGAACTTTATCCAATCAACCCAGAGCGCCGAGGAAATGCGGAATTTGTGGACAAGAAGGTACACAATTAAATAAGCAAAATAATCGACAATCAATTAATTTATTATTACGTTTAGGTCACACGAGAACGAGATGTCCGAACAAATGATACTTATGTTTTATAAGAATAACCTATTGTTTCTTTTTTAATGCAAATAATTACTTATTTAGTTTACTGTTCTTTTGTAGTTTTGTAATTTCCCTTTGCTGCAAGTGGCATTCAGCTGTGGTTTCAGTCAACTAAAAAAAATGTATAAATATATTATATATATATATGCAACTAAGCTCACCATATTGAGCAACAGTTCAAATTTGACTTTTAACATATTGTTTTCCTCCTCGAGCTGCTGTATTCTACTCCTCAATTTCTGCGATGTTTTATGCAAAGAGCCGGTTGTTCCATTTTCTGACGCGATTAAAAGACATTTAAATATTATCAAATAATTTACATAGCTGGTGCATACCTGGTACCCATTCGCCGTTATCGAAAACACATTCCTGTTGGCCAAGTCTCAATGAGATTCTGTGGTTTTCACCGTAAAGATCCTCTACAGATTCAGAGCTTAAACTTTTCCTGCTTGGTGCTCTCTTGGGTAAAAACTTACTTCCGAACAGAGGCATTTTGCTCACAATACAAACAAAACGCCAGTGCCTAATACCAACATATATTTTAAATAATTTCCATCTGTACTAAATCAAAATTGATATTTGGGATTATTTCTTAATGGTATGTTCATTGTTAGAAACTAATTAATGTTTAAGCATCGTGTAATATAAATAACGTTAACGTAAATGTAGTGTACAAAGATTAGATAGTCAAGATACATTACTAGTAACTTATTCAAGTACTACTGAATAGTTGATCATGAGAACATCCTTTAGAATCTAAAGTTTAGATCAATGATTCTCCAAGTGGGGGATCGCGAAAAATACTTTGGGTTCGAAGAAAAATTGATGACAGACGGGAATCATCAGTTTTTCTACGTTTTTCTAAATATACCCATTCTTCGGGGGGTTCTTCAATTTTTTAAGTACAAAAGGGGGTAGCGGACCAAAAAGTTTGAGAAACACTGCTTTAGATTAAGTTTATTTTGTATCATGGTAATACGTTTACAATGGAAAGTCAAATATGATACTTGGTAAGTATAGTGTAGTGTATAACCATCTGAACAACACTTTATTATAGATTAATAGAAGTGAAACTTTATAGTAATAGGTAAATATTTTGATATAAATTACTTAATGTGTAAGAGGTTGCCAAGTCTTTAATTTTTAAAACAGTGCATTATATTACTGAATGTTTTTTTTAAATTTATTATATCTGTAAAGTGTAATAAATGTTTTAGGATTGATTATTATATAAATCAATGTATTTTATTAAATATTGACTACATTGTAGGTTGGGTTGCATTTTTGTCTTGTCAAGGTCTGTCAAAAGTGCCATGAGTCTTCTCCATAAGCGTTTTGTAAGATAGGTTTATATATAATTTTTTTAATTAGTTGTTGCGACAATGGGTATATTAGAGAAAATATCAGAAATCGAGAGAGAAATCTCGAGGACCCAAAAGAATAAAGGTATATGCAAACAATTATAAATATGAAGAGAAATTAACATTATCTGTTACAGCAACTGAGTACCATTTGGGATTGTTGAAAGCCAAACTAGCTAAGTACAGGTCTCAGCTACTGGAGCCTTCAAAGAAATCTGAGAAGGGTGAGGGTTTTGATGTGTTAAAGAGTGGCGATGCTAGAGTTGCCTTGATAGGTTTTGCTAATATTCAATTGTTAGATTTGCCTGGTATCATTGAAGGAGCTTCCCAAGGAAAAGGAAGAGGTGATTCTAGATTGAACCATTGCCATAAAGTTAGGTTATAATTGCGAATTTCAGGTAGACAAGTAATTGCTGTGGCTAGAACTGCTGATTTGGTTGTAATGATGTTGGATGCAACAAAGCAGGATGTGCAGAGGCACCTTTTGGAGAAGGAATTAGAAAGTGTTGGAATTCGTTTGAACAAACAGAAACCAAACATTTACTTTAAGGTTTGTATTTTAGATGTTGTTGTTTTTCTTTGGGAATTTGTAAGATTTCCATTGTAGATTAAGAAGGGCGGTGGCTTGTCGTTCAATTCGACGTGCCCGTTGACTAAGGTTGACGAGAAGCTGGTGCAGATGATCTTGCACGAATACAAGATCTTCAATGCGGAAGTGCTATTCCGGGAGGATTGCAATGCAGACGAACTGATCGACGTGATCTGCGCGAACCGGGTGTATCTGCCCTGTCTGTACGTTTACAATAAGATCGATCAGATCTCCATCGAAGAGGTGGATCGAATCGCGAAGCAGCCGAACAGCATCGTCGTCAGTTGCAACATGAAACTCAATTTGGACTACCTCCTTGAGACCCTTTGGGAGTACCTCGCTTTAATCCGTGTGTACACCAAGAAGCCGGGTCAACCGCCAGACTTCTCCGACGGTCTTATCCTGAGGCGCGGCGTGTCCGTCGAGCACGTCTGCCACGCGATTCACAGGACTCTCGCAGAGGACTTCAAGTACGGCCTGGTTTGGGGTACGAGTACCAAGTATTCGCCGCAGCGCGTCGGTGCCAGCCACATCATGGCCGACGAAGATGTCATCCAGGTCGTCAAGAAGTGAAAAGTATGTTTTTCTATGCAAGTAAACACCAAGCACGCATCCAGGCAAAGAAGTGCGCTCGTTTTTCTTTTATGAATTATTCATTATTTTTTATCTTAAATTAAATAAAAACTAATTTAATTGCTAAAACTCAATTTTAGTAATTTTTAACAAAAAAAAAGTACCGCATTCGATTTATTCCATTTAATCCATTTCTTAATTACAGTGGAACCTCGCATAACGAGCATTTCGCTTAACGAGTAAAGTAAACTGTAAGAAAAATGACTCGCTTAACGTGCTATGTTTCGCATAACAAGTGAGGAGGAGCAGATAAGTCCCGGATTGCGCGCTTGCTACATCATTTTCAAAACTTGTGTACACATATTAAGTGTATTTTTTGAATATATTAACCATTTTCGATTTTTTTGTCATTATTATAATATATGACACCATTATTATTATATATTACACATACTATGTACGCTTTTTTATTTAAACAAATATTAAAAGCATAAAGAAATCCCGGATCGATATAAGTAATATAAACAAATGGAGTCAAGCGTAAACTCTCTTCAACATATGTAAATTGGCAAACAGTTCCTGGTGTTAGTAGTCATTCTAGTTGCATCTTAGTCTTGTCTTGGTCTTGTTTGTGATCTCACATTTCTAAACTTGTGTTAGGACGTTATTTGTTTTTTTTTTCGGTGCAAAATTTAGTAACACTTGCATGTCTCCGAATAAAAAGCCAAAGAATAAAAAAAACCATAGATATGAAAATCAAAATCAATAAAAAGCTTATAGTTATACTTTTTTCTTCTGGCATGGAACGCATTATTCTATTTTACATTAGTTCACACTATACGAGTGAAATTTTGGAACGGATTAAACTCGTGAAGCGAGGATCCACTGTATATTTAATAAATTGGTGTACTTAATCACTATACCCCTAGAAGCTTTATTTGACTTAAATCTAATGCTTTCTATTGATTGTATAGGCTTTGCTCTTGGAGTCAATTGAATTTCAAAAAAAATACATTTACAACGACTTTTATTGACAACCATACAAAAATATATAGTAACACAATACACCTACTGAGTATCTTAATTATTTCCAAAAAATGATTGTATAAATGTAAATTCAGTATAAATAACGTATTGAATCTTTACACAAAAAAGTTGAGTCACTACTATTATATGATACTTGAAAAACTGATTAACGTGCAACAATAAAACCTGATTTATCATTATTTGGACCAAGATAATTAAAGAACCATTATCTAACAACCTATTATATGTACAAACATTATGTTATCAGGAAAAGTAAATTTGAAAATAATTCACAAAACTCTATAAAATGTAAAAAACACTACTATTCTTCATTTTATAAATTAAGTTCGGTATTCAATACCGGTGGCAATCGCAAGCCCGACAACCGAAATCCCGTCAATCGAAATCCCGACTACCATAATCCCGACAATCTAAAACTTAATAAGATTATTAATTGTTGTTATTTATTGTTAATAACATAAACTAATTTTATTATAGAATATTTCTTAATCTTAAGTTTTATAATGAATAAATCAACGAAAAAAAAATACAATAATAATTAATATTATTTATTGTTATTAAGAATAAATAACAACAATTAATAATCGGGCAAAAAAGCCATCGACCTAGGTCTTAAAAATATTTTTTTCAGTATCCGTCGTACCTACTAAAATATAGTACAATAATTTAAAAATGTTATTGTAGAAATTATAATAATAAAAGACTCTGTCGGGATTTTGATTGTCGGGATTATGGTAGTCGGAATTTCGATATATTCGGGATTTCGAACGTCGGGATTTCGATACACTCGGGATTTCGAACGTCGGGATTTCGATACACTCGGGATTTCGAACGCCGGGCTTTCAATAGACGGTCTTTCGGTTGTCGGGCTTGCGATATAGACCCTTCAATACATGCTATTTATGTAATTTTAAAGTTATGTAAAATAAGTAATACAGTGGAACCTCGCTTAATGAACCCCTCCCATAACGAGAAAAATGGATTGTAAGAAAAATGACTAGCTTAACGAGCGACGTTTCGCATAACGAGTGAGGATGAGAAGAGAAGTCCTGGATTGTGCGCCTGCTACATCACTGTATACGGAATATGCATTTTTTGTTATTTTTTGTCGGCTCCTACTGTCTAATTGGTCGATGTAATTGTGTACATGCATTAGAAATATAATGGGAGTAGGTAGTATATAAAATAGCTATAGAGCAGATTTGTCATATGATAATAAAAATATCACAGGTGTGAGATTATTGGCAACATAACTAACAGAACAGTGTGGGTCTGCCAGCTTGCAACCTCCGGTCCAAATGAAAATAATGTTTGCTTGATTTATATTAAGATTACGTCTTTTAAGAGACCCGATCCCTTCAATTGATGTACGTATATTACCATTACATAACTTGCCGTACAATTTTGCACAATCAAAAGTAACATTAATATCTGTTAAGAGCTTTCTCTTCCATTTATCTAATGTCCTACATTCATGGGTATTTCGTGAATGTATGTTGTTAGTACTTATTAATCAAGCGTCTTTAGCTTCTTAAACATTTACTCGTTTTTTTTTTCTACAACTCGTGTAAATAAAATAAGTATACACTCTTATACCGCGTTATAAGAAAGTCAGAATTAGTACAAATCAGATTAATCGACAAATCTGCGATTTATGGAAACCTAATTTTATTTCTTCATTCAAATTTAAATTTTTAATCCATTCTTTATCCATATTTTTATATGCATCTAAACTTTAGATTCTGTTATTATATATGGTATTATATAGAAACAGCGTCATAAGAAAACAACGTTATACTGTAATTTCATAACGAGCATTTCGCTTAACGAGCAATATAAATTAATAAAAATGACTTGCTTAACAAGCGACGCATAACAAGTGACGAGAAGAGATTGTGTAGACATATTATGTGTATTTTTGAATATATTAACTATCTTCTATTTTCTTTGTCATCTTTGCGGTCTATACTTTGCAAATATAATTTGTGTTTGCTGTAAATGCAAGACACATATGTATTGTGTCCAGACAGTCGAACTGGAACCGAACCTAAAACCGTAAACCGAGATTAACCGGAATTTTTAACAGAACCTTAACTGTAACCGGAACGTAAAATGGCTTAATTGAAAATCCGAAACCAGAACGAAATTTTAATTTCGGTTCAATTTTTTTTTAATTAAATTAATTTATAATCGCTCTAACATGTATGCTCTTTGATGGTTGTGTGCTGATGCTATTGTTTTGGTTTATTTATATAGACATTCGAAAAAATGATAATTTTTCGACAGTGTGTTGGTGGATCTATTGTTAATAGAGTATATAAACAAACAATGTATAAGAGACATCCACAAAGTCTCTTTGAATACTTCCGATTTATTTTTTCAAATAAACAAATACATAATAAAACCATTCAGGCCGAATTCCGTGTTAACGCTTAATCATAAATATAAATAAAGAATTTATTTATTAACGACGAATATTAAGAACTTCAAAAACAAAAATCTCTCATTTACTTGGAACGTAACCGTAAACCGGTACGTAATTAATTTCGGTTCAACTCTCTGTTTGTGTCCAACCATTATTATAATATATAAACTATGTACGCTTTTTTATATGAACAAATACTAAAAGTATAAAAAGAACTCCACTCCAGATTGATACAACTAATATAAACAAATATTAACTCACATCACGTTGTGTGAATGAGAAAAGAGTTCCTGTTGTTAGTAGTTAGTTCCATACTTATATTCAGACAGGTTATTTGTATATCAATTTCATGAGATTTTTTTATTAAAACGTCCATACTCTGAATGGTGAAAATTTACAACATTCTCTAAATATGACAAAGTATCTTAAATAACTAACAGTTAATTAAAGTTATAACAGGAGATATCAAACTGCCTGATTACTAAACTTTAGTTTATTATGTTTTACTTTTTCATTATTTTCGGATCAATTTCTATATTCCTCTAAATTAGTGATTTTCAAAGTGATGGGACACCGAGCGGAAAAATTGATAACACAACAATCCTGGGTGATTTTCTACGCATACCCATTCTTCGGGGGGTCACAGAAAACACTTTAAGTGCAAAAGGGGGTCGTGGACCAAAAATCTTGAGAAACGCTGCTCTAAATTGTTTTTTTTTAAAGCCATGAACAGTTTGATAAGTTTGAATATAACTATGAAAAAGACGTCCAGCGGTGACATCTATCGGTTGTAGAAATGCAGTCCGCTGACAGATGTCAGTTTCGCGTGGTGTTTCATTTATGTCCATTCTTTGCCGGCAGAGCTGTTCTTCCCCTTCCCACTTATATCATCATTATTTACGCCCATGTGTGTGGGATTTAAAAAGCAGTGGAGATCAGTTTGAAAATGAATGCGTCTGTGGACTCGACCCAATAGAAGCCACTCCTGTACAACCTGAGGGTCTTTCCAATTGGATTTTCGCTTTAGATTCGCATAGAGACGTGCGGAAATGGGAAAGAAGACCGGTGATGCTAACAAGAGCTGCGGAAGGGTAGACGTGCAGAGCGTCATCCCCAAGCGAAGGTGCGTTTTCAATTGTTTATTTACGTTGGCCCCAATTGTTTACAGTTCATTTGTTTTGTTAAAAATCTTTATTTGTTTTTGGGTTAACGAAATGCATCGGGTTGCGACGAGAACCTGACTCGTTTATTATTGATTTTTTGTTTGTTTCTCGCGTACAACCCTATCTTTGATTAAAAAATATATAGGGGGATTGGTTCTGGTCGCATGGGAGAAGACGCACATGGAAAAAAAATCAATAACTCTTCTTCCAAATCTCGTAAATTTAAATTCAAAACTTACTTTCCTTGCAATCGTTATCAACGTTTTCTAATTAAACATAATTATGAAAGTTGTTAATTGTTAACTTTATAGCGACTAAATACATGTTGTAAACTTCTATTCTTAGAAGCTTGGAAGAAAATTGATTTTGATAAGAGTTTCTAACGCAAACATTAAATTTCCTTCAAATAACCGATAAGATATATCAAGTTAGTGTGTCATTTATTACCTATAAAAAGTGAGTTACAGGTAATAAATAACAATTTAAAAAGTATGCCTTGATTCAACAAATCCGCAAAACATTTGTTTCCAACGGTTTGCTTTTCTCAAACGTTCAAATAATGTATAATATTTGCGGTTCGTTTTCCAAAAAACACAAATATTTGCATAATTTATTTGAACGTAATTCGTACTTCTTGTGCAAATGCATCTTAGGTCTGCATTTTTGTGTTTTTATCCTTGTGGTATTACATAATTATTATTTTTGTAGAGTTATAATTATCTTCCGCTTTCTTTTTTCGTAGACAGGATTTGCTCAAGTGGAACGGCTGGGGTTACAACGATTCCAAATTCGTAATCAAAGATGGGATCGTTCATTTCACCGGAAACAGGTATACTTCGTTTATGAGAAATTACACAATATTTATTTATCAGATATAATTTAGTTTGTTTCTAAAAAATATAATTTCACAGCAAATATCGAATTTATTTAAACATTTATTTTTTGTTCAATATTTACTTATGATTGAATCAGTTAGGTTCTGAAGTAATTTGATAACTTATTATCTTAATAATTCTTTTAAAATTTTAATTGTTTCGGAGAGTTTTAGTGAATAATCCCAAACTTACTCATATGATCAACATGATTTTATTACAGATTTTACTATCAATGTCTAGTGATTTATGCGCTCCCTACGGAGTACCGCTAATACAAATAGTCATATTTTGAATTGTTTCTACTTTTCCTGCGTATAAGCTTTAGGTTTATCTTTTATGTAAATATGCAAAACTAAATTATTTACTTTGGTTTATATATGCACTATTCGTTGAAAATAGTAGACAATAAGTACATTTCGTTATTTCTTGAATAGAGCTTCATGTATATTCAAGTTCAATTGTAATTAAATGCTAATAATGCAAAGTCGTGCGCGAATGTGTTATTGAGATGTCTGCCTTCTACAGGAGATATTTCATCATTATTGCTGGAAATATCAGATATGATAGTATGTAATTGTTATGAAATAAATATATAAATCTTGCAATTTTCATATTCTTTGTAAATTTACATCATCCAATATGTTTCTTTTACCATCGACTGACATTCAGAACAAATATATTCACAAGCACATCAATATTAGAGGTGTATATACAAATGTTTTTCAAGATTCTTTAAAAGTCGAATAAATATTAAGTATAATTCTTATATTATAGTTGTAAACAGTGAAAGTCGTTAAAATTTACTATAAATCATGTAAATATCGTAAACGTAATATGATGTGCGAACAATTAATATTATCGTATGAATTACTAAATAAATATAATCATTAGTAAATCAATTTTAGAGCTTCATTGACAACTTTTTGCATAATGTGCTTTTTTTTGCAAATAAAAGTTAAAAATTAAAAGTTTAGACTTTATATTAGATGACATAATTTATTAAATTAACAGTTCATAAAATCACTTATATTTGTCAATGTTGTATTTAACTCGTACTTTAATGTCGATTTTCTATTGTGTATTTGCACGTACTTATTACATATGTTTACATGGGGAATAATTGAATAATATTCTAAAGAATGAAATTGATTTATTAAAAGAACGAGTCTTGACGTTTGCACAATGCACTTGTCAGAATTGAACGTAATTGGCGTTAAATGCAATTTTGATGGAGTAGAAATAAATGCAACGATAACAAATGTATAAGAAGTGATTACATGTGGTCATTGTTTTATTATATTGAAATAATCTAAACTTAATTACAAATAGATTGTAAAAATAAAACACAACTTTTAAGAAGTATTCAATATTAGATCATTTATTTACAATATTTATAAAAGTTTATAAATTATGTTATGTTGTTTAAGTTCTGAATTATATTTTGTAAATATTTAGTTTTCATACTTGAAGTAATCTAATATAAATAACAATAATATATTATTGATGGTTTATTTTTGTACAAATGCAGATATCCGATTGGTGAATTGGCTCTGCCGTATTTCACTCAATGGGCAAAGGATGTACTCGGATTGGACTTGCAGTCTGTGAGGGATTCGAAGCCGCCACCCACGTCCTCAAGTTACCCGCCGCCAAATGTATCGGACCAAGTGCTGAACGGCATCGCCAACCTAGAGGTGAGCTACTCTGTGGACGTAGTGGACCGAGTGGTGCGGGCGCACGGTCACACTTTACACGACATCCACACGTTGCGAGAAGGAACTTTTGAGCGTATACCTGACGTGGTCGTGTGGCCGCAAAGTCACGACGACGTCGCCAAAATCGTTCGCTTCGCCGACGACAATAACCTGGTGGTGATCCCGTTCGGCGGCGGCACCGCTGTATCGGGTGCCGTGGAGTGTCCTCGGAACGAGCCGCGCACTATAATCTCGCTGGACACATCGCAGATGAACAGCATCCTCTGGGTGGACGGCGAGAACCTGGTCGCTTGCTGCGAGAGCGGTATCATCGGACAGGACTTGGAGCGTGAGTTGGGCAAGCTCGGCTACATGACCGGCCACGAACCGGACAGTTTCGAGTTCTCGAGCTTAGGCGGCTGGGTGGCAACGCGCGCCTCTGGCATGAAGAAGAACGTGTATGGTAACATTGAAGATCTGCTGGTGCACGTGAAGATGGTCACGACTAAGGGAGTCTTGGAGAAGAGTTGCCAGGTACCGCGCATGTCCTGCGGTCCGGACTTCAACCACGTCATACTTGGTAATTTAATTCCTTTTCATGTTGTATAGCAAGAAAATAATCATTATATATATGTTGGAAAATGCTTTGCGTTCCTGACTAGAGAAAATTAATAAGTAATTGGCTGAAGCAGCAGTTTTCTTTGGGTTGATATATAATTACATATTACATCTTAGTCATCGGTTATTAGCTATAATCTAAAGGTGACAGATTACTTTATATGAAATATAAATATTACGATAAGTATCGAAAGGATCCCAAAAATAAATTATTCTGAATATATAGATTAAGTCACCATTGAAGGAACTTAATTGTGGGTCAACAGTTGGATCGTGGATTCCCAGGGAATTTTGAAGAGGTGCGACATAATTCGAGTGGTTATATTGCTGGAATGTCTATAACAACAGCAACTTGATTCGTGGTGATATAGGGAAAACCGTAGACTAGATGAAGTATAAAATAAATAATGGTTGACGAGAAAAATTAATTATTTTTACTTATAGTTTTGGTATTACTAAAACATATTTCAATAGGATAAATCTATAATCATAATATACTTTATTCCAGAAAAGAAAATCGTTGTAGACGAAATCTGTTTATACTGCTTTAAATTATGTATAAGTAAACCACTTTCAGTGAGTCACCGCAAAAATAGAGTACCATGTTTACGCGATAGATGCTATTGAATGTAATAATAATCATCGATCTGTTTAAATAACCCAGATCGGTGACATAATGATGATTTTTTAATTGTCGTCAAATTATAGGATTATTGATTGAAGGTTTGAAATATATCGTCTGATGTGCTTTTGAAAAATCACTGAAGGTCATCAGAACATTCAATTTTGTTTGAATATACAATATTTTACATGCATGGAAATATTTTTGAATACCAAGTGATGACTAATGAGTTGATAATTATTTATAAAATAAAATGTTTATGGGTCAATTTCAGTATTTTGTGTTTACAGTTTTATTTTATGGTGAATTTGAAATCAGTTGATTTTTGATTAAACATTCTTCATGGATGTTTAACATTGTTATTACTGCAATGATGAATATTTGAAAATGCAATGTATTGTCCTTAAATATTTTGATTAAACGATATGACCTTAAAAAATCCAATCTAATTAAACACATACACAGGATGTTTATCCGAGAACCATAGACACGTTGTTTGAAATATTTCATCTGCAACGGTTTTTTCTGTTTCAAATTAATTTAAATATGTTCTATGTGCATCTGTTGATCAGTATAGATGGTTATAATATGTTCATTTCAATTGCAGGTTCTGAAGGATCGCTGGGTGTGGTGACAGAGGTGGTGCTGAAGATTCGGCCGTTGCCGCAATGCAAGAAGTACGGTTCCGTTGTGTTTCCGGACTTCGAGAGCGGTGTTAAGTGTATGAGGGAGATAGCGCGCGAACGCTGCCAACCCGCGTCTGTTCGACTGATGGATAACGAGCAATTCAAGTTCGGACAAAGCCTGAAAGCCGTTCCTGGTATGCTTGGCTTCCTCGTTGACGAATTCAAGAAACTGTTGCTGACGAAGCTGAAGCGTTTTGATCTAAATAAGATGTGCGTCATGACTTTGCTGTTTGAAGGCGGCAAGAAGGAGGTCGAGGACCACGAGAAACGGATATACGCCATTGCCAAGAAGTATGGAGGTATACCAGCTGGAGAGACGAACGGTCTCAGGGGTTACATGCTTACCTTCGTTATCGCCTATATTAGGGTAATTATCTATCAAAAGTTGAAACCAATAGCAGATACACTATAATTATTTATATTTTATTGTCAGGATTTGGCAGCCGATTTCAGCGTAGTCGCTGAATCGTTTGAAACGTCTGTGCCTTGGGACAGAGCCCTTGCCCTCTGCAGGAAAGTGAAGCACCGGATCGCCATCGAGTGTAACCGCAGGAACATCAAGCATCACTTTGTCTGCTGTCGCGTTACACAAACCTATGATGCCGGATGCGTGATTTATTTTTACTTTGCGTATAATTACGTGAACCACTCGGACCCAGTACAAGTGTATGAAGAGATCGAGGACGTTGCCCGGGATGAGATCCTCGCGGTCGGTGGCAGCATAAGTCATCATCACGGTGTCGGCAAGCTGCGCAAGAAATGGTATCCGGCGACAGTGAGTCAGGTCGGCGTAGGTTTGTTCAGGAACATTAAGAAGGAACTCGATCCCAACAATGTGTTCGCAACCGGCAATCTTGTCGAAGCCAAATTGTAGAATCAGTCTCAAATTCTATTGTTTCCCTATGTTTTTCTTCCTTATTCATTTGTTTTTTTTATTCCAATGGAGTAGAAGTTATTGGTGTATTTTAGTTACCGTATCAGAATAATGTTTTCTAGTCAAAATATTCAACTTTCGTTCAACATTTTTTTTGTACTTATTATCAGTGCACTAAATATGTTATATTTATAAATTTAAATAAAACATTTTTTCCTATTATACATATTTTTTGTAATATACCTTTATAGTTTTGCTTAAATTTTAATTTAGAAGATCTTATAAATGCCATTTGAAAAATGCCATATAATTATTTGCTTCTTCATTTTGACTAATGTTAATGACTAACAACATCGTTTAAGTATTTGACAGTCTAAAATAGTCATATTAACTTAAATTTAGTTGAATTTTCGTTAGCAAATTCAAAGTTTTAGTTTCAGTAATTAGTTTAGATATAAACTGTAAATGAAGGAACTTAAGTACAACCAATTCCATGTAATTGGTTCGAAAATGTATATAAATATATATATATAAAATTAAAATCTATTAATTTTTAAATTAAAATATAAATTCGATAGGAAAAAAGATATTTTGAACAGCGCCGCCTGTTGGAAACAAATACTGTCGAGGCGCTAATTATTTTGAATTTAATTTAATTCTCTCATTTAAACTAATTTCAATCATGTGAACCATGTGAACTGTATATCGTAAATTCTCAAAAACTAGTTTCAAGCATTTTAGTGATTTTTTTCATAAAATTAATCAATCTTTGATGCAGTTCAGTGTAGTGGGAGTTTGTCATAATACGTCAGAAGTGATTCGCATAATTGCCGTTATGTAAGTGGTGGCATTGTGATAGACGTCAAATAATTACATAACTTGTTGTTTATATTCGAAGACTTCGGCCAGCAAACACCGAGGAAGGGGTGAAATGTTCGCAGCGGACTAAATTTAATAAAGGGGTGAGTGGAACGAAGCAATTTCGATTACATCTGACCCAGCCACGTCCATTCTTTCTCCATTTTGCAGCATTCGTTTTCGAAAACGATTGGGGCCAAAGATGTGTTTCAGTCTCGATGTGGTGTATCAGGATACGCGCCTGGCAATCGAGCCCCCTTTTCGTTCTGATTAGTTTCGTAATTGCTGCAGGGCTCGTCGTCCAATTAAAAACCCTCTACGACAATCACCAGAGACATTTGAGGGTGATGGATTATGAGAAGAGTGTAGCGGAGCTGAGCGATACCATGGATCACGTCGAGAAGGTGACCACGAAAATTGGCACCATGAAAAAGAAAATCGAGGGATTCCTTGCGACCCATAAGAGGTCGGGTAGCTGACAATTAATGTTGGCTAGAATATTCGGCATTAATAGAAGCAACAAATTGAGCGGTCGTATGCTTTAATTTTCGTTATTGTTTTCTTTTACACACAGACACAGAATGTTTTCTTTAATTATTTTATTTATGCACCTTGAAGAAAAAAAAAAGACATGGGGAATACTAAGAACTAACTAACTAATGCACAAAGATCTTTGTAGATAGGAAACATTTATCTTTCTCTAGTACTTAGTAATTAAAATATAAAAAAATATATAAAAATGCCAATAAGACAAATTGTGATTAAACTTTGAGGATGAATCATCCTTTCTAAAGATGAAATTAATATTTAATATACTAAAAGGAAAAATATGTCAATAATAAAATTATTAATTAAGTATTAACATAACATTTATACTAAATGTAGAACATTTTGTGCTCAATGATGAGGGAGGAAACTGATGAAGCTTGTTTTTGTCTGATTACCTTATTTGTTATGTTTAAAGGTTTTATTATATTTTATGTTGGTTGTTTATGGAGAAGTGTGGAATTAAATATCGAGTGATAAACATTGAGGCTCGTTTTTGTAATCCCCTTTATCCTCGTATACAGCGTGAGGCGCGCACAACCACGGATCTTTAGTCACCTTCTGCCACTCGTGCAATCTACCTTTCAAGTCCTCGTATATCTCCTTGAAGGACTCCTTGCCAGCTACATTGTTCAACTCCTCCGGATCCTTCTTCAAGTCGAACAATTCCCATTCAGGTCTGCGGTAATATTTCTTCAGAGTTTTATACCAGTAGGTCGGTTGATTGGTGCGAGTATTGTTTAGTAAATCCTAATGCAAAAGAAACATATATAGACACAATGAATAATGTTTATTTTCATACCTGGAATGTTGGAGATAGGAAGAAGTCCTGATCGATTGGGAATGGAGCGTTATAGTTGATATTGTGGATTAACTTGTATCTTTGCGTACGAGCTGCACGCATTGGATAGTACATAGTCACCTCGTGTAGATTGTGACTAGCGAACACTATTTCCTTGCTCCTGTCTTGCGGTTCTGTACATGATTGAATATTGATTAATTAATGATCGAATGCAAATAATTATTTGAATTACCTTTGATCAGAAGTGGGAGAAGGCTGCGTCCGGTCAGATTATTATTGATAGAGTTGCCTTCATTAATGTCGAACCAATCGAGGACGGTGGGCGTGATATCAAGGAGGCTGGCCAACGAATAGGTGACTTTGCCTTTTCGTTCCTTGTGGCTGGGCGAGGAAATGAACATCGGCTCGGCTATACCCGAATCGTATAAATTCGTCCTGCCGTTGGGAAAGGGTATACCGTTATCCGAAGTGTATATCACCAGAGTATCGTTCGAGTGTCCCGCGTTCTTCAATTCCTGCAGAAGAAGTCCCACACCTTGGTCTAAACGGGATATGGTAATGTACTGAGCGGCCACGTCTTTTCTCGCTTCCATCGTGTCGGGCATGAAGTACGGAAGTTCGATTTGCTCCGGCACGTAATGAATGGGTGACCAATCCGGTATAGACCCCATGTCTTCTTCGCCATTTCCGAATCTCTGACAAAATTCCCCATATTCTGGATTTGTATGACCGCAACGATGAGGATCATGGAAAGCGACGTACAAGAAGAAAGGTCTAAAATTACATATACATATGTATAATTTGAATGAGTAATGCAATTCAATCAATTACTGTGTAACATTGCTCAAAAACTCTCTGGCAAGATTTTTTATGTGCGTTATGTTTCTTCCCACCTGAAGGATTGAATTATTTTCTTCGGTTTGTGAATAATCAAAGGGAAAAACGTCACCCGGGCCTACATGCTTTTTACCAATAATTCCTGAAATTTTCAATTTAATATCATATCGAATTTCAGTGCTCCTATAAACCTGTCTTTATTTGATTATCTTTCAAGATTTTTGGTAAACTCCGCATGTCGTCGAAGGAATTAAAGTGGTGTTCACCTTGATGTAAACCGTACATTCCATTCTGATGGCTCGGAGTTCCCGTTAACAAAGCAGCCCGACTGAAAATCATTTAGAAAAACATTAGAGTAAGTCACCTAATGGTTCAACAAAACCCAAATCATAAAGACATTAGAAAATGTCCTCTAATAATTCGCTGTAGACAACATCAACTTTAAAAATTGTTCTATTTTAAAAAGAATCAGTATTTAATTGATGAATGTTTTTCGAAAAGCAATATAGAAATGAGGTTTTCTTGAAGGTCACATTTAAGAAGTTCTGTTAATACCTCGGCGAGCAACTGCTGACCGAAGTGTAGGCATTGTTGAAAATCAAACTGTTTTTGGCGAGGGCGTCCAAGTTCGGAGTCTGCACGATTTTATTACGGTAGGTCCCCATCTCGAAGCCTCCATCGTCGGCTGAAAGCAGAGAACATTGACCGATATTCAAATGTGGCGCGCTTTATACTGTCACCGGATTGTAGGTGCCTGCTATTTCAACGTTAATTTTGTTGTGTATCTGGGAATTACTTCGCCGGATTCGTGTTGTTTATACGTATTAAGTATACGTGTTACAATTTAACTCACCGACTATAAGAAGTACATTCCTGGTTTCGGCGTAGTAAGTTGAGAACAGCAGAGACAACAGAACCAAGGCTAGCTTCGCTCCACCGGTAACCATCTTGCACGTAAGAAACAAAAGCAATGAGATTCTGGACCACTGGATTCCGGTAATGAAATTAATCTTGATTTTTTTTTTTGTTTCTTCCTCTCGTTTGTTCCTTTCTCTCTTCTTCGGCTTTCCTGGTGGGGTTTTCTAGGTCATGCCTAGCAAGAAGATTTTGTGTCTTTTCGATGTGGACGGAACATTGACAAAGCCGCGGAACAAGATCGAACCGCACTTCGAGGAATTCATATACAAGAAGATCAAGCCCTGCTGCCTGATTGGTATTGTGGGCGGGTCCGATATGAAGAAGATAGCCGAGCAGATGAACGGCTACGAAGTAATCAAGAAATTCGACTACGTATTTGCCGAGAACGGGTTGGTATATTTTAAGAATGGCGTTGAGGTTGCCAGGGTCAGCATACAGAAACATATGGGAGAGCAGAAGTTGCAGAAGTTCATCAATTACTGCCTGGGTTACCTCGCAAAAGTATATCTGCCTGTGAAGAGGGGCACATTCATTGAGTTCCGCAATGGAATGCTCAATATTAGTCCGATCGGCAGGTCGTGCTCGCAGAGCGAGAGGGACGACTTTGAGAGATACGACAAGGTCAACCACGTGCGCAAAGATATGATCGAAGCGCTGAGGAAGGAATTTCCTGACATTGGTTTGACGTACAGCATCGGCGGTCAGATCAGCTTTGATGTCTTTCCCGATGGCTGGGACAAGACGTACTGCTTGCAGCACCTCGAGGGTGAAGGTTTCGAAGAGATTCACTTCTTCGGGGATAAGACTGACATCGGCGGTAACGATCATGAGATCTTCCACGACAGCAGGACCATCGGTCATAAGGTCGTCGATCCCGATGACACCAAGATGCAACTAATAGATCTATTGGCCATTTGAATCCCGCTAAATTTAATTATTGTTAATTTTATTATTATCATCTCGCAAATTTATTTATTGTTATTGCTGACCGGTTTTATTGAATTGTAAATAAATGTTATTATTTTATGTACCGGAACTGGTGGTCACCAAACGAGGATTTAACAACTTTAAGTTAATGTTTGCCTTTGATTTACGATTTGATCAAATGACGATGAACTAAACGCAATGAAACTGGTTTCACGAATCTGGAATGTTTTAGGAATTGACCGATGGCGGTTTGGCAAACCGTCACAAATGTCATTTCTATTGGGGAACAACGTTGTAGGAATAACGGAAGACGAGAATCGGAACATACTCAACAGAATTGCATTTATTTCAATACCAAGCATTTGTTAATAACACAGAAAACTATCAGAAAGTCTATCTACCAAATAATACACAGCACAACACTAAAATAATATCATCTTTATAGGTGTTTAAATCTTTAAACTATCGCTCCGCATTCCTGATACATAAAAGTATTTAATAATAAATATATTATCTGTAAATTAGATTAGTGCCAAATACAAAATTTATATTTATGATATTGTAATATTACACTTAATTCTGTAATGGCATGGATCAGGATTGTTTTTTGTAAATTGATTTGAGCCGAACACGGCGATTGGTACAAAAGTGAAAGTAATATAGTTTGTACATTGAATGAACCATGCCATATGGTTTTATTAACATATATTCTAAACGTATTTGATGATAAATGAAATTTATATAAATTATATATGACTGTTACTACTATATAAATGCGAATAATATGGCTTTGCTAGTAGAATTAGAAAAAGTAAACATACATGTTGAAATCACTTAAATATAAAAAAAAATCCTTAATTTTCAATATTCAAGACCATCTTGTAAAATGTTAAATTTACAGAATCGAATCTTTCCCCCATATGTAGAGTTGATGTATTTCAAGCTTTTAATAAAATCTGATTCAAAATAATTCATGTTTATATAGTCTAGTCGTCCGTTTTAGAATGTTAAAATAAGTAGGAAAGTTCAAATGTGTTAGATAATTGAAATAAATAGTTGAAATGAACCTTTTTATTTTTTTTTTGTATGGCAATTTCAGGTAAATTTATCGTGCTTACAACTAAGAAGTTCTGCTGAAATACCTCACATGTGCGTTAGTATAGTTTCAGTATAGTTTCAAATTAAAAAATCATTTTCCTGTTGTCATCAAATTTTATTTATATTTTAAAATATAGATGTATTTGTTTTAAAAATAAAATTCTGTAAAAAAAAATAAAAAAACATTCATGATAATTTTCCCTGTGTGAAGATGTCTTTAGCATAAATCTATAATAATTTCATAAATGACCACTGGTTTGTGAGGGCGTTGCATTCGTCAAAACATGCGTTAAACAACATAACCTCCACAATAACCTCAGAAAACTTTTAAAAGAGCACACCACACGTGTTAGTTCAGTTAGTATAATTTAAGCGTATTTTATCACAATGGCAAAGTTTAAGAAGAAACCCATCTCCGCGAAAGCAATGAACGGAAATGCTAAGAACAACAAGAGGAAACCACAACGCGAGGTAAGTTGCACATTTTATTTTATACATTTTCTGTTTCAATAATTACTTTAAATTAAAGGAACCTGAAGAAAGTGAAGATGAAGTTGAATCTGAAGGAGAAGACGTAGATTTAAATTCAGAGGCTGAGGATGATTCAGAAATTGAAATGTCAGACTCTGAGGATGCTGACAATGAGGAAGAAGAAGAGGATGAAGGAGGAAATTTGATTGATGGTGAAGCTGAAGAAGTGGATGAGGAGTGTGAAGAAGAAGAAGAAGACGAGGAATTGGATATGAATGAGGAATGTGAGGATGAAGAAGATGAGGAATTAGAGATTGATGAGGGAAGTGAGGGAGACAATAATGAAGATGAGGATTTAGAGAAGGATGATGAAAGTGAAGCTGAGGATGACCCAAAGGAACATAAGAAGGCTTTAGAGAGGCTTCAAGAGACAGATCCTGAGTTTTACAAGTTTTTAAAAGACAATGACAAGAAGTTGTTGAAATTCAATATATCAGATAGTGAAGATGATGATGAGGATGATCAAGATGTTGATTTGCATAAGCCAAGTGATGATTTGGAAGTTGCTAGTGACGAAAGTGATTTTGAGGTAAAGTATTTAGAGTATGAGGAGTATTCCATTAGTTAATTTTATTATTTTAGGATGAGACTAAAACACATGTGGATGACAGGGTTATAACATTAAAGAAAATTAAGCAATGGCAAGAGGAGATAAAGGTGGACAAAACAAAAAATACTATAGTGTGTTTGATAAACGCCTTTAAGGCTGCGCTAGTGCGTATTGATGGAGATGAGGACCAGTCAGTCGAATATAAAGTTGATGGATCTGCTGTCTTCAATGGAGTGATGCAGTTGTGCGTGTTGGAGCTTGGGCCGGCCATAAGGAAGTTTTTGGGTTATAAAAGCGGGTCTAAGATGCCCGTAAACAAGTTGAAGAAGTACGTGAAAATCAGGGCACATTTGTACAATTATTTCGGCAGCCTTTCCAAGTTGATCAACAATATCTCCTCCAATCACATTCTGACAGTCTTGTTGAAGCATCTGCACTACATGTCACCACTGATGGTCGAGTTTTCTGGTATTACGAAATTACTGAAAGGTTTGGTGAAAGTTTGGTCCACCGGCGATGAATCCGTGAGGGTTGTGGCTTTCTTATGCATACTGCGCTTTACGAGGAGCAACCAGCAGCAGCACCTCGACTCAATACTGAAGCAAATGTACTTAAGCTACATTAAGAACAGTAAATTTGTGAGCGCCAACACGTTGCCTGCCATCAATTTCATGCGTCGGTCGCTCGTCGAGATGTTCGCTTTGGACCTGAACGTAACCTACCAGCACGCCTTCCTCTACATCAGGCAATTGGCCATCAATTTGAGGAATGCCATCACCGTTAACAAAAAAGAGAACATACAAACAGTTTACAATTGGCAGTACATAAACTCGCTGAAGTTGTGGGGAAATTTACTCGAAGTTACGTGCGACAAGCCACAGCTTCAGCCGCTCGTGTATCCGTTCGTTCAAGTATGTCTGGGCACAATCAAACTTGTACCGACAGCGGCTTTCTATCCTCTTAGATTCCATGTACTGCAAATCTTGATTGAATTCAGTCGACAGAACAGAGTTTATGTTCCAATTTTACCGTTTATACTAGAGGTAAGATTGATCCTTTTGAGATTTATAATATCATATTTTAAATTTCTTTTTACTCTCAGGTCCTGCAATTAGATTTCAATAAGAAACACAAGAAAGTCTCCATGAAGCCGCTAAATCTAAATTTGATGTTGCGAGTTTCAAAAGGACAGCAGAACGAGAATGGCTACAAAACAGCGCTAGTCGAACACGTTTATTCGATGGTCTTGGAGTATATGAGTATACAGAGCCAGAGCATAGCGTTCCCCGATCTTGCGTTGATTTGCACGATACAGGTAAAGTTTTTATGGAACACGATTTGTAACAGCACGTAATATAATTGATTTTTAGTTGAAAAAGTTCGTTAAGAACTGCAAAGACTCCAATTACCAAAAGAAAATCTCGCAACTTCTAGATAAAATCAAGCAGAATTCTGATTTTATCGAGAAGGAGCGGACAAAGGTGTCGATGAGTCTGAACGAGTTCAACTTGATTGAGGGTTGGGAAAGCAACGTGAAGAATAAGGGCACGCCATTGAATGCATTCCACGAAAACTGGAGCAAGGTGAATCAGTTGAAGAGGAAGAAGCAGGCGAACAAGACGGACGAGATCGCCGAGTACAATCTGCCGACGCTCAAGAAGTTCAAGAAGGAGAACGTGAAGAGGGAAGATGGACCTGTGGAGTTGTTCCCTAGTGACAGCGAAGATGAGTTGAGCATAGAAAAGAAGGAGGTAGATGGTGATGCTTCCAAGAAGGTTAAAACGCAATCGCAGAGCGAGAAAAAGAAATTGAAGAAGAAAAGCAAGAAAACAAAAGGCAGTACAATGGAGATAGACGAAATTAATGCGAGTGGAGAAGGAGATATTGTTCAAGATTTTAATGTCAGCGATTGGTAGATGTTTTTTAATAAAAGTTATTATTGATGGTATATACGATTTTTATTTAATTTATCTTCTATTCTATTTAAATTCAATTTCGTAAAAGTTAGTAATGAAAAAATATGATAAAACTAGAACGCAAAATATTTAGCGTTATTTAGTATTAAAACATGAGCACATCGAAATAGCTATGACTGAAAGTTTTTTTAACTTTTGATTTAAAAACAATTTTATAAACTAGATATCATTATGAGCATATTTAATTATTAGTATTTCGTTATCATTATTTCACTAATCCACGAGAAAATATTTGAATTAAAATTCAATAATACATATGTAAAAATATATGTATGAAATATGATGATTCTCAAACTTTTTGGTCCACGAAGGGGGTCGTGAATCAAAAAAACAATCAGAATTGATCTGTCATTAATTTTTTGCGACCCCCCTGGGACCCACACTTTGAGAATCTATGCGAATTATTTCAAATTTTTATATTGCACCAATCCTTGTTGACTTTTTTTTCAATTCTTCTAAAAATATAATTGTTATGTATAATAAGGATTCAGGGTAAACTAAAATCAAACAACATCAATTGGTTTTGAATTATTATTTTTTATTTAAAATATTCGTTTGTTTTTTTTTTAATATATATATATTTCATATTGGAGTCGAATAAAAAATAAAACAGGATTACATAATGGAGGGGTCCAGTATTTACAAGCGCATCTTGATATTTACAACAAAGAAAACAGAAAAAAAATATAAAAGAAGTGGAAGTCTTACTAATAATAAAAATAATCGTGAAACGCATACGCGCACATACATTCACACACCGGAAGTGGCATATTCCGTTTCATTTCCGCTCGTCGCATCATAGCACCCTCTCTTTCGTTATTTACCATTTAAACAAGTGAAACCATTAGTGAGACAAAACAAAAATAGTAGTAATAATATGTATATATATAATACACGGTTTGTATTTGTCGTAGTAATAAACTCTTTCTCTCCTCTTCTTTTTCTCTCCACGTACTAAGTACATTAAAAAAATACATATCTATTCGCTCGGCATCAGAAAATAAAATGTGTCGCATGACGTTTCTGTCCTTTTTTTCGAACGGCAACGTGCGTAAATCCAACACCTAAATACTATTTGACAAGTAATGAATAACATGTAATAATATAATAATAATGTTAATGATAAACGTAAAGAGTAATAGTAAGTAAGCGTAGTAGTATAATTATTTTAAGCTCGAAAAAAATAATATATTTTATGTTAAAAGTTTTAAGTAGATTGTGATATACTGCATTGTCGGAGCATTGGCTCAGATTCTATGCGTATTAAATTGCACAACAGTCCGAACTATCTTCGCCTCCTCCGGCTGCTGGTAAATCCCTTAACGACTAAGTTTTATTCAATTGATTGGATGCGATATATATTTGGAAGTTCTCGCGCTTAAATTTTATTTTTTCACAAAGAGAGAAGAGATAAATGTTGTAGCTTCTATCGTCTGTCAGCTTCCTCCGATTCTAATTAAGTATAATAAATAAGTAAACAGTCATTTTTTTGGTCACTTTTATCAAATATAGTTTAATCTTTTCTTTTCGTTTATTTTTCTTTTATTTTCTTTTAAGTTTAGGCACCCGACGCAGTCCAAAAGTTACTAATCTAAAGTATTTACTTATTTTTGAATGTTCTCGCGGTGTGGAAAGGGTGGAGGGGTTTTCTTATTATTATTATTTAAGATTGTATCATTTTTCGCATTGCAAATCCGTTCCCGCCAAAAAATGACTGTCTGCGTGCGGATCTCATCTTTTGCTCGAATTTTCTCTTAAACCTATGCCTTTCTGTATATAGTAGTATTATATGAATAATATAAATATCTCTCGTATTTCTCTTTCTCTCTATCTCTTTCTCTAAATATATATGTATGTATATATATATATAAATATGTTAGCACCAAAAATCACTGTCTAAAAACATAAATCTTCACTGTCCCTCTTACTTATTAAATATTTTGTTTCTGTCGTGTCCTATTATTTATTAAAGTTATTGTATTATTAAGGTAATATTATTGCTTCAGTTGAACGGAATCTCCGGTTCCATTTTGAGGGTGGTCGTGGTAGGGTCGTAGTTTCCGGCCAAATAATAAATGTCATTGTTGTCGTAGATGGTCTCGTAGCTGCGGGGATCGTCACCCAGCTTCGTGGTGTACTCCTTTAGCGGAAGGACTTCGCACTTATGGGATATCGTCTGCACGTCATTTTCGTCCACGTGGGGAGACTCGAAAAGGGCACCCTGTGTACAAAAGCAGATGTCTGATGAACATTCGCAAACATATTTGATATTCACCAAATATATAACTTTACAACTAATGATAGAAATATGTAATAAAGGTGATACGAAACCTCAAATACAAAAATGTATTTAAAATAATCAATTTTTAATTCAAAAATAATCAATTTCGAATTAACAATAGCAATAATATTCAGAAGAATTAAAAAATAATATAACTTATGTTGACGCTTCTGGAGTAAATAAACTCGAGGATATCGTGAGTGAAGATGTACAAAGTCTGGAATGCGACGTTAGAAACAATATGGAATTTCGCCGAAGATTGAGGATATTCTGATTTGCATTTAAAAGACGTTCTGCCTAGGGACCATGTTGTTTCCAGATCGATTAACTAGAAACTGCGGCCAATCGTCGAGATCTCCAGATTTAACTACTTTTGTTTTTTTTTTTCTGTGGAGTTATCTTAATGGATCTATGCCAACGAGCTAAAGTTGAATGTACAATTATAGAATGAAATACGATGCAAAAATGGATGAATTAGGAATCAAAATAATCGAACAATATGTTTGTTTTATATTTCTTATGGTAAGGAATTGAACTATAAATTGTAAAGCCATTTCGTATTAAGTAGAATTAATTAAGTATTAAAGAATATTACTCATTTTATGAAATGTATAATATATAAAGGCAGGAGAAACTAGTTCGAAAGTAGGGTGGAAGTAAACATTGAAATACTTTCCAGACTGCGTAATTAAGACAATCTCGCGTGGAGTGTCCACTCGTGCGTTTTACTTACCGGGTATTTGAGGTTCAGTGGGCATCCGACCGTCTCTTCAGGATGATAGAACCATTTGACTTTAACCACCATCGTTCCGCAGGACTCCCACATGGCCTCGATGCGACCGATGTAAGGACGATCCGGACGGCCGGTAGATAGGAAGACCGCCGAGTCTCCAACCTGCGTTACCGCGGAATTATTATTACAGTGGATTATTAGGCTTAGAGGAGAAGTAGATTTACCATTATGGCTTCCTTGCCGCGTTGTATGGCTTTGAAGAACTGCTTCCGTGAGCGGCCTTTGCCTTTAGGTCGTTTGTACCCCTTGCCCGACCAACCCCACAGCTGCCTGGCCGGCAGGAAGGCGCTCATTTTGCTCCTGCTTTCGCACGATTCCTGCCTATCGCGTATCTTCTTGTTCTGTTGCTGATTCTGCGCCGCTTCCAGGATATCGTCCATGGTGACCTCGTCCTCCGGATTTGCGAACTGGTTGGACGTCTCCTCCTCAGCTTCAGCCTCAAATTCCTCCTCTTCTTCGACCGTAGCTACGTGTGTGATCGTCTCCAGCTCTACCTCCTCTCGGTCTTCTTCTTCTCGTTCCTCCACCACAGGTACATGATGCGAAGATTCCTTATGATGGTGCCTCTTATGTTTCCTCCTCTTCTTGTGATGCTTTCGGTGCTTGCAATTGTCGTCCGTGCACTTGTGCTTCTTGCGCCGCTTTTTGTCCTCCTTAAGCAGCATTTTTTCACGCTTCCGCTTCTTCATGCGTTTTTTTTCCCTGTGCCTCTCGGCGGTAGCGTCCGTAGGTGTCGAGGAGAGCGCTTTTGCTTCCGGAATGGGCGTGATGCTCTGGATGGACCGCCTCTCGTCGGTTGTGGACGTGCGGCGGCGCCGCTTGCTCAAACTCAACAGCGGGTTCGGATCGTACTCTATGATGGGGTAGTCGGGTGGCAGCAGTCGAATGTCCTCCAGGGCTATCCTTCCGCTATCGCCGTCATCGAACTCCACAGAGACGAACCTAGAGTCCAGACTGGGGTCGGCGTCGACTTCGGGTTCGGCAACGCTCCCCGGGTACAGACATCTGTACTGCTGACTCCAGTAGGCGCATAGACGGGTTCCCGCTGTCAATTCGGATGTACTAGTCGGACTAACCTCCACGATCTAAACGAAAGAAAAGTAAAGAATTAAAAGGCCGTAAACTATTTTTTCGTGTGCAAACTTACTGCGTCTCTGAGTATCTCCTCTCTAGACATGATGTGCGGTTTGTTGCCTCTTTCGCCGTCCAATGTTATAGAGTAAACGTCGGGCGGCTGCACCGCATGCAATTTTCCGGCATAAAAAAGTCCGCCCATAGCAGTTAAAACTCTTAATTTGTCTTTAGCCAACAGCTCGGTCGTTAAACTGCAACGCGTGTCCGTAATTTTATCCTCATCCTCGTCCTCCTCCTCGCATGCCGCTTCTTCCACCTCTTCTTCATTGTGCACTTCTTCTTTTACCACAGCCTTATCATTCTCTTCAATTTCCTCCTCTTTCTTCTCCTCGATCACATTATTGTTTTCCAAATCCTTGAACGATTCCGTGCCCTCATTGTCAATTTTCTTTGATTGAGCTACAGGTGTTATTTCCTCATCAAATTCATTATATTCGACATCTTCCTCCTGCTCCTCATCCTGCTCATCTTCGCTTTGTAGCTTTACTTCCGCCTTGAGCTTAGGTCTGATTTTCTTCGTCTTCTTAACGTCATTGTCGACGAATCGAGGCGGACTCTCGGATCGCATAAGTGTCGAGTTGTGCATAAGCTTCTCCTTGGCCGCTAACACATAACCAACGAGGCTACCCTTTTTCGGTTTCTTCGCAAAGATCGTCTCCGTCAAAGTGGGCGAACCAGAGATGGTGAGCAACTTTTTTGGCCTGCCGACTTTCCTCTTCTTGGACGGGGAGGATTTGGGAATTGTCTCGTACGGACAGAGAGTCGGCGGCTTGAGCAGTTCGTGACTCGACTTCGTGTTCGGCTTAATGGGATCAATTTTGTCCAAGTGCGGCGGCGGTGGTGTCGTTGATTTCTTGCGCGCTCGCTTCTTCTCGTTGCTGGTTGCTACTGTCGCAGGCGTATTGCTATTAGTGTTAGTGGCAGTCGTGTTTATATTATTGTTGTTACTGCTGCTGCTAGTCTTCTTAGGCTTCAACTTGCTGAGCTCGCGTTGCTTCTCACGGTATTTGCGTTGCAGATCGGCTAAACGCATTCGCATTTCCAACTCCATGGCATTCATAAACGGCCAGTCGCCTTTACAGCACATAGGTTGAGATTTCGACGCCAAAAACTTCTTCACCTCCTCCTCGGACTCTTTGGTTTTGTACGTTTTGTACTGATCTTCTTTTCTGGAGAGATCGGGCGAGCAGGAGCACGTGGGTTTCGGTTTCTTGGACCTTGGCTCTTCGTGGTGCTTCTTACTTTTGCGCTTTTTCCGCTCGGCCCTCTCGCATTCGAGGATCCTTTGCTCGGCTAACGCGCAGAGGATGCCGAGGCCGCCTAAGTCCTCTTTCTCTTTGTCCTTGAGAGTCATTTGCGCGATGCCCTCGACCACCTCACACTGTGCTGGCAGTTGAACCGTCTCGCTGGGCTGAACTGGGGGTTGCGTAACATCCAACTTTTCAAACTCCTCTATGCTATTCGATAAGAGTTCTAGGCCGCTTAAGTCAGGTTGTTCGTCTGGTATTGTTTCTTGATTCTCATCGCCCTCCACTTTAAGCTCAGGCGTCTCAGGTTCTTGTTGTTCCGTCGACAGAATTAACGTTTTCTCGGGGGTCGAGGTTGTTTCCTCAATGAGAGCATCGGTCTGATTGCTTGCATCCTGAACGGTAGTTTCTTCTTCGTGGTTGATTTCCGGAGGCGGAGTAAGGCAAGCTACGGGGGAGGTGGCTTGCGATCGGCAGGCGGTGGTCTCCTGCGTTTGAGATGATAGAATCAAATTGGTCGGATGCTGGTATATGACATGGGTGGTGACCAAAGGAGCAATATTCTGGTCTGTATATACTGTTGTAGGCGTGTTCGTGGCAATAGTGCTGACTGCCTGCAGGGTCTTTGATTGGTCATCCGTTTCGATCTTGATCAGGGTTGTCGTAGGGATGGGCATGGGGATCTTCCTCTTGGTGGTATCGGTTGTAACGGCCAAAAGTCTTGTACTGTGGGTTTGTGTGTGTTGGTGCAGCGTAGTACTGGTTTGGAGGTAGTCTGATGAGGCTGAGCTGAGCAAGTGTAGGGGTGGTGGATGGAACGGTGGCAGCAGCACGTGCGAAGATGGCTGATGGTAACTTGGCCACACCACCGTCTGTTGCAATTGCTCTGCATAATCATAAATTAATTGTTAAAGATTCCCAGAACGTCCGAGATATACAATAAAATAACACCAGATACCAAATACGAATCGCGCTTAGCTCAGCTTCACGATGGGAAATTAGATATATGTATCTGCATTTCTTTAACGAATTTTTTGTTGCGCAATTGCAAAGGCGCTGCACACGAATAAATATAATTAAAAGCAAGGAGCAAAAAATAATAAAGTCTACAGGGGAGAGTACTAATCCTTGATACATATAATTCATCATTTCTTTCTCTCTCTCCCACCATGAATATGAGAAGCGTGTTTCTACGGCGTTTACTCTATTAATAAATAATTATTTGCAACCCGCCCAGAAACCATTAACATAATAATTAGTTGCGCAACGACTTTTATTTCTGCGTCCATTATAATTACGATCGTAAATTACGCACGGGTTTGGCGAAATGAGAGAGAATGCGGCAAAAACTCACCGGCCGGAGGTAGCAGAAGGAGTCCGCCCGTGTTCGGGTCCCGGACCAATTGGAATCCAACGGGCGGCATCGGCATTGACATCAGAGGTTCAACGGGCATCGGGGATACTTAACAACAACAAAAACAATAATATGTAAAACTACAAAAAAATATACTAAATGCGATAATTGGAGGCTAGAAAAACGCTGTTATTTTGGAAGGTCGACCTTGAATGCAAAAAAAGTGCGTGGGCATCGCGACGCCAGCTAGTTGGACGCGCACGCTTCTAAATTTAGAAGGTTTCCGCGTTTGGGAAATGACACCTCGATACATCTCCATCTTTAAGTTATACCAACTGATTTGTGAGGTGCATGATTATGATTGATTTGTTTGTTGCGTGTGCGTGTGTAGTTGTTATTGTTAATGATCATCGAAAAATTCGACGAATTTTTTTTGTTTCTTTTTGCAGCGTATTTATTTAGTGTTGTTTGGTTTTTTATTGCAAGCGAAGAAGAGGAACGACCAAGAAAAGGTCATTCGCAAAGAATGCGTACTTACCGGGATATTGCCAGAGGGTGGGCGCCGCGAGGGTGGAGCCACCATGTGCGCTGCCCATCGGCCACCCTGGAAACGCCCTCTCGTCGGAGCAGTGGAACAGAGTCCCGCCCGTCGTGGGTACGCCCCCCGTCGCCGCAGCCATGCCAGCAGCATCTGACACAAACACGCATTACATATTACATTACATTATACATCTCTCCACTTCGAACGCGTGCAAATGATAATTTTGCAGCGCTGCGTCTGTGGCTACGCGAGCAGCGTTTGCTAGCACTCACCGATTTCCGAAATCCTCGCGACTTCTTTGATGTGGGTCGTGTTGACGGTGGTCAGAAGACCTGCAGGTGGAAGCGACGGCGAAGACACGACCTCATTGTGTTGGATCCGTTGTCGGGCAACCGCAATTCCGACCGGTATGTTTCCTGTTCCGACAGAGATTAAAAATTTTCTCACTGGAGAAGGCAAAGATAAAATAAAGAATAAAGGGAAGAGAGAAGAAGAAGGAAGATAGAGAGAGAGACGATAACGCCGAGGGACTAACTAACCGTTCCGACTTTCGTCTTACCATTTGTGGTCACAATCGGAGGAGCGATGATCGTCTCCTTGTTAATATTGCCATTGTTCGGGGAGGCGACCTCGAGTTTGACCAGGGGCGTTTCGCCGCTCGTCGTGATTTCGGCCACCTGGCAGGGCGTCGCGGGGGGCTCCTTCTTGACACTGACTGGGCTCCACTCGAGGGGGTTGGTGCGGCTGCAACCCCCCAGCATCGGCGTCTTCACGTGAAGGTGGCAGCTGCAGAGTTTGACCGAGCGGCCGCAGCACTTAGCCACCGCGTCCACGGAGTACGGTGGCGTTATCGTCGTCTTCGTCGGCACCTCTTGGATCTGGATCTGGTGTTTCTTCGTGGGAGAAGGCGAGAACTCTGGCTGCTGGATTATGATGTTCGAGTTGAAGCCCTTGGTGAGAAACTCCAGCTGAGTCACCGGCACCGGGGAGTACGGAGAGCCGGGCGGCGGTGTCGGCGCCCCCAGAGTGTAGCCCGACGCGAACAAAGAGTCTGCCGTGCCCAACGAGAACAAATCACAAGAAGAAAATGAATACACATGAACGAAACTGGAAACATTCGTTAATTGCATGATTGTAGGGAAATGCGTCGGTGTCGGAAGGAAACCGGATGTCCTACGAACTTCCCACGAGGAGGAAATAGCGCGACACGAAATCTCGCCGCATCGAATCAAGCAAACTACGTTTTTTACTTAGTCTAAAAGCTAAACACTACATTATCGAAAGACCGCTCCGAAGTTTGCCAGTAGATTCTCAGAAACGTTCAAATTATCCATTTAACAATAACTACTTGCAATTGTCGAATAACAATCTCATATTTCAAACTGTTTTTGTCTATTTTTATAGAATATATTTACTTCTTATTAAATTTATTATCAATAATAATTAAATATACACAATCTTATATTTTAACCAGATAGTATTACAGTATGGCCAAAGGTCATTTTCCCAAATTAAATATTAATTTTCTTGTACATTTTCAATATTTTCAATTATTAATAGTAATATATTATGTGCATTAATATACACAATGCTCCTCTATGTTATATAATAATATATATTAAATGTAAATATCTAATTTCAATATGAGGAACATCTATACTTTTTTTACTCTAAACAAAAAAATGTTTAATATGTATTAATTAAATCAATAATGAAAGTACTGACCTTTAAAAGATTATTTATTGAATATTAATGCAATTAACTATCAATAAACGCTTCAAAAATTATAACCTAGTTTCAAAATTGCTTATTGTAGACTTATTAGAGTAGTAGTAGAGTATTTCGAACAAAAAAAAATCAACTTATTTAATATTCATTATTCATTATTCCAAAATTATAATATTTCCTTAGAATCTAATTGGTATTCTATTCATTTTCCTATGTGTTTCTATTTAATTATTAATTAAATATATTCAATTAATGCGCGACATAATCATTAAATTTAGAATAAAACAATAAAGATAATACTATGAACTAGTTTAATTATAACATATTACTATCTTATGTATACTATCTTTATAGGACATTTCCTTGAATCTGATTTATATTTTTTTATCATCTATGAATTTTATCAATATTATCACTTAATTATTTCTGAATAATAATAATAATAATAGATTTAATAATAATCTTATATAACATTCATATATATTTTTTCGTATTTAATCTCAATGCAGATTATTATTTAATATAAATTAATTATATAAATAAAGAGAGTCTTGACCTTTCAGGGTATCGACTAAATTTTTGTAGAATATTGAAAATTGATAATCAAGATATAATCAATAACTACGTGCAAATTATCAACGCAAATTTGTTTATTGCAATCGTTGATTTAAGATATTTTTATTATCATAGTATTATCTTATACAGTGGTTAACGAGCACCTCGCGTAAAATGACTCGCATAACGAGTGACGATGAGAAGAGAAGTCCCGAATTGCGTACCTACCACTTCATTTTTAAAACTTGTATTATATGTATTTTTGAATATTATCTTCGATTTTCTTTGTCATCTTTGTTTAATACGGACTATAATTTGCAAATATAACTTGTGTTTGCTGTAAATGCAAAACACAAATGTATTGTGTCCAACTATTATTGTAATATATAAACACTCTATGTTCCCTTTTTTTTATATAAACAAATATTAAAAGTATAAACAGACCTCCACCAAGTATAAATTGGAAAATAGTTTCTGGTGTTAGTGGTCATTCTAGTTGTATCTTAGTGTTGTTTGTGATCACACAATTTCCAAACATGTTACTTGTGATTTTTTTTAAAGTTATACTTTTTTTCCGGCTTGGAACGCATTATTTACATTAGTGTATATAGGAAAAACTGTTTCATTATACGAGTAAAAATCCGGAAATTTTTGAACGGATTAACTCGTTAAGCGAGTTTCCACTGTAAATGTTTTTTTTTATTATGAGTTATAGCAATTCCTAGAATTATTATTTGCTTAGAAAGATATTTAATTAATAACACATATTTAACTTTATTGACAATAAAATCATCCAGTTATTCAAAAAAAGGAATCAATTTGTATAGTATTGTAAGCAATTGATGATTGTTGATTATTAGTTGATTATTTGAACATTTAGTGAAAGTTTTTTTTAGTTTCAGAAAATTGCTAGCAAACCGTATGCTAAAAAGTGCAAACATATTCAGGACCTACCACATAGATTTAACTAAATTTAGCTTATTCGTAATGAATACTTAAGATTTTGTATATACAAATATAGAAAACAAAACGGTTGAAGTTTCTATTTACAATACCAACTAATTAGCTTAATGTGCTTTCAGCAGTTGATTATACATATTATTTATAATAGAGTATAAGTAGATACACCAACAAAAAAAGTAATATTCAGCGATTCAAGAAAGTGCTAGGCCGTGCATTTTCACGAGCTGTGAATGTAAAATAAGTCAAAGTTGAAAATAAGTTTCTTTGTAACAGGACTAATAATAATAATAATAAAAAAAAAAGTGAGTGCGTGGAGAAAGAAGAAGAGATTTAATAATTTTCTCGCGGCGTTGCCAACTTGGGAGCTTTTAGAAAGTCGCGCCCAGCGGAAGCGGCATGAATGCATTAAATATACAATATTCAGAAGAAAAAAAAAATTAGATCGGAAATTTATTTGGCTATAGGATTATTACGTGAATTTGCGAGGAAACGCCGCTCACCGGCGATTTATTATCGGGCATAAAGGGGAACCAGCTGTCATAATTGCCGTAAATTTGCGCAAACAAATTTGACATCGGATTTGTATCGGTCCACTTCCGGTGCTTAAACGCAACCACCCCCCGCAGCAATAACAGCGAGGTGATGCTATCACCACAACCTCTTTCGATCGAGTCCCGTGCGTCCCGTCCCTCAGGTGCGATGATGACACCTGTCAATAATGATTGTCTTTGCGGTTCTCGATGATGCGGAGCGGTTTGATAGTTTCCGTCGGAGACGGGCGTGGGCGAAGCGGAGGGTGATAAGGTTGCAAAAGAAATACGACAATACACAAAAAAAAGAGAGAGTGGTGGTCCGGGACGGCTGGCCGGTTTTGATAAGGGCGCACTTATCAAAAGGATGCTTGCGGTGGTGGTAACTGGAGGAGAAGCTGTAATAAGAGCTTGTGTTTGTTGAGACTTGCCTTTATGCGTGGCATGGAATGCGGTCGCGGAAGATGGCTGGATGGAGGCGGCTGCCGCCCCCGTCGTCAGCCGCCCGATGGAGCAGTGCGAGTACGTCGCATTTCCAAATGCTGACGCGCCCGGCAACAGCGAGTACAGCCCGTACTTTCCGAACCCTGCGACATAGAAGAACAACAACAACGAAATAAAAAGTGCATTCAGAGAGGAGACATCGTGGGAGCATTTTATAAGAATATGGGACGGATGGCTTGCTTACCGTCGGCCGAAAAGTTTGCGCCTGTCGGAGCCGGGGCCGGAGCTGGGGCCAAGGGCCAGAGACCGGCCCTTTGCACAGCCCCCCCGGGCCCAGCGGGGTTGCCCAACATGACCTCCAAAGAACCACCTGCAACAAACATAAATTATTATTAATAATAACCCAACAATATATTAAAAAAAAACACTTGAAAAAATGCCATTATATTCATTACAAAGTAAATGGATAATAAGAAAAATATAAATTTATAAGAAGATTAATTGCATTATTTACTGCTATACTATTTCTAAATTCCTTATTTTCTTGATAATGTACTTTTAAATTTATAACTGCTGTAATAAGTAATATTTTTATAATATCAAATTAATTAATTTTCTTCAATTAATCAGTTAAAAATAATATCATCATTATGAGTTTAACCTAGTTTGTCTTTTGCTACTAAATATTTTTTTTTATATAAAACATAAGTTTATCAGGTGTACCAACAATCACTAATGGTAATCATTGAGTACAATGTATATAAAAAAAACGAACTGACAGCTGTACTTATATGTATATATACACAATATTGTTATACTATACACAGCAGTTGGTATGCCTGGAAGACATTTTAATATTATGTCGCGTATGGTGTGAATATACTACGCTTTCGCATTAATTTGCTGCTAAATTATCATTATTTTAAAGAAAATAAAAAGATGAAAACGTAAATGAATGACAAGATCTGTGAATTTTAGTTATAAGTAAATGTGAACTTGTATAACTAAAAAGTAAATTTGTAAAATTTGTAAACAAGTTAGTTTATGTATGCAATGAAATTAATGTTTATTTACTATCAAATTATTAATTATACCTAACTTTCTGTAAATAACAATTTCATTTATTGATAATGTAGCATACTTTCAACAAAACCAATAAAACTTGAATGTTCATAATCTTGTCAATTAACAATTTACCACATAACTTAGATATAATATAAAATTAGATTGGAATAATAGAAAAAGGTTATTGACCAATATTGTTTAAAAATGTATCAAGTTAGATGAAGAAAAAAAACTATTTTTTTCTTCCTTTTTTTTATTCATTAATTTATTTTTATCGTTTTAAATCTGTTCAGTATGAATATTCATTGAAATGATTTGCAACTGGATTAACAATATCAACGTAAGGAATGATGTCAATGTCACATTGCCATTTTTTAGACATATACAAGCAAGTCTCAATGACGATGTTTAGTTTCTTTGTTATTTTATGTCTTAGATTTAATTGTGTCTGCTGTTATCTTTGAATTTAAATACAAAAAAATAAATAATTTTCATAATTAAATAATTATGATATAATCTACTCTAAGATAGAAATTATGTAACATGTATTAACTATTAAATTTATTGTTTTGTAAATATTAATACTACAAAAAAAAAAACAGAATGAATAAAATATAAATGAAATGAATATTTTTAATTACAAACATATTACGTTAAGTTCTATTTTATACCAATGTTTAATGGTTATGTATTGTTTTTTAAATTTCGAAATTTATCGTTAAATAAATTGAAAATATAAGTAATTATCTTCATGTTACAAAAAAATAATATCTCACATTAAAAAAATAAATGTACAGTGGAACCTCACTTAACGAGCAAAATGAAATGACTGGCTTAACGAGCAACGTCTCGTATAACGAGTGACGATGAGAAGAGAAATCCCGGATTGCGCGCTTGCTACATCATTTTTAAAACTTGTGTGCACATATTATGTGTATTTTTAAATATATAATATCCGGAAATTTTGAAACGGATTGAACTCGTTAAGCGAGGTCTTACTTTATTCATATTTTTCTATTTTATCTATCAAATTAAAATCAATGAATGAATTAGATTAAAATATTATGTAAAAATGTAAATTTTAATACTACAAAAAGTAAAAGTAGTTTCTGCATTATAATAATTAATTGACAAAATTCAACACACATAATAACAAATTATTTATCTGCAACACAAGTATTTTTGTAATATACGTAATATATTTATATTATTATTTTTTCAAAACTTCGCGCTTTGTTAAAATCAATGTTTAAATGTACCTGAGTGCAATTCTATGTAAATTTATATTAATGCGAAATGCGATTGAATATTTTCATATAACAGAAAATACAAATAAAATCTAAATGAATTCTGTTTAAGAAAAATGTAAATTATATTATTGATCAATTGTTTTTGTATTAACTATTTGTTCGTTTATAAATATTTGTATATAAAGCTATTTATAGGTAACAAAAAAGAATTGTATCAATAAAAAGTTAGTGTAAATAAAATTGAAATATGTAGTCCATATGAAAGCTACGAGAATTCCAAGCTTATGTAGCCGAAGTCGGGTTCCGACGGCAAAACGTACGTTCGCGCGAATGTAGAACTACAGCCTTATTATAGTATACAGGTATCCTCCGACTTACGAACTAGTTCCGTTCCAAAAAGTTGTTCGTAAGTCGAATTGGTTTGGGGGTATTTTAAAAATATACTTATCCTACCACACATTATTATGATTTTTACTTTTATATATGTTAAATTACGTATTACTGACTGCATACATTTTTTATCACTATATATCTCCTTGAGCTTTAAGAATTTTGTTCGTAAGTGATTTATTTTACTTATAATTTAAAAACAAAATTTAATTTGTGATTTATAATTTTAATTTAATGATAACTTCGTACGAATTCCCGAAAGATTAAATATAAACTTTATATAAATAATGTTTATATTGATGTTAGGTTTATTCAGTAATTCAATATTCATTTTTTTTATGCAAATAAAATACGACAAACAATTAATTAATCTAACCTAAATCCATTTATAAAATTGAAAAATTCGAAATGCGAGTTTCTACAACAAGATAAACAAATTCTTCGAACTACGCGAATGTGAAGTTTTATGCTACAAAGTTTCTTTTACAACGTAAGACAATTTAATAAACAAATAACAATTCATTATCGACTGATAACAAATGCAATTATCTCAATGTCAAATATGAATGACACTAAAAATGTAAATCGTGGATGACGGAAATGTCAAATTTATAAGGAAAAACAAAAAAAGAAATCGTAAAAATTATCTTCATGTCAAAATGCAATGATAACGATGATATTTACGGAAACATTGCTGATGTCCCCGCACATCCGCCCAATCCCGTATATGTGTACATGTGAAACGTAAACAGTTATTTATTCTCGACGTCGCCCAAAAGTAAATATTTATTTTTTTTTGGCACAAACAGTTTTTAATTTGACGATAAAAAAAAATCCGTTAAATCATCATACAAATAACATCTAACGGAGAAAAATATGGGAATGCATATGTGCATCTTTTCTCATTGAAAAAGAGTGGAGAGATGATGACAAATTCTATAATTAAAATTTTTAGACTTTAAAGTAAATATTCTTCATAAGTTTTAAATATAATTACCAATAACCGAATATAAAAATACTGAATAGTTGCCAATATTTCAAAGAAAAGTTTATTTCAGATTATTATTATAAAGTGAAAATAATACTAGGTATTTCCATAGTATTTGTTAGAAAGTCTTTCATATTGTGTTTATTGCGTAACTTACGCAAGAAGTAATGTTACATGTACTTGGTCAATTTCGCAAATACTTGAAGATCAAAATTACTTAATTATTTATATTGCTTGACTTGTACTTGCCACTTGTCATGTAACGTGTAATATATAGTAGCATAATTTGGTTACATAAATATCAAAAATTAGCTAAATAAACATGGTGTGTTATTAGAAGTTTACTTGCTACAAAATAATGTACTTTTATCTTAATTTACTAGCAGAATACTAGTAAAGTAGCATGAGGGGAAACAAGTTTATTCGTTAAATCAATTGCAATAAATTTCTGGTTCTTCCTCTTCCGTTTTTTTATGTATACCTGAACCAATTGCAATTCATTATTTTCAGTCGACGATCGAAGTTCCCCCTGATTTGCTTCTGTCATGCCGTTATGGTCATTTCCTCTTTTTTTTATACCTCTCTCACTGCTTCTTCTTCCATTCTCTTCTCGCTCACTGCGTGTTTGCCTCGTGCATTCTAGCGAGATTCGTTCATAATTAATAAAACAATAAATCAATTTCGCTTTTTCCAATTTATTGAGCGCGCTCTCAGTTCTAATACCCACGTTAATATTACAAAAAAAAAAATACAAACAGAATAACAACAAAATGGAGGAAAAGTTTACGATGTATAATTACAATCATTAAAAAAATACATTGGAAATTATGCGTGCCATTATAGATGCACACGAAGATTGGTGGACGCAAGAGAAACTTTCGTACAAATATCGTACAGATAAATGGCAGATGAAAAGCAAACTTAATTAATTTATATAATTTAATATGGCCATCGGTAAAATAGCAAACTTTATTTATCGATTGTTTTTTTTCTTCTTCTTTGCTTGCATTTTGTAAAACTGCGCAGTTGAATTAAGGTGCGCCGGCGGCGATAAATCTGTTGCCGTTCGTAAAGTTATATAAGCTGTAAATCATGACATGCAGTTGGCAATATGTGGTTTGCCAAATTGCCAACTTTTGAAAATTAACAACATTTATTAGGTCATTTGAATTTAGAAGGGCGTAAAGCATGAGGAGCATCTATTTTTGTTGCTCGAGATGAGAGCGATTTGGTCCATTTTGGTTTTAGAATACCAACGCACGCTTTCGCAAACTGTTGCGTAACTGCGGACACCCTATTTGCAGAAAGCAAAAAATAAATAAATAAAAGAGTTGCTTATAATTACGCTCGTGTGCTTGTGGAAACGGTTTAACGTGCATCGAGTGAGTTAAATGCGTATCGCTTTATTTTAATGTTGAATTCATTCACCGTGCATCTATGAAAACATGAAAATGGGGGACAATATGGAAACAAGTGTGAAACAATTAAATGTATTATGAAATGGTAATACCATGGTCAAGTTCGTTAAGCTCAAATTAACTAATGACCGGATAATTTTGATGTAAAATGCAGAAATAATATTTAAAAAAATCTAAGTTCCGTATAGCTGGACTGTAATGATTATCATCTGTTTCGTGTTAGTGGGTGGTCAATAAGTACTAAGTAGAGGTAAAAACG